CCTATCTATCCTATCCTATCCTATCCTATCCATCTATTTATCTATCTAATTATCATCCTATCTATCCTATCTATCCTATCTATCCTATCTATCCTATCTATCCTATCTATCCTATCTGTCTATCTATCTATCTATCTGCCTTTCTATCTACCTATCTATCTATCTATCTATCTATATATCTATCTATCTGCCTTTCTATCTACCTATCTATCTATCTATCTATCTAACCTAATCACTAATTTCATCTAATCTAAATCAATTTATCTATCAATCCATCCATCCATCTAGTCTACCTTCACAGTTAATCCGAATACTTTGGGGCCTAGTGGGTCGGGTCGGATGGGGTGGCCTTTTGCTGGCAAACCGCCGATTTCTGCGGAGGTCATGTGCCATGTGCTCAATCCTTCAGCGGGATGTTCTTGAAGAGATCTTGAAGAGATCTTGAAGATATTGGAAATGTTAAGTTCTTTCTCCCTGGACAGCGTTCTGCCAGTAGACTGGAAAGCAAGACTGGAGGACAGAGACAGCAAGTAGACCGTCCAGAAGGAAACTGTCCGTCGGCTATCGGCGTCTGTTACGTCTATTAAGTAGTCTATCTTGCTGACCTGGGACCTTGCACACTCAACAGCACTTCAGCCTCTGCGTTTAGTCGTTTAGTGGGATATGGATGGACCTTTGACCAACCCACTTCACACGAGTCATGCCTTCCCACGATCCATGGAGTTGCACGGTCATATCTTGTAGACAGCTCAGTCCAAGAAAACTCTCCATTGACAAAATTGACAACCTCGCTTTATTTTACTTTGCGTCCCATATGCCGGCTCGACCGTGAGGTTGGTGAGAGTGTGGCGCAGGTTGTGTGTTCCCTCGCTATCAGTACGGCTATCAGGAGGCTGCCAGCTTGCGATCGAAACGTTGCAGTACTATCAAATCGCTCTTTGCATATCTGTGGAACTTTGATGTGTTTATCTTGTACGGTCGGGCTCTAACTTGTTGCACTTTGCATATCTTTGCACCAGCCACGAAGTGCTCAATAGCAGTGCTGTGAGTGACTCTGCAGACAAAAGCATTGATGAGGCTGAAGATGAGGCTGAAAGATGAAGATGATGAAGATGATGAAAATAACAACGGCGATGATGTTGACGATTGCGTTTGAAAGAGTGGCGCCGAATCCATCCAGGCATCGCACACATCCCCTCCGACAGGGGAATGGGATGAACATCACGTTGACATACGAAGCCCATTTCGTGGAGGAAGTTGTTAGAGGCCGCAGTGAGATTGGGGAATGAACGTAACATAACGTAACATACCAATGCCACAATGCATACTGTACTGTGCTTGCTATATCTTGCTATAGCACAGTCGACCCAGCCCTTTGCGCACGGGCTGCCAGTTCGACCGCTCTTCTCTTCATTTCCCGTATCGAATCTACTGCTCCTGTCAGTTGTCAGGTTTGTATTCCTAGCTGGCAATTACTGTATCCTTGTTTTTGTAGAGGAGCCGGTGGATACAACCCTGGGGCACAAATTGCAAAAATTGCAAAAATGCACCTGCGTTTATCTGCTATGGCTTTCGCATTTTTTTGGTTAGGCTTTACGCACGTTTCGGCACTTTTCGTAGTTATGCCTCATAGCCCAACTATGTCCTCGTCTATTTTCCGAGGGGTGAACCTGCGTCATGAGGGCGAAGCTGCAAACGAGCCCGTTTGATCGCTGGCACTGTAGAGTTTGGTTCCATACAGATTAGTTTCACATATGTTTCACATAAGTGCGCTTTGGACATCTTTGGACAAAGTGTAGTTCTTGTGTTTCTTGACGTGACAGCTGCCTCCCTTTATTGTGTTTCATGGCGACCCAACCTCTGATGCAAGGGCAAAACTTGTGTACGATTCGCTGTTTGGATCCATTTGCAGCTGATTCCTCGAACTGCGCAAGCCTGGTCATCGCGACCAAAACAACAACCTGACGCTGCAAGGCCGCAAAATGCCGCCAACTTTTTTTCCATTGGCACTCGTCCAGGCAGTCCTGGCATGTGCCTAAGTTTATCTGCAGATCTTTGAGCTATTGCAAGCTGCAAGCTACAGCAAGCTACCGGATAAACGAATCCTAAACGATCCCAACATCTTCCTAATATATCCAAATATCCCAAAAGGCTGGTTCGATCCGTTTCTGCCTTCAATCTCCGGTATCGGAGGTATGCCCACTGGGTCTGCCACGGCGCAGGAACAGCAACTGGTGCCCGAAAGAGGGCCAAAGGGTCCGCAAGGCAGGACTGGCAAGTCAAGTCATACGAATCTGGCGAAATGCCATGAAAAATGGTTAAAAAAAACATAGAACATGGTGAAAGAAGGTGCTACAGTCACCACGTGCCACATTGTGTGAACGTTAGTCATCAATGCTTTCAAGTACAAACATCTGCTGCTTGGGAGAGCCCTTCCGCAAGAACAGTTCAACATAATGCAAGGAAATGTGACCAGCTGCATATCATTTGGTGGAGCAGGCAAGAGACGCCTTCACAGTGCAAGTCCAAACGAGTGATTCATTTGTAAGAGATAGATAGCTGCCTCTGGGTGCTCAACTAAATGGTCTAGCAGGAAGTCAAAGCTTGAACCTTTGCAGGCAGCATTGGAACAGGTCCATTGAACTTCAGGCAGCACACATGCGATACTTCAGTGCCACCAGCACATGTTAATCTTGGAAGCTTCGACTCAACAGAGCAGAAAGTAAATCAACATTTTTTTGAAAATAGATCAATATTTTTCACCATATGAACACAAACCAAAATGTGCAAAGTGCAAACCCATGTTTTCCCGGAACGTGGAAACATCTGGAAACATCTGGAAACATCTGGAAACACTAAACCCAGAGCATCCCGGAACCCTCCGTGGGCTTTCTATGGCTTTCATGAGAGCCAGGCATTCTGCCACAGGCGTGGTCTTCAAAGGGCCAATCTCACAGTGGACCTGACATCGCTTTGCCAATCCGATCTTTGATAGGCCAAGCAAAACTGGGATTCCCATGGATTCCCTTCATGCAAACTTCAGATTCTCACAGCGATTGTTTCACGCAGCAAACATCATTAAACATCATTAAACTATCAAAAGTTGGGCACTCTTGAGACAAGATGAGACAAAATGAGACAAAATGAGACAAAATGAGACAAGTAAGATGTCTGCCGGGGAAATCATTGCCTGGCATTCGCATCTGCGACTAGACTTGCGACTGCAAAGGAATGAACTTGCGAATACAACGAATGCAACGAATGCACAACGAATGCAACGAATGCAACGAATGCAACGGTGTAACACCTGCGCGATTTCAAAATGAAATACATTAAGTACATGCACAAAGGAAGCAACTCATATGTCTCACATGCTGGCATTGCTGTAACTCCATCAGCCAAATCCTCCCGCTCTTTCTGCTGTCTGGGAACTCCCCTGGCTGGAACATGACTTGGAACTTGGAAATAAGAAAAATCGAAGTGATCAGTCCGCTCTATATCAACTCTGTATCAAAAGAGACCTTCTTGATCCTTCTTAATTCTTGCAACATCTGCAGGCCGAATAGCCACACCAAGTGTCCAGTGAAAGCAAAATAATATGTTTGTGATGTTTGGCATGTTTGGCATGTTTGGTAACTTTGTGCCTTCAAAATCAAACCGTTCAAGCATGGGAGTGCATTCCGTCTGCAGTTTCCCGCCTTGCTGGATCCAGAATGTTAGATCTCCCACCAGCAGTCATCTCAGCAAGGCGCCGCCGCCTTTGAACATGGTGAAGATTACAACAAATGAATAATATTGAATAATGTTCATTACAAATGAGAACAAGTTGTTGTGCAATATGAAACTTCCACTTAATACCAGCCACACCAACCGTGTCACATGGTGTCACCTGCATCTGCAATTGTCAGCTCACATTGTGACTTGATTTGAACTCTGGAACGACAAGACCTCGTTGTGGAGGGGCCTGTAGCGCTGAATAGCTACTATTCGGACTATTGCTAAAGTATACACTAGTGTTATCATATATACATATGTACATAATTGTATATTTATACATAATATATATATACATATAGAGGACTTGATAGATCTTGATAGGATTGGAAACCGCAAACCTATCCTGAAGTCAAAACTGATATCCGCATTCGCCTGCCCGGAGACTGACCATCACCTGGAAAAGGCCTGAGGACAAGAAGGAGGTGACCAAGATTAACCAAGCAGGTCCCAAAGAGGTAAGATTTTGAGCGCTGTCTAAGCATTCTAAGCTTGAAGCAACAATTGTGCAGGTGCAATCAAGGGTGCTCCTCTTTGAAAGTCCTGACAGACGACTAAGTAACGACTATATACTATATCAGATCCTCTAGATGGTGCTCACATGTAGTTTCAACTGCAGCAAGAAGGGAAGACATGCAATGTGAACACATGATCTGAAAACACACTGGATCAAGGACATTGGACTGATCTGCCTGCTTTTGACTTCAAAAGAAAACTAAAACACTAAGCTCATTTAATTTCAGACTGAAATGCCTCAAGCTGCATGATGCATATCCATGCATATCCATGCATATCCATACATATCCGACATATCCTGTCCTTGACCGTCACCATTCGAGGTGAACTGCCTTCTCCTCCGGGACCAGATCCTGTGAGACGCGGTGTAACGCGCGGTGTGACTGTGACTTATCATGCCTTCTCGATCCTTATCGTTTTTTCAGAATGCCTTTTCTGATCTTTTCTGTTTCTTGTTGGGTCATTCTGCTCGGTTCTGCTTGGTGCGACGATGCCGACGATGCCTGCCGAAACTCTTGGTGATGGAGACCTGGATGCACTGCCGCACTATGGATGCGATTGATGCGATGTTGATTTGTAAAATTTTGTAAATGTTAAGGCAAGAAGTCTTCACGCAAATTCCGATTCAGATGGGCGTTCGGATTTGTGGATGTACAGAATGTACAGTCTATGAGTGACGAATGTCATATTTCAGCAAAAGCTTTTGTCAATGACAGGCTGAAATGAGTCAAGTGGTGCAGCAATCACCCAACACAGCAATCACCAAACACATCTCATCACTTTCATGAATCCTTGCAGACCTGACACCCTAGGGGACACCAATGATTTTGTTCAATCATCGCAGTCTCATCACTATATAATCTATATAGACAACATTAGACAACCATATAATAGACTCAATAGACATCAATAGACTATAATCATCTAATATCATCTATATAATCCCAAAAATATACCTCTGCGCGTGTCAAATCTCATGTCATTCACCATGGCACAAAAGGTGCCTTGAGGAGCTCGACTGTCTTTCGCCTGGTCACATCTCCAGGCACCAAGGCATGAAGTGCTGCTATAAGTGCTACGTGAAGTGCTAGGGGATCTAGGAGATCTAGGAGATCTAGCAGATGCTTGAGTCCTTTAGAAAAAAATCTAAGATACCACATCACTTGGCTACTGGCTACCTGCACGGTCTTCGGACCCGGAAGCCTCTCACAGGTAGTGCAGCAAGAGTAGATGGGGAGGCTTGCAGAGCCTTAGATTTGTGATTGAAGCTGCAGCATTCCGACAAAAAACGTGTAAAAGCGAAAACTTGAACCTCTGAAATTGCTCTGCATAATCTGCATTGGCAATGTCCATTGGCAATCTGCATTGGCATTGCTCTGTGCAAAGATGTCCAAAGCAACCACATTTTTGAGTCCACAGCTGCAAACAATTCTCGGGCCGAACCACGATATTTTGGTGCCGCCTGTCAAGATATGTCAAGATGCACCAAAAACCGTTGCTGACAGTGACACTTCCGTGACACTGCACGATGAAAATCTACTTGGCACAGCATGGCACAGCTGCCTGGGAGATTTGATGGGGGTGCCTGAGCTCTCAACTGATCTCAACTTAAACCCCTTCTGGAGCACGGACTTCTCTATTATACTATTCTGTCTAAAAAATATCAAAAACAAAAGCTGAAGTCTTAGGAGCTGACAATGGCAACGCGGGCGCAGTTACCACACCTCTCAATCGCAATCAATTCACTTGTCACCATGCGCATCTATGTACAATGCAATCTTGCGATGAAAGTCTATATCAGTGTCAAAAAAACTATACAAACTCTACAAACATGATCATTTGGAGGGTTTGTATCCTCTGCAATCCAAGATTTGTAGGTCTCCAAATCAAACAGTTCAATGAGAACTTCCTGTTCCGATATATCATCACATATGTCATCAAAATTCATCAAATATGTTCAGTGTGTTTTTTCAGTTTCAATTGGGCCTAGACCAGAGCTTGCAAAATCGCCCATGGATTTGGATTGTGAACCTGGCACACAGATCGACAGACACGGATTGCACATGCAAATTCTGATGTCGGCTGTGAACAATGTGAACAATGTGAACATGAGTAAATTCAGATATTTATGGCCTGTTTAACTGATGTTCATGGCCTTTATGGCGTAATATGCCAGTAAGATCCAGTAAGATCCAGTAAGATGCAGAACTTTGACCGCCCGCAATGGGCCATGTCCTGCCTACAGGGCCTACAGATTTCAGCATCTGGGAGGATTCCAGGACAGAAGCTGCCAATGAACTCCCTGCCCGTTCCACGAAGATCTGATGATCTCCCCTGACCTGGCACCAAGATGCACCAAGATGCACCAAGAAACGTGTTCCCTTCTACCGACTTCTACCATAATCATCTATAATATCTATCATTAACTAGAATCTACAATATTCAATAATTTTCAATAATATTCAATATAGTAATCACTCCTTCTATCCCCTTCTGATTTTTCAGTATACGCTTCTTATATCGAATCAATTCGAATCATATCGTTCTCTCCAGAGCGTCATAAGATGACTCGTACATGAACTTGTGACGTGACTCCCAGATACTCCCAGAGCCCCAAGCACTCTGATCACTCTGATCACTCTGCACATGTGGCCTCTGTACTTCGCTGCATGCTCTGTAGCGATCGCTCGCCGCCGAATGGCCGCATGACGTCGCTTGCGTCCGCATAGCAGAATCCAGCGAATCAATCTGAAAAAAAAGCAAAGGGTCAAAATTAGGGTCAAATAGGCTTCAATGAGGGGCTCTTCAAAGGAAATGCAAAACGAGTAAAAGCAGCTTATGATAGTTACACAGTTACACAAGGACACACGATGAAAGTGCTACGGTCTGAAATATTGATGTTACCAAGTCTCATTTTTTGAAAGTTCAATGGAATAAACTTGGAATTCAAGCACACTTGGCAGATGCTAGATCTAGCTCCTGCTCTGCTGTATACAAACACCTTTTTGGAGCAGCAATGCTATAGCTTCCAATGTTTTGCTATTTGTTGCTACAGTATTTCATGCTTGAGTTGAGCTGGGAGCCACAAAAAAACATACAAACCTTCACCAAGTGGATCCATTGTCTACTTGTTGGTTCAAAGGTATGCAAAACATGCAAATGAGATCAAATGAGATCAAATGAGCAGGAAAACAAACGACCAAGGAAATCAGAAACGCACCGGAAGGCGCATGTTTCTTGCGCGATCAGAGACCCAACATCCTTTGTGCTGGTGCTAGTAAAGAATATGGTGGAGACCGACCTGTGAGGTCATTGTGCACCTGAGAGCTAAGGGCAAAGAAAAGAAGACTGGACTGAGTAGACTTAAACCTGAGTAATCTATGAAACGAATTGAAATGACTTACAAATTCTTACAATATCTTACAATGATGTCTTCTAATATCTTCTAATTAATTCCTGCAAGCAGTGAATCATCAAACAAATCACAAGGAACTGAAAAGAAGATGCACTAAATCTGGACAATGCGAAAATCACAGTACCAAACACCAAACGGTTGCCAAACAAGCCGAGGCACCACTTTCGTTAACTGCAAACCTAGCCAGCCAGTACAACTTTATGCACTGCTGGCAGGTTTGCCTACGGCGCTTTGTCCAGGCTATCAATTTTTCATTTTCAGGCTGTTTAGATCATTTTACTTGTTTCACTTCATTTATCCGATTTATCTTCATGTCACACATCATTCGCTATTGGCTTCTTCCCTTCGGTTGCATTCGTCCCAGTCGTCCCATTGGTTCCGTTCTTCCGCTCCAACTGCTCAACGGCTTTCGTTTCGACCGTTTCTTCAAAGTTGGCTTTGGCCAAAACAGTTGCAGCAGTCGCCCACGAGCGCAAAGCCGCAATGGCGATTTTGTCGCCGGGAGCTGCGACCGGTGGCTGGAAGCTGAAAGGTCGTGCACCACCTCTAAAAACACCGAGATCGACCGAACCAAGTGGAATCAAATGGAATCAGAGTATCACAAAGTCACTGACAAATGGTGTCAAATGCACAATCGCAACACAACAGGTATTGCAGCATCAAATGCTGGCGTTTCAATGCTTTTCATCTTGCATAATCTGCACCAAAGAACCAAATGATCCCCCTGAGGCAGCAGCGCGATCTGACTGTTCTACTTGGAGAAAGCGACATTTCATCCAGAGGTACATCTTTGTCAAGTTGCACACAGGGCCCATCCCACTTTGTCCATCGTTGTCCAGTGCAGCGCCTTCCATGTTCGCTTTCAGCTCGAGTGGTTTTTGTCGAAACTTTCGGCTCCATTTCTGTGGTTTTGCCTCTGTACAGAGCTGCTGTTTTAGGTCGAGGCTTCCGTGTGTCATCTTCATCTCGTTCGTAGCGCTCCAAGAAAGTGTGTAACGAGACATCACGACCATCGCGGCCATCGCGGCCATCCGTGTCTCGTTCACGCCTTGGAGAGTCAGACTGCAGGGACTGCAAGGACGGATGCGATCGATTTTGCGGACTCTTCGGGCTCAGAGGCTCCTGCACGTCAAATTTTGTCAAAGAGTCAAAGATGTCAAAGTACACAAAGTTCTAAAAGATTTTAGAAGCATGTATCCGGCGACGCGGCCATGGTTCCAAAATTCGGCATGGCAATTCATGGCAACGCATTGGTAGGCTCTTAGAGAGCATAGTCTTTGACAAATGTTGACAAGCTGCCGCACTACATTGCAAATCATCGCAATAGATGGTACCATATGTTACCTGCTAGTGGTACATGCTAGCTGCTTGAGTGTCCTGGGTCTCCAATTTGCCGAGAACACAAGCAGCCGCCAGTTGCACTCGCGGATTTGCCGTCAGAGTAGACATGGCAGCGGCCATGCCACGTCGACCCAAGCGATCCAAACGGTCCTGCAAAACCCGATGCGATCACAAGATGTCCCTAGAGATATTCAACTGTCAAATCAATTCAATGGCCACAAACGACAATGAGCAAATAACATCAAAGAATTATACAAAATTATATGATATAATTTGAATGAATGACATGTCTAAATATGTCAACATAAATTTACATAATATGTCCAATGTGGGACGAGTGATGACGAGTGACGATCGAATCCGAGCCTGTTTCCGTCCAGGCCCGAGCCCGCCTTCGACACAGCTTCCAGGGGGTCACCTTTGACTTCCTTCTCTTGAAGTCGTGGCATGCAACTTCCACCACGTTGTCGGCCTCAGTAAATGTGAGGAAACTAGAATAAAGAGATAGAACAAGAGATATCCAGTGTTAGTGTGTATTAGTGACTAGTGCTGATCGAATGATGTGGAAATACGTGGAATCCACAAAGTCTCAGCTCTTCTGAAACACAAAACTGCACCCCTTGCAGATCAAATGTTCACTTGTCTAGTCTCAAATAACTTGTCCCCTGACTTGTCTCCCGAATACCAAGCAGGAAAGCAAAGCAAAGTGCATGCGGCAGCTCAACTCAACTCATGCTTTCATTTCCGGTGCGCTGTTTAGATTCCTTTTGTTTCACATAATTACTGGTAGAAGAAACATGTTTCAAAGGGAAACAAATGCTTCGGTTCAAAGCCTGTTTATTCATGTTTATTCTCATTCAGATCATTCAGTGGATTCGACATTCCAATCAAAGACATCTGGAGAAGTTCCGATGCCTCGGAGTTCGAGATTCTGAGTGGCGAACCCACCAGGTAGGTTGTCTGTCCAAAGGCGACCACCTGTCCAAGCTCATCAAATTTATCAAATTTATCAAGTTTCAGGTCAGATTTCGGAAAGCCCTGCCACAAAAGGTGTTTCTCTCTGCCGAGTTCGTGTCTTGTCCACAAAAATGCGCTGAACACATTGAAAAATACTAAAGAGTGTAGAAAGACAATGAAAAAAAATACAAAAAATATCAGCACCATTCAGAACCTAGCAACTTCTCTGATCTGAAACCTTGAATCACCTTGATATCCTTTCAGACCTCTATGGAAACTCTGCAAAGCTCTGTATAGCTCTGCCATCCTCTCTGCCTCGCCTTCTCTACAGGTGGACGAACCACAACATCACGCGGACGTGCCGGCTCCTGGCCATTGGGATGCAGGCACGTCGGCAACATCCGTTGCTACGTCGGATACACGATGAAATATGAAAAGATAAATCATAAGGGGAAAAAACACACAAACTTCATAAACCTGATCATGAACCTTATCTACCCTCATCTTCCCTTCTCTGATAGATATTGCTAAGCCATGATGCATACCTTGCCTTGATCACAGCACAAGAAATGTAGCGACATGCAGCGACAAATTGACGAAGTGACGCGACGTCTCACTGCCTACGCCTACTCTCGAATCTCTGCCTTCTTGACAAAAAACTTGTGCATGACATGTTCATAAACCCTAGCCATGAATACTGTATCAAATGTCCTTCACGCTTCAATGTACATGACATGATTGATCATGGATATGATATGAAGATGTACAGTATGAAGTATGAATGTATAATGTTTATATATACATATATACATATAATATATATATATACACATATGTATACATAATTATATATATTATTATATATATATATTCTATCATATATATATATTATATTATATTATATATATATTATATATTATATATTATGTGTAAATCATATAAATGTGTAGTCCATCATGATTTGGAAGCCATCTGAGACCCAACGGTGTCCTTGACTCGTTCGACCCTCTCGACCCTCTCGACTGCCTTTTCCTTAGACTCCTCGTCCTTCTCCTTTCGCCCAAAGCTTTTCGCCCTGAAAGCAGATCGACATCGAAAGGAAAATAGCTGGGATGATATGCAACAACCAAGACTTTTCAATCAGGATGGAAAAAGGCTGGACTCAGCCAGAAAACAGCGCATTCAGACGGAATACTGCAGCGTGTTACACCCGGCAAACGCAATGAGCAAGTCGGATCTACCCACCTGCTCAAAAGAGTCCGAACATATTTGGAGTTGACAAATTGACCCCCCAGAGTCCCGTGGATGAATATAGATTAATGACGTTGGCGTATATTGGCAAAGGGCAAAGAGCCAGGCGCCCACGAACCGAAGAAGGTTCCAGCCTCTGCCGTGCTCCAGAGGATGCAGAGGGCATTTCTTTTCGGCTCGGGACTTTGGTCCTTGGAAGAAGCAAACTGTTCTTGGGACGCTTGCAACTGGGGACAACGAAGTTCAGGGAAGGATCAAGAGATTAACAGGAGAAAAAAACGAAAACAAAACATACGAAAACGAAAAACATCGAAACACCATGAAAACAATTGAAAACACGAGGTTGCTTTTGCAAGGTTCCTCTTGATCCTTTTTGGATGCTTTTGGCCAGTGCTCCAACAAGTAGCCGCACTTCTCTGACCCGTTTCAAATTAATCCTTGTTCCTGCATGTTGCATATAAACCAGCCAAGTGGGCTGCATGATGCTTCGTATCTCCATCGTTCTCCATCATGTCTTTGCTGAAGATTTCTTGCAGCAAAGCATCAATTTCTTCGACGCGTTCAAAGTGTTGGACGTGTTCTTTTCACTTTTGACTTTTCGCTTGGAGGTGCTTCTCACTGGCTTCCTGTGGGGCAAGACAGTACAGGTCAGTACAGGTTGCCCACGTGTGAGTCTCACTAAGGTTCGAAAGCGCGGTGTGTGACTTCAAGATGCATCTCACTTCACTGGAAGCATACAAAACTAACGTCATGATGACCTCCATACGCGCGTTTCGTATATTATCCATTGTGCTTTCAACTGCATTAAACCAGCACTTCACCACTCTTCAATTGTCCGTGATTTGTCAGAGCTGCTTTTGGTCCTTCTGCTCATCAGTTTTTCTTCCACTTGTCTCAGCTTCAAATCTTCCTGCAAAAGACTCTGCACAAACGTTCCGGTATGTTGCTGCAATCCATTGTGTCTACACGAAGTCGACTTACACGTCCATCCATCTACAACACTTGCAAGGTGCTTACCTGTGATTCACAAGCTTCAGATGCATAGTACATCATGATACAATGTCCAAACATGTTCCCGAACTTGGCCTGATATGCCTTCCCACCAACGCCCCACTAAGGACCCTGCTAAATTGTCATCCGATGGATGACTATCGCTACCTCCTTTCAAGTCAACATCTCAACAGCTCCGGGAAAACAACTTGGTTGCTTTTTTGAAAAATCTAACACCTTCCAACACCAACTTTCAACAACTGTCAGTTCTCCGAAAGCAATCCAAGCACGGCACATGAATGTGCATATGTGGCTTCCTGAGTCAGACTCATCAGCATCTGGAAAGTCAAGTTCTTCCATGATGTCTGCCACATTGCAATCGAGGAAGGCCAAACCCTGGCACAGTCTTGGCACTTGGCATGTCTTGGCATGTTGAATGTCTGCAAATGTCTGCAGGCTGGCATGATGCTGACATGTTTGTCATTGTCACGCCATGTCAATCTCATCTATGCAGCTCTGACTTCAGACAGAAAATATAAAACAGTCGAACTCTGTCTCTTTATACAATGTGTATCAAGATGTCTTAAGATGTTATTAATTATTCATATTTAATCATTATATTTGATGATTATTGCCGCCAACAGGGGTTCCTCATCCTGGAATCTCTCGGAGGTCTCGAGAGAGTCTGGAGAGTCCTGATCATGTCTATCCCTATGCATGCTATACAACAGAGCTGGAATGTGCTGCGAAGACAGCTTTTAAACTTCATGCAAAAGCCATAGGCAGCGACTCCTTGCATTTAGGATTCAAACTTGAATAGATTTGAAAGGATGGATGATGATGGAAGTATGTGGCACACGATTCATGGCATTTCCTTGCGCTGGGATGTGTATACAGAAGAAAAACCGAAACCAACGAACATCTCCGGGCGGTCATCTTTGCATGTGATCGTTCTTTTTCAATCACGGTTCCATGCTAGATCTCAATCTAGACTCACAAAAACATTCAACATCTTAACAATATGAGAAAGAGCCAGTGGACAGTTTCCCTTTAGCGGAGAGGCCCTAAAGTGGTTTAGAAAAAAAAATGTTGAAACTTTCGAGGATTCGACTGCAGTCCTGAAAATTTGTCGGTGAAGGAGGCTCGAGCCTGGTGTAGCGCCGACCAGAGGCGTGGAACGAAATTTTGAAATGGACTTGATTGAGATAAAAATGAGACAAAACAGATCAAAACAGCTCAGTGACTCAGTGATGCTCAATGGTGGCTCCAATATGGCCCTGGCCCCTCGGTTCTCTCGGTATCGGAGTCCTCCTGAGATGTGGCCTATCTATGCTGCCTGTGCTACCATCTCCATGCTCCCTACTTGAACCAAGCTTAAACCAAGCATAAATCATATATATATATATATACACAATACAGAATATCTAAAGCATGTACTATATAATAGATTATATAATGTATAAAGTAGTATATAATAGTATATAATTACAAGAAATCCAAACGGGCGTTATCAATTGCTGAAGTATGAGTTTGACGTTTCGTGATGTCAATGTGAAGGCTGTCACAGTTTGCCTGCTTGATAATATCTGCCTAAAAATCCAACAGCTGAACTCTCAGGGCGCTTCGCTTTCGCTGGAGGTCAAATCAGAATTGCATGGAGATGCGCTGGAAGTGCGCAAGACCTGAGATGTTCAAGGCTCTCTCTTAGTTTGCTCGATTGCCACTCAGTTTTTTGATGGTGTTGACCACTTTAAATATCTTCCAACACTTGAATCCAATATTTGAATCCAATATATGCTGAATTCTGAAATACCCTGAATCTCTCCCAGCCGAGTTCTTTGCTGACTCTTTCAAAGCCAGCTCCTCACTGTTCAGAGTACGAAACGCACACGAGACTCCCGTCTCAGAAGAGGAATTGCATAGAACACCAAGAACAAGTGCACAGAATCGGACAGTTTGCTTCAAGGAAGCACCCTCTTCTTCATGCTCTACAGTATAAAATCTATTATATAAACTGAATCATACTATATCATACCATATAAATCGTTGAATACAGGCAACACGGCAATCACTGTGTCGCAATAGGTGTTCTTTCCTTCTCCGCAGTCAGCACCGGCCATGGCCCTCCTTTTCCACCTTGCACATCTCCAAGTGAACGCAAAAAGTGTCATGACACGATGACACGTACCCACTACGTAGTGACTCACACCGTTTTTGACGGGATTTTAAGATATTTTAAGTGTTTCCAAGCGCTCTCAGGATCTCTCGGGATCTTGTAGCTTGTGGACGATTCTACTGGACGAGTCTCACGCTGCTGTATCTTAAGACCAGGACCATCCCATGCACGAGAGCACCGCAGTCGGCCCTGAACCTCAGTGCATGTGACCTTGAGCATTTGTAATATGTGTAGATATTTGTAGATATTTGTAGATATATATGTGTAACACTTCTCAGCTGAGATTCTCAATGTGACCTTGAGAGGAGCGAGGCCTTTTGAAGGCTGACACCTTTTGAGGTTTGAATATGTTTGAATATGTTTGAATATGTTTGAATTTTGAATCGTATTTTTGTATGAGAGCGATGGAAATTGTTTTAGGTTACCGCTAAAGGGGCTCAAACCCTACCTCGATTTCCATTCCCTGACCTTGTCTTGATCTTTGACCTCCCTTTCCAACGCCACACTTGGTTTTCATTCGCTCCAAGTCTTCAATTTTGACCTGCCTCGTTTTTCAGGCAGTCCCACCTCGTTTTGCACCTATTTACCTATTTCTGCATCAAAAAAAAACTATGTATATGCACGTGCGCAAATATAAGCCGTTGCTCAAAGAATAATCTTTGTTCATTGTGTATATACATGTGTATACGGTATATGTGGGTGCCTTTGCAGCTGTAATGCACATCTGGAGTTCTTCGATCCATTGATCTGTCTCAAAGCATCCCGAATAATCGATGCATATCGAAACATATCGAAACCCTCCAAGCTCTCGCAGAGACCCCTACATCGGTCCTCAATGGTCAGCATGATCTTTCCTTCCCTTCGTCCCTTCGCCCCTTCGTCCCTTCATCCAAGGAGCCATGGGACCAAGGCTGTGCTGCACGATCAAAGCACGTGCCAAGTTGGCGCCGAAGACTTGCAGTTTTGATGCGGTAAACGCCACCACCACTGGCCTTGGAAAATTTGGAAAATGCAAAAAACAAATTTGCGAAACCGAGAAAAGTCCTAAAAAAACAAAAGCAAATTCTGGCTTCTGCTTCCAACAGAATGCAAATGTTCTGATCCGTCTGCTGCAAATATCAGAGTCCAGTTGACGTGGGCTCAAATCGAAGTCAGGAAATGCAGTTCATCATTTTTCCTTGCCCTGCGCCAATTTTGAAACAGGTCCTGCCCTGGCAACCAAGCAATCTGAATGCGGCCAAGATGCATCGTGTCCTGGCAGAGCAATACGAACAAAATCAGACCACAGTTGGAAGAATTTGAATATCAAGGAAACCAAGGCAATGATAAAACTAGGAGTGGTGAAGGCATCAATAGTGGATGTCATTGAGCATAATTGTCCCTACCTGTAATTTATTATGTTATGTTGCACCAGTAACCCTTTTGGATGTACTTCATCACAATGGGTGCGAAGCCATAACCCTGTGCAGCAAAAATCATGAAGCCACTGAGTGCAGATTGTTGTCCTCCAAGAATTATGTGAATCTCATGTTGATCTTTTGTAAAACACTCGCATTCAGTCGAGGCGGAATTGAGAATTCAATAGAATTCCAACTTTCCGGGGAGACTCTCATGGAGTTTGCTGTACTGCTTTACAGCCTTTGTCAAAGCACCTTTCATCCTCAGTTCTGTTTTGAAGGCAAACCAAAGCACCATAGTTCATTTGTTTGAGGCCGTCCATGATTGAGGAGGTCACAAACCCTTGCATGTTGTGAGAAGTGAAGCTGTGGCAAAATGAAAGAATGTTGCTATTCAGCTGCTATTCCCTCAGTTGCAAGAGAAATCCGCACTGGTCCAAAGACAATAACTAATTGACCCTACTGGCGTTGCAACTACAACACGATTGCACTTTGAGTGGATTACCAACACGAAGCAACCTTAGGCACGATCCCATGATGTTCAAAGATCTCATCTGATCATCTGATTCATCTCATCCCTCGTTTACACATTCTCGTCCATTCAGGTTCTGCCTCTTCGTCAGGCTCACCAGCCTTTCGGTTGACTCAACTCAAAAGGTACCAACTATACAAAGTCAGTATACTAATTTGAACTAATTTGTAAGCTATGTGTATCTGGAGTATACTCATGAAATCTATGAGCGATCCCGTTTGCACAATCTCTTGTGCCTTGGAAGCTGGCATGACATCAACAGCACCCCACATCGATGCCTGCGCAAAGTCGAGAAACACTGTTAGACACCATGCAAGGTGTGCCCATGTAACTTCACAGCAAAACCAGGACATTGGCATATTGAAAACTCCAAACTTTGACCTGGCCAAGTTCAAAAGGTGCTCAAAAGGCTCAAAAGATCTCAAAAGTAGCAGCTTCAGCAGGGTCCAGTCCTCTATCGTGTATGCATTGGTGATTCCAAGGTCCTCACAATGGCAGGCTGTTCCAGTCCGTTCCAGACCAATTTCCCATCGAACACGTGTCCAGTGCCGCGCAGTCCTTCGCAGCAACCACTCTGCCAGTGCCACGCTTTCCTTTGCCAACCTTGCACACAATTACGCAGAGCTATGCAGAGCTTCAAACGCGTCAAAGGTGGCAGTTTTAAAGGTATTGATTTCAGTCTCTGGTGAGTTTAAAACACCTGGTGAGTTTCTGCCCTATCTGATCGTTCCAATTGTGGAATTGCACTGGAGCGATCGGTTGACTGATCTTTGCGGCCTTTTCTTCTCATTCTTCTCCATTTTCGCAAGGGTGCAGTGACACTTAGTGGCACTCATTGACACTAAGAATATCTGTACATTGAGACGTCTGTACATGTCTGTCAGTATCGCAGCGTCTGTGTTTCTATACAATCATGACTTTCTCTTGACTGTCTTCACTCGTTGAAACCTGGAAGACAGCACCAAGCGGGACGTGGTCGCTGAAGTGCCATTCAGCTGGAATCGACCTCTCAAGAGTTGCTTCCTGCTGTTCTGGGGTGAAGGGTGCGCGAACAGCCACTGGGCTTAGAGTCTTGCAAGTGTAAAACCTGAGCACGTCTGAACACATCTAAGCGAATCTAAGCATGCACGGACAAAGAACGACCAAGAATGACCAAGCCAAGAAGAATGATGAACAATGATGAACAATGATGAACAAACAAGCATTATTGGGTCATATTGGGTCCTTGTATTGTATTGGGCATGTTGAGCCGACAAAAGTGCTTCAAAGATCTTCAAAGGATTTCTTCGCTTTCTTTTCTATGCACAGGTGCATGAAATCAATCGCTCGCAGCTTTGTTTTTCCAGAAGTTGGAGGAGCTCCAAATGTCGGTGGCCGCAGCGAGAATGGCCCAGTATTTGGATCGTAGATATCTGCAAGGTAAAGACCGTGATCAATCAGCTCAAACTCACCAGCTTCAGCTTCCACCTGTGCTCCGAAGAAAGGTTAAGAAAGTACACAATTTATCACAATCAATCATACGACATTAGATTACAGTTTACACATATTATGGTGCTGGGGACTGCAATCAGCGGAACAAGACACATGGAGATATTCAAATGCACATGACAACGTGATCATGTTTGGGGTATGGACTTTGGCAGGGAGCTGACAAACTCCTGTGACTGGTGCTGCATCAAAGGTACTCTGTCTCCGGGTTTTAATGCCAAGGACCTTGCCACTGGTCCACTTTCATCTTCGTTGAAATCACCGGTAAAGACCATGGCCTCGGTTCCGCAAGGTTCGGTAATGCTCGGAAGGCCGCTGCACAGTATTCTGAAATAGTCTTAGATGCCCTGGGCATAGCATGATCTGTCAAGTTGAGGATTGGTTCAAAGACTGCGGTCTCTACGGAGAGTATGAAGGGCCAGGAATCTGTTCCCCGCCTCGTGAATTTTGGATCACAGAGTTCTTTGTGGTATCCTTTTTGAGGATCCTATTGTTCTACAGTGGGCTTGAGCATTTGGGGTGATATTGGTGCTTGAGGATCAGAACTGACAACTGTACACCAGATTTCTTGCAATCATCCTCAGCATAGTATGAACTGCCAAATCACTCTTGGAGTCTTGGACCACTGTGGTATCTATGTTCTATGTTGGAGTGAAAGATTTGTAGACGATCATCTTTCGGGGTGCCAAGCGTTTTACACGTGCACTTTCCATACCTTGTCCTCACTAATGTAGTCTGACTCCACCCCACATGTCAAATCACACAACTTAGATGCATATTTATATAAATATGTAATATGTATAATATAATATGTGTATGTATACATACATACTATATATATATATATATTAAGTATATAATACATGGTATGTATACATGGTATGTACATGCATGTTGTTGTCCCTATTCTGTCTATTCTCTTGGCAATCCTGTCCAAGCTACGCAACGAGACGCATCGAATCCGCTTTGCTCTTGGTGTTTGCGGATCGACTGCAAAGCCTTCCTGGCGCAACATGTTGATTTTTGAGCGCAACTCACTGTGAGAATTTCCAAGTCACTGGTCTCGTATCAGTTGCGCAACAAATTCCCGTGTTCTTTATTGAATGCACTTGTGCCAAAGGAAAATTCAACGAATTGAAATGGATTTCCGGATTTACATCGTTGTCATCGAATGTCATCGACCTTTCCATCCCCTCCTGAGCTGCGTCAGGCGTGTACGGCCTTCACTGGGCGCACCTTCAAGATGACAACTTGCAAAATAGATCACCTGCCCAGCTCTCGCCCGCTGTCTCACCATTGAGCACCTGGACCTTTCTAATCCGTGGTATCTTTCTTGCGCATTGAATCTCTCCCATAATATGATGTGATACAGACAGAAAGATGAAGGACTTGACTGCACAAGCTCCAATTGTCCAGCGTTTAGTGTTCCCACACATCCCATGCCCCCTTCCAAGAGGAAGAAGTTTATGTATAGTAGGTGGCTCTCCTAACAGCCAGTCGGAAAGTTGGTACATCACTTTACCTTCCTTCACCGCACTGTGTGTATTAGGTGGAGACTTGTAAATTCTGCAGGGGTCTTGAGGCGCAGTACTTAGTCACTTAGTGCCTTTGTGTTTGCACGTGGTTAGGTCCGATCCAGCACAAACTTGCCTGAGACACCACCAGAAACAGGATTTAGAAAGTGAAAAAAACATAGGCCATAGGGACCATCATTCATACAATACGGGGTGTCTTAATGCAAACAACCTACAGTATGTGAAAATGTGGTCTCACAATCTTTCTCCACTTTAATCCACTTTAAGTCAAGCATGTTGGTGCACACCCCTTCGAACATGCAACCTTGTCGAACCCCGCCAAATCATGACAGGATTCTGCAAACAGCCGCCTGACCGCTTTGGTGTTTCAGGGCACAAAGAACCACTCGTGAACGATGCTCGTGCCAAATATTCTGCAGCTTCTCCATCTTGAAGAAAATTGCGCACTTGGCAAGCTCCGGAATCTTGCCCTGGCAAGTGTCCGGAACACGTCTTGCACATACATTTGAACTCTTTAAGCTCACCACAGCTCACCTACATTGCACATGTCCGACACTTCCTTTCGAATCCCAAAGGAAGGAGGGAAGCACAAGATCGGTGCACAATGTTGAACAACCTCTTATAGTTCCATATAGTTCCATATAGTTCCACTATGTTCCACTTACACATCTTTAAACATCCACTGGTGCAGCATGTCCGCCTTTGAATCATCCTTTGGTGCCACTGCGCTGTAGCCATTTTGTGCCAGGAAGCTGAACTCCTGCGCAAAGGTGCTGCATTCCACTTCCTGCATACCTCAGTAGAAACATGTAAAGACTAGTGACTAGTGAAACTTTGACAAAACACTGGCAAAACACACTGTAGCATGAAGTTCTGCATGCTTTCAGCTAAAGTTTGCTTAGCTGCTAAAGAGAATGGCCCTTGTCAGACTGTCATCCCCTTGCAAAACTTCGACTCGCATTCGCTGCCGGGTTGCAGTAGACATCCGCATCTATACCACAAATTAACTGTTGCAGTTGCTGTTTTCGCCATTGCCAAGATCTCAATGCTGCTGGAATGTTCGGGTAGTAGGGCTTCTGGTCAAAGCCTCAAGTCTTGTTTTACCTGAATGTTATTGATCCCTTTTCTGAGACAGTTCCAAACAAAGCACAGTTGCATTTCATCCCCTGCTTGCTGCACTTGGCCAAGAAGTTCTTGGCAAACACGGGCCCCAATCCTTCCATCGCACCAATAAAAGATGTTCATAACTTCATAACACTCCACCATACCCATCCATACCCCACCTTTGAGGAGCATGTTGAAGGAAACCACACTGATTTGATCGCCAGTGGTCCTCAGTGGTCTCCACATGGACTTCGCCAATGCCTCCGACTCTTGGCTCAGCACAAGCTGCACCTCGAGCTCCGCGTCCAACGTGTCCAACGTGTCCACTGCATCCGATCCAGATCCAGGTGACCCAGCTGAAGCTAAGGTTGTGCCAGTTGTGCCAGTTGTGCCAGTTGTGCCAGTTGTGCTGCTCGTTGAGCTCACCAAGGGTAAACCTGCGGAGTCAAAGATCTCCTTCAGTTCTCCGAGATTCATGGCTCGAAAGCGCCCCACAAAGAGCAAATGCCTCGAGATCGAAACCTTCGGTTGACACTCGACCGTTACAATCATTTCATTACATGCCATTGTAGAGTGTGCCTTCACGCACTATTGACCACTTCTTTGTTCTCAAAACCGACCCCTCGGTATACTTGAGAGCAGGCGGAGGCGGACGAAAGGTAGTGTAGTGGGAGAGGAGTGGTGTCAAAATGCTGCGTCCCTAAGATGATTACACCAAAAACGTTTTTGCGCAGTCTAAGATGATTTTATCCAGAGCATGACTGCATGATACGGTGTCTTGTGCAGCGTGAAATGATGCACGAAAAAGGGGTTTATTTAAAACCCCTTTTTAAGACCCCTTGCAGCAACTGTTATTGAGGCTGAAGCAAACCAATTATGCTGGACTACAGGGACATCTCCCTCATGGAGTGTGTGCCTCTACTGTGGCGGACCGTGACCGCGTCACCCGTGGGAATTGAACCCATGACCATTTTAGATGGGGGGGGCCCTTATAATTGATATCTAATACATAACGTCGAGAAGTCTACGTTTTCCACGGGCTGGCCCCCCAATACCCCCTATGATTGTGCTGAAGCACGGAGAACTCAGGTAGCTGACGCTACCTTTCGTGACTTGTTCTTGTTTAGTCAGAATTTCTCAAGCTCTTATCGAGGCAGTTTCCCAGCAGGATTCTTCATTGTTCTCACTCCTCTGGAGGTCTCTTTCCAATGCGATCTCACAAGAAGAGGGCTTCTTCAGTCCCTGCGTTCCATTCATCGTCGGTTTTTTTTGTTTCATGTTGTTTCCTGCTCTTTGCTTGGTCAATAGAACTTGAGACTGAGATCTCTACGCTCCAGCGACAATGGAAGAAATTGAACTCTGGAGTTAGCATCGACCTGTGAAGTCACGAGGATTCACGCTGCGGTGGATAGCGTTGGACATTGAAGCCACTGCACTTGCACCATGCAAATCATGCAAACATTTGCAAACATTTGCAAACCATATTCATCCATTTTCAATGTAAAGGAGTCTCCGAATTCAGTGTCTGGCAAGAGTTTTGGGAAGATTCGCACGGTGAAGCGGCGGTGATCATCCTGGAAAGCACAGAAGTTGTGAGTTGTGAATACAAATGTTTGCGAATGGCAATGCCGTACTGCAACTGGTTTGATTCACATAGATTCTTTGTGGCCTCCGCGAACTGCCCACAGGCATATGCAAAAATGCCGCACTTTCGTGAATGGCCATGCCTCAGAACGCTCTGCAGAACTCACTTTCACACAGTTCACACATACACTGAGAAGACTGCAACGGTGTCACACTATGTCAGACTCTGCCCGCATCTGCCCGCTTAGCTCCACGACAGATCCAGGTACATACACAGCTTGGCCTTGCTGCGTGCAACCTCAAGCTCCAAAGGCCCACAAGGGCCATTCAAAATCAATGCTGTGATTGGACACGGAGATGGAGAGAGAAGAGAAATGTCTCCGTGTCAAAGAAGAGATCAGGTAGCTCCATGTTTTTCTCATAATTTTTGAAATCAGCGTAAAGAGCCACATGCTGCTTACAAAAAGGGAAGAAGCGGTGGTATAGAAATAAGAGTTCGTAACAGATGTTCACAGCTTCTGCGTATTTCGAACGGTAATCATGAGTGGCTGAACATGTCTTGATTTATTGACAGCACGATACAACATATCCCTCCTACACTCATAGCTGAGCAACCAATTTCTTCAGCTTGTGTACCTTGGCCGAAGGCCCAGTGAAGCTGGCAAGACTTTGAAACTCTCGGTATCTTGCTCGGCTTCAAGATTGGCAAGATCATCGACAAAAAAACATGAATGTACACAAATAATCAAACATACATATACAATCATGTAGTCATGTATATCCAACACTACAATATATATATATATATGAAATTATATACACAGTATATATCAGTATATATTGACTGCGATTCAAAAAAAATCATGCCACATAAGTATCCAATACAGTACTTGAGTACTTTCTTCATCTTCCTCTGAGAGCCGGACCGAAGAATGCAGGACTTGGTTCGGCTGTCTCCACTGGCGGTTGAGGTCTGTGCCACACAGGCCACATCGGTAGTTGCCGCCTCAGCTGGACGATGTACCATATATATCCATATATAGCAGCTAACATATATATATATATATATCACATATTATTATATACATGTACATATATATATATATGTATATGTATGTATTATCTTATTATACATGTGCTATCAAAGATCATTGTCGAACGATGTCGCGTGATGTCGATGTCATAAGGTTCCTCCTCATGGGCTCTGTAAAATTCATTAAAAATCTATAAGCTATTGACAGATGTCGCAAATACCGTGCTTCCCAGCACACCAAATGCACCGAATGACAGATATCTGGGGCTTAGGCAAATGACGCCATCTGGGTTGAGCATCGGCACACAGATCCAAACCTTGGGGCCAGGTCAACACATCGAGAATCGAGTGAAGTGAAACATTCGATTGGCTCCTTTAATCTGTTTCTGAGAGAAGGGGCACTGAATAGCACTGATTAACAGTCCACGCGTTTATGGCTTTTTTATGCTTATGCACTTCTCAGCCAGTAACGAAATTGTCTCGGAGAACCTGCTCAGAAACTACAGGAGTAAGTTCCAACAAAGCAACTGATCTTCAGAGATGTCCACAGACAAAAAGCGTTAATGAACCGTTAATGACTTTGTTGCTTTGCACAAGCAACAACGAGCAACAACAAGCAACAACAAGCAATGTCCAGAAATTCCAAAATGTCCACTATGCACCGCGTGCACCATGACCTTTTATGAACTTTGAAGCGTTTGGAGTTTCCATGACTTTCCGCTCCTGAGCTTCCGCAGTCGACGACAAAAGAAAGCCCATCAGTCCGTGGACCAGCCAGCTTGCGTTGCCTTAACGGCGAAAAACGCTTGAGAATTTGAATTGAAGTAGAAAAAGAAAAACTATGTGTTCCGTGTATTTATGTGTAATTATTCAAGTCTTTCTTTGTCCGTGTGAAATTCCATTCAAACACCTGAGTGTTATCAAGTCAAATCAACTCGCGAAGCCAATAACACTCTGCAAAGCACTTGGCAGTTTGATTTGACAGCTCCGAAAAAAGGACTCTACAAATCTCTGCAAAGCACTTGGCAGTTTGACTGTGAGTTTTCAAGGCCCAGACTCTCGCCAGGATGAACTCTTGCACTTACAATTACAACCTTTCGAATGGTCTGCAAGGCGTAACATTAAACAATCACGGTGAAAAACAAAAAAACAAAAATGCAGAATCCATTTCTTAAAAAGAGTGTTAAATTTGTCTGGTTTGACTTCGCGTTGTGAGGCAGCTGCACTCACTTTGTTCCTTCAAGATCTTCCGATGTTCAACGGTACAAGATGTACAAGTACACTGCTGCCTTCTTCATCTTTCGCTCAATGCGGCTATTTGTGATGGTCAGCATGTCGCAACATGCCTGCGAAGGCAACTCGGGTCGGTGGCTTCATGGCGTTTCCCATCTTTGGCTTTCAGTCACATGGTCAGGGAAACACCTCGCCCACGGTCATGGCCAAACGTTTCAAGCGGCAAAAGGCCCTTGTGGCAGGGTCTCTCACCAAGTGATTCAATGTCCACCTTAGCCAATTGGATGCATCCGCGTCAAAATCCATTGGCCACACTGCTAAGATCGGAACTGCAGCATTGAGTATGTGTAAGGTACCTTGCAGCAGTGGCTGTTTCATTGTGTTTCATGTATTTCTGAAGACAAAGCAGATGGCACGTGCGTATGAGCTGCTTTTGTGGCACTTGAATGTGGTCAGGTGTGTATGCAATCAAAATCAATCAAGTATCTTGCATACAACATGTCTTCATATGTCTTCCGTGAAGCCAGTGCTGGGTCACGTAGTATGCAAAGAAGACCGAGTCATGGCCCCGTTCGAAGACATAGTCAAAGGACAAGGTGGAAGTCGAAGTACCTCGGATCAGCTTCCAGCTGATTTCATCTGGCGAATGAAAGGAAATGAAAGCGACCTCGCCGATGGGTTTGGAGTGGTTTGGTACAAGTATTCTTATGTATCTTTCCCAAAAAGATCCGACATACATATATTATATATATATATTATACATATTCCATAGATATCAAATATATTCTAATATATTGATATCAAAAATTCGCTGCGGCAGCTACTGCATCTTTTGCCTTCCTGTCGCTGTGAGAGCTTGGAGCCGAACCGTCGCTGCCGGCGGTCCTCGCATTGACTCAAGCCAACAATAAGCGTTTCATGTTTCAAAGGTAGATATTGCAGTGGCTCCTTGTATGATCATTGCATATTACTCTATCTTATTACCATTTCGGCTATTTTGATCTATTTTGTATCTTGTTTGGTAAATTATCATACATTATCGGTACTGCTTAAAACTGCCTGACAGTAAGTAGCAGTGAAACATCTGGCTGGAGTTCGAATGGATTGAGATAGAAAGCCAAAGCACCTTACGCAAGACAACTCCACTATTCCACTGCCAACTCCCCACTCCTGCAGTATCTGACGTCCTGACACAGGAGCTGTATGGAGCTGTATGGAGCTGTGGACTTGCGATCCGAAAGTGTCTCTATCTCTAATTCAGTTATTATCATTTATTCGCATCTTTGCAATACCTGCTTTGGAAGCTACGAGCTCATGTTTGCACACGGGTGTCGCCAGACAGCAGTGCGTCCATGTTCAAAAGCATAAACATTCAAAGCCTTTGATTACGTTAGCACGAAAACCAATAAACCGGGTTTTAATTACATGCATAACAAATGCAGGTTTTGCCGACTTCAATTCTCAAGCTGTGAGGTCATCAAGACAACTCCAATGACCAAACTTCCTTCAATCATGAGGAACAGCAGATGTTCGAAAGCTGCGGAAACTCTGAAATGAAAGACGAAAACGGCCAAAGTATTCAGAAAAGTTCAGAAAAAGAAAAGCTTCTGAAATAGCTAAAAGGATCTAAAAGGATTCTAGATGACTCTGCTCTTCAGCTCTGCTGGCCCTTTGCTGCGTCCCCCTGCCTCTCCAGCAGGCTTCCACAAACCAAAAGCGCCGTCCCACACGGAGTCCTGGAAACACTTTAGTCACTGAAATCTGAAATCCACGCACCTTCTTTGGGTAAGCACAAAGTATGTTGGAAAGGAACGACGTTTGTTCCAATTCAATTCAGCATAATTAAAGACACCTTGTCATTGGATTTTGCACATGTCTTGTATGCCACACAATCTCTATCCTTCTTCTATGAGAAAATCAGCATGCATAGTTGTGTACCTTTCCAGTGGTGACTTTTGATGTTCGAGTCGTCGGCGCGCAAATACTTTGAGCATTGTTGAACATTGTTGTCATTGTATACGAGTACATATTTCTATATATGATCATGTATAATTTGATCATATAATCATTTCTATCTGGCAGACCTGATAAATCTTTTGCAGGTCCTCAAAGCTTTTCTTGCTCACAGACCTTGGAAAGCAAATGAAAGCGTATTATGAATTATGAAAGCGATCTTATGCGATTTTTGTCGATCTTTCCAACAAGATCAAGCAACAAACAAAAAGAGCCAAAGGACTCTTCGAGTCTGATAGAGCCGTTGCTCAACCGATCTCAAGACCTTTGGGAATGCTGGGTTCAGCACAGTCTTCTCTGAGCATCCAGTTCCGACCATGTCACTGGGCCTTGGAGTTCTCCAAATGTTGACGTATGTTGACATATTTCAGCATTCAAAAAGGCTTCAAATATCTTCATGGGTCCATTTTGGAACCCGAAACCTATCAGCCTTCTTTAGGCCCTCGTTTCCTCTTTCACATCACTCTTTCGTATCTTTCATTGCACTCCACCAGCTGAGGAAGTGTCGCATGCCGACGCGAAACAGCACTTTGGGTTTGGACCTCACCGTCGCCAGAGCCCAACATAGGCCAACATGATCAACATTGATCAACCATGATCAACCATTTGAATCCATTTGAGCCATTTTGAGTCTCAATGAAGAATTTGAGTGATCAAACAAAGTGGGCACAGGTGAACGACTCACGTGCACGCCGCTCTGCACCAGACATATTGACGATTCGGATTCGATACACTCTGCCAGCTCGACCATTGCGCACTGCCTCGGCCGACACATCGAGACGCAATGCTGACCAACGTGATCAAATGTCATCAGTTAAGAGTCGAGGTGCTTTTAGAATCTTTTAGATGCGCACGAAATATTGACATGATATGACATGATTACTGATCCTGATATATCCTGACTGCATCGATAATATCGATAGCTGAGCTTCTCACAAAGTAAAACCACTGGGTGTGTCCACGACTGTTGAGATCATTGTCCAGAAAGAGGAAATATTCATCTCCCTCCTTGTCATATAGCACCTCTGTGCAAGCACAGTGTCAACTTGGTGCGCTGCAAAGGATGAGAACACATATCCACGGCAAGAACTCATCTGGCACACAGCAATAATTGACAGGAAACACAAACGCTGAACATGACAAGTACCGGAAAAGTAGCACGATGCGCAAGGAATCAAGCAAAAAATCACGGAAACCAAGTCGACAAGCTATACAATTATATTATGTATAGACAGTCGATGTATACCATGTTTCTGACAACATTTTCAAGTTTGTTTCGAAACTGGTGCTAAGTCGGGCACGCATCGCAAATTCCCAGATTCGAAGCAAGATGTGAATTCGAGCAGGCTGTCTGCTAAGTCCGGCGGAACTAAACCTTGGTCAAGTCATCGAAAGAAGAAAACAGCTGAGAAATACTGAGGAATGCTGAGCATCTGACTAGGAGAAATCTCTTTTTGAGACTTCATGTCCTCCCGACCTCACACCCAGAAAGTTTCCAACAGGACTTAACAGGACTAGATTTCGCATAAGGCCTGTCTGGTAGTCTGGTCTAACCTCACAAGACCTCTCGACAGAAGTCAGATTGGCGTTGGATCCGGTTGGTCCTTTGGATCTGGAAAGATCTGGAAATCTCAGGGCAACACCCTGAGCGCTTCGACGTCGACGGCTGCCCTTTTCCTTGTCTGCACTCCTCGCGCTGTCACTGCCTGAGACAAAGATAATCAAAGATAAGTGAAGCCTGCAAAACGAATCCAAAGTCCAAAGTAATCCAAGTCGAGTTTTAAATCTTCAACCAGTCCAAAATGTTCGCACATCCCAGTTGAATGACAGTGATGGCAAGAGGTGCTTGCCATGAAGACATGGCATCGTTTCTTGCAGGAATCCTGTTGTCCAACTTGTCAAATGTCCTAATGTCATCCTCTCACAGCTGTGCTTCCCAGCCAGAATCCTCATTTTGTGGTGCTGGCAGCGCCACCTCAAAACAACAAATTTAGTGAGTTCGAAGAGGGAACAAACAAACGATTTTCACTGAATATTCTGTATTTCATTTCTGCTACAGCGGCGCCCATGTGGCCCGGCCCAACCGAATATCATATTATCAAGGAACCATCCTGGAAGAGACATGGCATTGCTCTGTTCCTGTTTTGATTGCCATTGGTGTGTGCTCGGCAATCCTATATTATATATGATTATTATATATAATATATATATAATATATAATATATAATATATATATATATATATAATAATTATATATAATATATAATATATATAATATATATATATATATACTCTACTTGTCTCCTTTTTCCAGCAACCGGAATTAATCAAGGTTCGATACAAAGGATGTGAATGTAGAACATACAGAGACATGGTGTACACGTATATATATATATACATGTATATAATGCTTACAATATAGCAATCATCATAATCATAATAAACATAGATCATGACCATAGTAGTAACTCTTAGTAATAGCAGAGAGAGAGAGAGAGGCGCCTCGACAGGGTCAGCGCGACCCATTGCTCGGTCCATCTCGAACGAAGTCGGTCTACCCGGCCACAGCAAGGAACCTCAGCGGACTGCCAGGACTGTCTGGACTGCTTGGATTGCAACGGAAACAAAGACATCAAAGACCAAGAGAATACGATGCTTTTACAAGGCTTTTATATCTTTTATACTGAAATATTGCCTTTACAATTTTTATGGTTGCTCCATGTTGCTCCTCCGTTTTCCAACAAAAAACACCTGATGCTTGGAGGAACGAAATCATAGAGTTGCAGGGTTTGCTCCAAATATAGCTGACTGACAAGGTCTCGGTCAAAGTATGCCAAAATATGTCAAAATTGTATTTAAAAATGAACAAATACATATGTATGTGTATATTATATATATATATATAATTGTAATTATATATACACACAAATATAATCACCAGGATTTGCTCGGTTGCACCAAGGTACCAGGGGAGGGCGGTGCTCCGAAAACTGAGCGCCACCGCGGTCCAGGTGCGGTTGGTGCATCAGAGCTGTCATCTGGTGCTTTTTCAATCCAGCCATCTCTGGCTTTTCGCCAAAGTTGCCCTTGTTCTTCATCAGGCCGGAAGTAGCACAGTAGACCTGAGACTCAAACGACCTTCGGACCCTGGGATGGGGAATTAGGGGCTCTACGAAAATGAAACATGGGTAACCATGGCATTTTTCTTGAATTGAAGGAGCAAGTGTTTCAGCCTGCTTCTTGGCGAGCAAGAAGCAGTATAGCATAGTCTCAATGATGTTCGGAGTAGCGGATAGTAGGGCAAGAGTTGTCAGAAACGGAAAGTAGCAGCTGCTGATCTTCACCAAATCTACTGCAACAGGTCTTTGATGCTGCCAGATTCCATGAATGGTTTACACACGTATTACCGTATAACTTATGAACTTATAAAGTCTTACAACTTAGTCGCTTATACATGCTTATACGATCTTCATCTATCTTCTATGCAGAGAACGCGTCTCTCCTCCATCTCCAAAATTTGGCATAGCTCTGCCTCTCTGAAACGTATGAGTAGTGCATTCTCCGAAATATGCCTTTGTCATGCAATGTGTTTTGTCCAAGGGGCGCTTTGATGTCAACCAGTTGGCAAGGTTCAAATGGCCCAGCTGCGCCGATGGGCAAACAGTCTCTGTGGCAAGGTAGCTGGTGATATCTGGCTTCAAGGAATCCACAAACTCCAACTGACCTCACAGATTTGCATCATTTCATAAAGCCTAGGCCCCAAGCCTTCTAGTCCAACACAGTCCGACTAGTCCTGGTTTTAGGCTGCATAGCTTGGATATGTTTGGGATCAGTTGGATATCATGGGTGCATCATGGGTGCAACATGGGTGCAACAGTGGAAAAAAAACGGGAAAGAACTTCTCAAGTGAGAGCGAAGGTCTAAACTCAAAGTCTCAAGTGTGAGCTATGCGGCCCTACTCTCCCTGGTCACACAGCTCGACAGCTCGGCCTTCCAAGGCTGCCATTGCCAACTTGGCCCTTCGCCATGAAGTCTCCGGAAGATTTCTTCAAGTGTTCTAAGGAATGGTCACTTTGTCCCGCTAGCATTGTGTCTAGGCGCCTTTACTTACCCCCAATTGGAGTTCCAAAACAATGCTCGCAAGGCTGGAAGAATGTTGAAAAGAAAGACTGCAAAGACTCAGTATAGACTTGGTATCGGTCAGTATCAACTACGAAATGTTGCACCACGAAGAACTCACCAACGGTACTGACCGGTACTGTCTGTGATCAAAGTAGAAAAAGGATGAAACAAATCACATCTCTGGCTTGACATAGCTTGACAAAAGGTTGGAAAACACAGTCAACCAGTCTATCAATTCTCTGAAGTGAGCAAGAGACAGCACCAAGACTTTTGCAAGATGTGCAGCATTTGTTGCTCCTGATCTGTATGATTCCAATTGTTTCCAGAGCCTGTGCAAGTGTAAGTGACTCTGCAAGTGACTCTGCAAGTGATATCAAGTGATGTTGTCGGCGTCCCACTTTTCTCGACGCGTTCGGCCGGTACATTCGGGGTGATGTCCTGATCCAGTACGGAGCCTTGGCACAACCTGACATGTCAAAAACAACAGGCACAGCAAAAAAAAGCTTTGGGCTCCTTTGGGAATGTAAAGCAATCTCATCTCAACACAAATTCAAACGAAAGAAAATCTTGACTCAAAGCATATTGAAAGGCATTTGTTGAACGTTCAGGAGGTCATCAAGAGATCATCAAGAGATCGTCAAGAAGCAAATCAGGCAGCACATTCCAGTTGCACCGTCAGTGAGTCGTCAGCTTTTTGTGGTAGGGCCATGAAGGCCACAGCCCAGCTGCAAAAGAAATTCGACGCAATGGTCAGCAGGTATGGCATACAATCCATTCCTCGGTAGCGATGGCCTGAACGGATCCGGATCCAGTTGGTGGATGTGGTTGGCATCTATGGGTTATTATGGGTTGATTCAAGGCGATTCTCATACTCCCAGGGACCACAGGGACCACAGGGACCATAGGGACCAAGATCCTTCAAAATCCCAAAGGACTTCTTTAAAAAGTGAGGGGATGTGGGGGGGGGGTGTGGCGCATTGAGTTTTTGATATGCCCTGTGCCAAGATGTGCCAAGATGTGCCAAGATGTGCCAAGATGTGCCAAGATGTGCCAAGTCACTTGAGTCCTGAAAGGCCGCGAGCAACCTGCTAAAGATCAGTGGACCGAGTCCACCCGTGACGGTCAGGACGGAGTTCACAGCCCCTTGGACTTGTCCCATCTCGTCGGGCTGAGCTGAGTTCATGTACAGCGCTTGGATTGCAGGTGCGAAAATGACACCAAGGCCAGAAGTCACCGCCAAGACATAGAGATCGTTAAAATTTGGCACGAAGCTAATAATTGCACAATTCAAAGCTCCAAAGAAATAACCCAACAAAATGACGCCTCTCACAGTCAAACAACGGGCCAAATGCTTCACAACAAAGATTTGGACCAACAAATTGTTGATGCCATTCAGCATAATTATCGGGGCGACATCTCGAAGTCCCTTGCCGAAATGGCCTTGAATATAGTAGAGGTAAATGGCACCACATCCAGCGTGAACAGAGTTGCTGACGAGCATGAGAAGCGTAAGGCCTCTGTACTTCTTAGACGCAACGATCCCAAATTGGAAGAGCCTGCGATACGCATACCAAGAAGTCAAAACAGCTCATGAGTCTTGAAAGTCCAGCACTGAAACAAAAGTTGCTTCTTGAATTTGGTTGATGTTGCTGCCATCTCCAAAGTTGATGACTCAATATGACTAGCCAGTACAGCATCAAATCTGCACAGCCAGAAAATGATGGAAATTGCAGTCCAAATAGTCCAGTCTGTCTACCTTGCCTACATCAGTCGTACCAAGTCACGGACACCCAAACAGCATCAAACAGCGGTCAGTTTTTGTCCATTACATCGTCACTTTATACGCCCGACCTTGACAGCCTCCAATTTCTGCAAATGTCTCGTCGCTGATTTTCCTGATTTTCGAGAAATTCTGCAATCCAGCAAAATTTCGTCACTGAGCAATTAGTGTTTGAACCAACCAGTACAGTATACCTACCATGTCCATTTCATCTCCAACAAATTTGTGAGCCCAACACTTGTTGTTTCTTGCCACAAATTTTGTCCTCTGTCACTCCTTAGATTGGTGGAACTCCCCGAATCAGTCCGAGAACTACCCACTCGTCGCTCAAGGTTCAGAAATGGACTCTGGGATGCCCAGAACGGTAGCTGCCAGCGCTAGGAAGGACAAACAGGCCGAGAGGATTAAACGATTCCTGGTTTTGGCACAGGAACAAGGACGACATAGGACGACATAGGACGACATAGGACGACAGTATGGTGTCTCAAATGTGGCACGTGCTTCACTGCAAGTCTTGAAGCATCTGCTACAAGGGCAGCCAGCGCTGCCGTTTCATAAACTATCGCAAAGCAGTTGCATTCATACAAAACACAAACAGCATTTAGAACAATAACATTCTGGAATATATTACACTGTTGAAAAAATTGGGCGCGTCGAGCCTCGTGCTTGGAACAAAACTTGCCACTGGAGTCACAGTCTGCTCTACATCCATTGCAGCTGCCAAAGTCGCAAAAAAGGCGATTCGCTGCTCTGTAGTGGTTCGGTCAGCGATCCACAAGGCAAAAACAACCTATCAACTGTTGACTCCGGAACTTCACTCTCTCACTCTCTCTCTCTCTCTCTATCTTGCTTTGTCGTGTATTCATATTGCAAGACTGCCTGCATCACAATTCTTCCAGGTTACTGGAGAAGACTCGGAGAAGACAGAAGAAAGATGAAGAAAAGTGTTCCCATTACAATCCGCTTCCAAAACAAAACGCTACACCTTCCGTCACCTCAGGTCACCTCAGCTGCGCCTGAAGACACGCTGCAGAAGCCACCACAGAAAGTACCTCAGTCGGAGGTGTCCAAACACAAAGCCAAGTTCACCTATACATATGTATATTATGTATACACGTATAATATATATATATGTATGTATAATAAACATGTATATATATATATTATAAAAATAATAATGATAATAATTTCAGTAGTGGTTAGGCCCCACCAGGTTCTCCACCACCAAGCTTCCCACCTCGTCGTCCACGAAGTTCCGCGGCAACTGATTTTCGCCAGAAGCTTGAGTAAAAGTAGCTACAGTAGCAGCTGGGAATTGAAGGCTGAATTGAAACATGTATGGGTGAATGCCTTGGCAAATAGTCAACTGCCAGCACTCCCCCTTTGAAGCATCGTTAGGAGCTTCAATTTGGAAATATCTTGCGGCCCGGCCCAAGCTACTTATGTACTTTCAATGCATGCAGTGCACAGTGAAAAGCTATTGGCTCCCTCAGCATGAACGCACATGATGTTGGTGCGGAACTCAATGCGCCATCCAACCATCAGCAAAGCAGCACCACGCCCAGGAATTATTCCAGTCTGGGCCGCTTCCATTCGACATGTCGCACACCATTTATGAATCTTTGCAGCTCCAGTCATAGGTGCGTCAAATATTTGCAGTTCTGGTTTAAATGGTACACGGTGCCATATCGTGTTGTGATCACTTCGAAGGGAATCTCAGGGAGAGGAGATGACTGTTGTGACGAAGCCGCATGCCCCAGCAGAGGATCGCCAGGAAGAGCTTGATCGAGCTCTGTGCGCACCCTTCGTTCTTCTGCTTCAATCTCATTCCACTCCCTTTCGTAATCCACCATCGATCCATCATGCGCTCGTAGGAGTTCCAACGCTGTTTGGAAATTAACTGCTGTTCGTGGGTTTTATGATTGCGCTTCTTCTGGTTGCGGAGCCACATTGATTGACTCAGCTGGCAGCGGAGCATCTTGAGCTGGATGCGGAGCATCTTGAGCTGGGTGCGGAGAATCTTGAACTGGATGCGGAGCATCTTGAGCTCGATGCGGAGCATCTTGTGCTCGATGCGGAGCATCTTGTGGAGCTCGGACAACATCACTCGAGCTCGGCCATGACGAAGAGCTAGGCAGATCTTCTTGGGAGACCTCCGAGCCTCCTTCTTTTCGTTCTTCGCAGCTTTCATGGGGAGACTTCCGGGTTGAGCCACAACACGCTTCGCACGAACGTAACCCCCCGTACTGCTGCATCCCAGAATCGCTGCGCGGCCAAGATGAAAATGATGATGACCAAGGTATAGATCAAAATGACTTCAATAGAAAATGCTTCTTCCGCTTCTTTCTCTTCCTCCGCTTTGGTGACTGCAATTGACGCGGCCAAGGTGATCAGCCGTAGGACCTGAGCTGTTTCTGCCAGGCACTTCTACTCTTTGTTGGCCAGCTGGCCGTCCTGATCTTTCTTTTCTTCTTTCCTTCTTTTCTTTCTTTTCCTTCTTCAACCTCACTTCGCTTTTACTTTCTAACTCCCCCATGCCCATGCAAACCTTCAGAAACTCAAATCGTGCTGCGGTCAGTGGCTTCGTTCCAATGTCGGCCACCATGAACTCACCAGGAACGTGTTGGAGAGCCCATTCACCCGCAGACACTGACTGTCTTGCATTGCATACGCAGCTCGAAGACGCAAGTGACGTGTGCGCCAATTGCCACCGTCACCATGCCCTCGATGATCTCAGTGAGCTCAGCTTCAGCTGTCGACAATGTCACGAAACCTTGTTGGCCAGACCTCCAAAAACCTGGAGATGAGCCTAAAAGGACAACGAACGAGCCATGGCTTTCCTCAGAGTCAGGTGCAAATGAAGCATCTGTGAAGACGGTCAAGATTGGGTTTTCGCCTTCTTCAACTTCAAACTTCAGTCCATCATTGGCTGTGGTTGAGAGGTACCCCTTGAGCTGGTTGCTTGCTTGGATCACAGCCTCAGGAGCACGAGTCACAGCTGATCCCATCCTGGAGACCACGTACATGAGATCTGGACGAGCTCTTGTGGTTAGCCACAGCGCTTCTCCAACTGCTTTTTGCGCCAGACGAACTTTCTCAATCGACGGAGATTCTTCTTTTGGCTCCATCGCAGCTTGATCCCTTGATCGCGGAATCTTCTTTGGCTTCACTTTCTCATCCTCCTTTTGAACCATGTCCAGAGTGTAGCTCTGTGGTGTCAGCATCCACACATCACGCTGGATCTTTTCGTTGTAGAACTTGGTGAGTTCCATTCCAAGAAAACGAGTTGCACTTTCAGAGACGGGTTCTGGCACCGACGTAGTCCAGGTCTGTTATATCTTTTGGATGACTGCTTCCAATAGAACCTTTGGGGCCGCAACCAAAATGTCGTCGACATACGTCATTAACAATCCGTGCAGCCGTTCATCTTCTCCAGCACAAAGTTTCCACAAATTGGCTTCTGATTGAAGTGGTTCCAAGTTGAAGATCTTGATTTTCCCCTCATAGTTCACCTGGATGTCAAAGGCACTGATCGTTTCATCTCTGGTTAATCCCCAAAGTTTTGGAGATCTTCGGAGGCTGTAGATAGCTTTTTCAGTTTCTTCTCAGTGTGTAATGCTGGTGGCTTCACAAGGATCAGGTCTTCATCTTCAGAGAGCACCATCTTCGCATTCAAAACTGCAGTGCGAACATCCAACGTAGATGCCAGCCATTGGAACCGAGCGGCACACCAAACAAGTATGCGCAAGGCAGAGGCATCTGCCCCTGAGCTGAAGTTGTCTTCTTCAGGCTTTCGTGGTTCAAGGTTTCCGCAGGCTACCCATCTCATTTTCTTTTTTTCGCCTCCAGGACCTGGTTTCCTTGCACAGACCAACTTTGAAGGAATGAACTCTATCCCTTTCCCCTTTTTCTCAGCCTCCTGTTGCAGCCTCTCCAGTTCTTCAGGAAAAACTTCTCGGAAGGCTTCTTATTCTTGTAGGAGTGATTCAACTTCGCTTTTGATGGCAGGCAGCCACTCCTCCCAAATTTCTGAAACCTCCTTTGGCGACACAATTCATGTCTGCAAAATCTCCTCTTCTTCATTTGGCAAAACCACAATTTTCTTCAAACTTCCCAAAACCTTCAGTTCTTCAAGTGCAAGTTCAGGGTCATCGTCGACCATGGTGCGCATCTCCTCTTCAATCATTCGAAGGAGATGCACTCGCTTTTTCTTTTCTTCTTCTCTTTGAACTTCATCCTCACTTTCCTCCTCAATCTTTCTAACAGCAGACTTGCCTCTCATCCTTCTTGAAATCACCAGTGCGTCCACAGTTTCTTTCTCAATGGCGACCCAACCTTCTTCTGACAGTGGAAGGTGAGCAGGTTTCATGATCATCTTGGTGATGGGCTCATCTTTTGGAAGGATCCAGTGGCCATGATCTTCAGGAGCGGGGCACAGGCACTTCACGGTTTCCGTGGAGACTTCAAAAGTGCCACGACGCCACTTTCTTTTGCGCACCATCACACCAGCCAGGAAGAGAGGCCAATCAGGCCATTTGCCAGGTCTGGCAGCTCGATTCAGCTCGCCACCACTTTGCTTCAGCACCAGCTTGAAGAAGGATATGGCGTATCTGAGTTTTGATGGATTTCACGGCTGTCTCGGCACGGCCGTTGCTGCGGGGCTCATCCTCCGAGGTTCGTGTGAGATGGATACCTCTCACGGCACCATTGTTTGAAGTGCCCTTGAAATTCATTCCCTTGGTCACTATGTATGTGCCCCACATGATACCCATCAGCTCGCAATCGCAAGAGCATGTCCATGGTGACACGTGTGACTGACCTCTTTGGCCTTCTTTGAAAACATTGGAGCAGCAAGGCGAAAAACTCTGGTTTCAAACTCTTTGGCTTCTTCGCTCTCGCCCTCCTTTTTCTCCTCACCTTCTTCCTCAATCTTTTCTTTTTCTTCTACCTCACCCTCTGGGGCCCTTTCCTCTTTTACGGCTTCTTCTTCTTCGTCGTCGAAGATGCCTTGGACTGCAGGTTCAGGTGCTTGATCTTCAATTGGTATCGGAGCTTCTTCTTCTTTCTTTGCATCGAAGTTTGGTGCTCCTTCTTCAAGTTCTCCAACTTCTTCTTCTTGGCATAGTCCAAGCGAGGGCACCCACCAGGATGTAGGCAGCTTTGTATCCACCAACGTCGTGAGCTCGGATAAACGGCCCTGTGGCGTCGATGGACAAAACTCCACCAAGAGGATGTTTGACTTTTCGGTGAGGAGGTTGCTGTTGCAAACTCTGTTGACAAACCAGGCAATCACGCCTGAAAGGGACATGGCCATGTTGTAGATGTTCTTGCCAGGAAAGAGGAGCAAGTTTGGGCTTTCGATGGATCACCTGGGTCAAAAGTGCTTCAGTCACCATGGACATAGTTCCAGGCGCCCACCGCGACAGTTCTGCAGAGGACTTGATGCCCATAGGGTTGATGCACTTCATCTTGTGTGCGTGCCAGCCATTGTGGTCGGCTCGACTGCAGCTCCTCCTTGATTTCCTTGACAAAACGTAGTTTCTTTCAGGCCAAATTCTTCCTCAAGCTTTTCCATTCAGAGGTGTCCCAGAAAGACACACATTCAGGCATGTACTTTCGGGGTGACGCTGGTTGTTCAAGAAGTAACCCCACTTTCCTTGGAACTTGTTTCGCAGCTCGAAGGTATGAGGCCACCATCCAAAGAAAGAGAAAACGCCAGAGCAAGATGTCTTCAGTCTTCAGTGACTTGTTTTTCCTGCTCCTTTGAAAGGTCAGACAGACCAAATTCTTCTCCACCCCAACCTCGAACTGGTCGCGGAGCATTCTCCTTTGGATAGTGTCGTAGGACTGAACGAGTCCTGCAATTGGGCCCACCAACTACTACGGCCTCAACTTTGTCATGCAAAACCGCACAAATCAGCCCAGCGCAGACGCCGGTGTCAAGAAGCATATCGTGCCCCTGACTATTTTTGATGTCAATCTCCAGAAGATGGCTTGGAACTCCAACTTGTTGCTTCCAAGCTCGGGCAAGAGGTCCACGAAGTTCCGCAGCAGCTGATTTTCGCCAGAAGCTTCAGTAAAAGTAGCTACAGTAGCAGCTGGGAATTGAAGGCTGAATTGAAACATGTATGGGTGAATGCTTTGGCAAATCGTCAACTGCCAGCAATAATTATAATTATATATATATGTTATATATATAATTATATATATATAACTATGTATGTATAATAATAAATATATATATATATAATAATAATAATAATAATATATGTATATTATATATATATATCATAATAATATATATGTATATATAAGAAGAAGAATAATAACAATAATAATAACAATAATAATAACAATAATAATAATAACAATAACAATAATGATAATAATTATTATTATCATGATAATATATATATATGCATATAATTACTATAGTATGAGCCGCCGTGAAAATCAATTGTTTGCGCCTGGTGTTTGTTATCGCTTTTGGGGGGCCTAATCGTTTCTAGTGTTTTGGTCGCATCAACACTAAATATCACTAAACAAAGAGTTACATACCGTAATAATTACATAATTTATCTAATGGTCCCAACAGCAATAATTATTTAACATGAATTCCTTCTATGCATTCAATTTTAACCAGTGCAAGATGGCAGCAGATTCACCATGAGTCGTCGTCCAAGATGCATAGTAGACATACAGTGAGATGCCAAATATGTCCACCGCCACGAGTGACAAGACCGAGAGGAAACCAGCTACTTGTCCCAGAATCATGATCGGTTTTCGACCAAATCGATCACATAGGAGGGCAATGTTGGGGCTGGTGAAAAAAACGCAAACTGCTCCGAGGACCGTGAAATTGGAGCCGATTCGCTCAGCTTTCTTAAGAGCCTCTTTACAAGCAGCTGATGCATGTCCTTCGTCAATGCATGGATTGGTTCCACCGTTGAAAAATGCCGTTGAGAAGGCCGGCAAGACGAGGGCGTTGATGACGGTCGAAGCTGTTCCACACACCACGACGAGCCAAAAGGCTGGCCAACCCTTGGAGCACCGGCCATTGGACACACCGTTGCCAATCGGCCGCTCGGGCTGCTCGGGCTCTCCGCTGGTCATCGGCTCCGTCATTGACGATGCAGACGACATCTTTAGGCTACAGTAAGCGGCTAACCTTTTCTGATCTTCTGGTGATCTTGACACTGTTTTGTTTTCCGGTAGATTTTTTGACATTTTTAACACCTTAGGACCAGGACGTTGGCCAAAAGATTGGAACAAAAAAGACAGGGGCCCGGATCCTGCAAGGGGACTTCACATGACTCTATCACATGAGTTTGGAAAACAATGGAAAACACATACAGTATCATACAGCGCTTGTTGCAACACATGCAGACCATGCGAATCATTGGGGCCAACCTTGTGAACCAAAATCTTCCACCATGGCGGCCGTCAAAAGGTGCCTTAAGACGCCTTAAGCGTCTGGAATGGGATCAGATTGGTCTAGGAATGTCTAGGACACAGGATGCAGGACTGTGATCAGTTGAGTAGGGGCGAGGTAGACATGCTGTGAATGTGAAGGCGATCACCGATTTTTTCTGCAATGTATTCAATGTAAATTCAACGTATTATCTAAAATTCACGAGGTGGAGACTGGCTGTGCATCGCTGCAACCCAAGGACAACTTTTTCACTTTTTCTGCAATTTCTTGCACTCTGTCCCCTCTGATTAATTCTGCACCATGCTGCAGTTTTCAGAAGCCGGGATCATTCCAAAAACACGGAAAGCAGGTTAACAACGGATGCTGACGGATGCTAAAATTGCAGGTCTTGAAGACGCTGGCAAACATCCAGCAACCACCTGGGTGATTTGCTATAGTTCTGCCAGAATTTGATGAAATAGCGAACGCGGTCATGGTCACATTCCGGCAATATCTGGTTGCTTGGAGGCCTTTTGTTGCAGGCTTCTAAGAGGTCGCAGATTTTCTCCAGGCACTTCTGCCAATCTTTGGCCGTCGGTTGATTGCACAGCTCCCGGGCATTTTCCTCAGTGATGTGAGTCTTGTAAGGATCGTTGTTCCCTGCTCGTGTTGTTGGAAAAATATACCATGCCCAGTGCGATTCCTTGGCACCACGATCTAATTCCTCCAGGATCTTCTCCGTGTACATCTCTTGACACTGAATCAGGGCCTGGAAAGCCTTCCTCTCGTCGGACTCCTTTGACACCTTGGACTCTTCCCCAGTGCTGGTGTCGTCATCGCCATCATTACCTGTCCCCAACTCTCTTTGGTCTAGGATGTCACGCATTGCTTGATGCATTGTTTCACCCATTGCTTCGAGTACTTCTGTATCTTCTGTTTGAATTGTTTGAATCTCCAGAGCGCCCAAAGCATCTTTCAATTCCTGTGGCAGCTCAGCCTTTAGCTGAATGGGACCATCGAAGCCAAAGAGTCGCAAGCGCCAGCAGTGCAAAAAGAGTCGCTTGCACCATGGCCACATGGCCCACGTGGCAGCGCCGTAGATCATGTCGCCAACGATTGGGAAGCCTTTGGCAGCCATGTGTGCTCGGATCTGATGCAACCGACCTGACGCAAGACAGTCTGCTGGATGTGTATGGACTACAGTGGTTGAATCTTCACATGTCTTGAAAGTGCTCTTTGTATTCTTGTTTGCGTGACTTAGCATGAAACACTTCCGTGCAATTCTACATTACAAATGTTTGATTCAGTCAGATCCACAGCATATGTTTGCAACAGCCTGCCATCCCAAGGACAAAGCCGTGTCTCTCCGAGCTGTGAGTTGTTTCTTTGCAACTTTGCAACTATCTTATAGTGCTTCACGCGGGTGCTCTTCCGTCCTATCCTGTCCTATCATAATAACATATCAAAAGATACCACAACCAGAGTTCGATGTACGCCGTGGCATTTCATGTTTCACATTGTTTCACGTCTCTCGTGTTCACGTCCCTTGATCCCAGCCTGTCTGCGGCCAGGCTCTGACCAAAGACAGTACGTCTGACTGAGAGGCATCCGCGGAACTCGAGGTGCCTGGACTTGATGTGCTGCCGCTGGAGCCGCTAGCCGTTTGCAAAATTGCTATGACCTCATAGTCTGTGCAAGCGTCGTAAACGTTGCAAGCGTTGTCAGCGTTGTAAGTGGTATTCTCCACCACAGCCCTGCTGGTGCTGGAACTTGTCGCCTACACAGTGGACCGCTCCAAGATGTCCAAGTGGGATGGAGAAAATACAAGAAAACTCCTAGATGTTCCACGCAACGCAGACTAAACTGATAGTGACTAGATTCGACTAGATTCGACTAGATTCGACTAGATTCGACTAGATCATGAAGCACTACGTATCCTTTCCATTCCTGAAGCAACCTTGCACCGGGAGTTTTTGCTTCTGTGAGGATTGTAACAAAACTTGCCGCGCCTCAATGCGCAAAGGCAAATCAATCTGCCCACTCAGTGGCTCGAACCTGCCATTGCACAGGCAAATGTACTCCTTACTCACCAAGGTACCTGCGAACTGGGACAAGAACCACCTGGCGGAGATGGTTGCTTCCTGACCCACAACCATAGGCAAAATGCCTGAAGTTGGCAGGTCTAAGCGAGACATGGAAAAAATGCATGTTGAGAATTGGTCTGCCAATAGCTGTAAGGTCTGCTCTGTTGATACTCCCGCAGGTTTGGATACAGCCATGAAGTCATCTTCACGATAAATGATAGGAATGGGAGCGTCACACAATGTATTCGTTGAGTTCGTCTCCGTCGAACCTCCCTTTGAACTGATTGAGCTGATCGAGCGCTGCCCAGAGGGCCAGAATTCATGCCAGCTCTTGAAGTCAGGCAACATTGAATTCGCTGTAGCTTTGGACACTTTCGTCTGAGACGTCTGAGTGACCTGGTTCGTTCGTTCATTCATCTCCCAAATACTTCGAAGATCCTGTAGGAGTGCCAGTGCTGAATGCCACTGGCGGCTTGAGGACATCGCTTTCAAAACAGATCCTGCGTGCAAACCATGGGGGACCTTGCCCTTGGCTAGGTAGGAATCCAACACATGCAGGGACACAGCCCAAACCGATTCGCAAGCAGTCAAAATTCCAGAAAGTGTAATAGGATCCATGTCCAATCCATCTTGTCCGTGTCCGTACAGCTTTTCCATGAGGTGTAGAGCTTCTTGCCAGTTGCCTTTGTCACATGCAGTCAAAGCGGCGTTGAATGTCACTACACTTCGTTGAACTTTCAAGAGTTCCATGTCCTCAAAGAGACTAAGAGCAATGTGCGTTTGGCTTTTGCAGGCGCTGATTGCAGCATTGAAGCTCACTTCACTTGGCTCAACTTTCGACTGCAGCATGTCTTGCAAAAGTCCCACTGCATGTTGCCATTGAGAGCTTTTCTCGAAGCTGGAGATACATATGCTGTAGCTCACAACATCTTTCTTTTTCATTGAACTCAAGATGTGCAAACAAATTTGCCACTTCCCCGCTTTCGCACAAACGTTTAGGCCAGAATTGAAGGTAAGGACATCCCAAGGGCTCTTCTCAAGAAAGTGCAAAGCCATTGCCCACTGACCTTCAGGGGAATCAACTCATACCCGTCATACCCAATGGGCCCCAAACAGTTTTGGCCGTTTAAATGTTGTGGTTGCCTTTCACATGTGTGTTTTTTTCAGTTCCTGAGTGCAGTCGGACGGACAATTTGGAATTGATATTCTGTACAGGTTTGACAGTTTAGGATGTGAAAAAGTTCAATGATAAATGCTTAGCACGGCCAAATGAGAGCTCCGTGGAAGGTTTAGAGCCATTGTCTTAACTCAATGGCTCCTTGTACAATGGAAAACCTACTTTGGAGATATATAGTTGAAAATTCTTTCCAGACAACAGCATGACTTAACCAAGATGACCTCACCAATCTGGCCATTGTTTAGGAAGCTCCTCTTATGAATTGGATTGGGCCAAACAAAATATGTCGGGGAAAGATTCTGCGGGTTCTCTCCCAAAAGTCCATGCCTGAGACATGTGCTGCTGATGAAATGTGCTATTGAAATGCAATTCTGTTATGGTTTGTCATGCCCAGTCTTCAGGTGTCCCCATTCCTTTTCTGGCGGCCAGAGCCAGGTTTCAGTATTGAACTGTTGTGTTAACATGTGCAAAGTTGATGCTTCCAGTCAAATTGTTTTCACACATGGTTCACTGAAAGGCTTGAAGTTCTTGTTCAACTAAATTTTCAGTGTGCATCACTCAGACCGAAAAATAGGCAGCCTACCCACGAGATTATCGAGTGCATTTGAGTGTCAAAGTTGCTTATGCTGCTCTCCAAAACCGTTCCCCTTCTCTGAGTAGGCGTGGTCCTCCTAGCCTATACATGCCTATACGCTTTTGTTTTCACTTACAGCGGTGTGCAAACGGGAACCAAACTGACATAGCGTTTCCTCTCTTCCGATGGCTAGGACATCGACCCAAGGCCATATACATCTGAAGATTGAATTGAAGACCCTAACATAAACCATTATATAAAATTATATTACATAGATTAAAAACAATAAGAATCCAACAGTGATAAAAGGAGAATCTCTCCACTGGAAGCCTTCACCTTTCTACAATGCAGCATCAAGATTTCAGCGCATGTCTTTCAATCCGGAAGCGCCTGTATCACAACACTTGATCATTGCACCATACATGTACGAGTCAGCTCGGACCGTATTTCTTGCCATATCATCCAGAGTTGAAACTGCAGCCTCCCACCGCCCAGTAGATCCAGAAGCAATCGTGTTGAGAACAGCTGTGTAAAGCAAGGCATCAGGCTGTAGAGCAGATTCTCTTAGTTGATGCAAATAATCTAGAGCGGTTGTCCACACCTTGCATGCCTTGATGGCTGTGGTGAAAGTCACAATGCTTCTTTCTATGCTCTTGGAAGACATTTGGTTGAAGAGTTGTAGGACCAGTTGACACTGATCAGACCTTTCACAAACACTCATTGTTGCGTCCCATGTCTTTGCCGATGTTTGAACAGATTGGCCAAACACAGCCAGCGCAGCCTCCCATCTTCGCGCACGTCCAAGGGCAGAGATCACAGCACTCAGAAAAATGCTGTCTGGCTCTCGTGCAAGTTGAATGAGGCGCAAAATCTGAATCCATTGGTTGCTCTTCCCGCTCCTCCCTAGCTTCGCCACCAAGCTCGTAGCATCCTTTTGATGCCACTTCTTGGAGAGGACCTCTATCTCAGAGAGCAGCATCTTGCAAGTAATTCAAAAATTCAGTGCCTAACAGCACGTTTGAGCAGCGAATTGCAATCAAAAAATGAAAGACTTCTGATTCTATGTGTTGCTTCATTATTCTCTGCCTCTGGCAAGACATGTTCACATATGTTCATCCTCCTGGAACTTCATAGTAGATGATAGGATCTCATTCGATGGATTCCCTTCTTACTGCCTTGCAAGAGTGAGAGTGACCTCTTTGATGCTCTTTCTGTGTCTTCGTATTTTGCTGATTGCCGGCACAGGCTGAGTCTGTCCTGAGAACACCTCAGGATTGTGAGAACGACTGCGCATGCTGCGCATGTCTAAAAGTTGCTTCGCTCAAGTGTTGAGGCTCCAGATGGCTCCAGGAGCAATTCGAAGCAACGGCAGATTCAGCAGATTCAGCAGCAATGGCATTGCAGCATGTGAATCTGCTATGGTTATTCTGTGTCTCATTCTGTGTCTATGTGCATGGTGCAAAAAAACACCGGTGAAAGTCTGCGCCTGTCGGCTCAGGATCTCAGTAGGCCTCTTTGCCAAAATTCTTCAGCCGACTCATGAGATTTCGGGCAGCTGATCTCGCCTGCCACACGGTCACCGGTCAAGTCCACTCTGCAGTTTGTCGTGGTACTTTTGACAGCAGGGATGGAACACTAAACACTTCCACACAACAATCACGTAATACAATGTAATACAACTACAGTATAGAAAAGCCTAGAAAAATGTGGGAAACCATACAATGTCATTCAAAGTCATACAATTGTTGAACAATTGTTGAACAACTGTTTGTTGAAAAATGTTGAAGCTGCCATAGGGCCTTGGCCCGATTAGACCTGCGATTCTGCTTGGCCCATGTGCCCGGGCTCATGAGCGGGAAGATCCAAACTGCAGCAGGTTTTCATGACGAAGTCAAAAGAAACAAAGGGAATTCATCACATCTGAAATCTAAACATATCTAAACATCACCTTTTCCATTCGCACTTGTACGGAAAAATTAAAGAAACAGTGCAAGAGAGCACGGCGTACTGAAAGCAATGAGGAGAAAGACGGGAATAAACCACTCGTTGAAATAGTCCTCCCAAGGCCGCTCCTGCGCAGACACTCACTGCATGATGCGATCGGCTCTTCAAGGGCGCAAGGGCAAGGTCACATGGCAATCTTCAGTCGCTTGCCCCACCTTGGGTCGCATCCACTCTTCTTGTACCCTTTTGGCGACCTGCAGCAAAAACTCAACAGATTCATATGAGTTTCCTTTCAGCAAGAAAGGATATGTGTATGTATATATATATATATGTATATATATTGTGTGCGTGTGTACGTATGTGCGTATGTTCCTATGAATGTATGTTCCTATTGTATGAATGTATGAATGCATGCATGCAAGCCATGTATGTATGCATGTAAGTTCTTTGATTTCCAAAAGTCCTTTCCTATTGAAACCTGAAGCTAAGTCAGCGAAAGTCAGCTGAGTGCAGAGAGGCGACGTCGCTGTCGTAAACAGGGTTGTACGGACGCTTTGGAGGAACCTTATGCTCTATTGCGTGAGACCAGGTGACAAATCTGAAAAAAAATGCGAAGACAAAGTGAAACGAACACTGCAACCACAGAATCTTCTGTCTGGCCAAGGCACGTAATCTTGGGGAAGCCTCAGCTGCACTACGCGATTGAAAGAAAAAAAAACTTGCAAAATACTTCCTAAACTCAAGTAGCACAAACGTGGACAAAATCAAAGAGACATTGGTGTAACATGATTTTGAAATATTTTGAACATGTTTGCAAACTGTGTGCAAACTGTTTGCACATGTGCAGCGGAGCTTCTGTTGCCACGGGAAGATCGCTCTCAAAGTGACCTTTCTTCGGGCACCTTGCCCTTGAGCCTGCCATGCCAGGTTTGGTGATCACCATGCTGTCGTGATCCCGTAGCTAAAGGATCTTACATGATCTTACCACTTACGAGTACTACTGTTTTTACAAAGATTCTTACAGATTCTTACAGGCTTGTCTTTAAAAGATGTTGCCACTCGGCGGCACATCATCTGCACAATGCGTTTGCTGACAGCAAACTAAGCCGCAGTAACGCTGCCCACAAAAGCCATCGCGCTCCTCAGCAAAATTACAGTGGCCGTTGGAAAATGAAGCAAGGCCACTCACACGTATGACGTCTAAGGATCACCGCATTAAAATCTAAAAAATAAAGAGTTGATAGCAACAGATAGACATAGAATGACATAGACAAATACCTGAAAACCTGAACGCAGACCAGAAAGCTGGGCATCTAGCATTGCTGCACAAGCCTTAGTAGGACAGCTGCATTGCTAATCTATAAGCACTTCAACATGTTGATGTTGAGAGAGGTGTAGAGATGTCCAACATGGCGTCTGTTCATTGCTGTTCATTGCTGCTCATGGCTCCAGCTAACGCAATGGCCGTCATCGGTAGCCTACAACTGGAACTTACTCATGCAATGATGCAGCTGAGAGCTTTTCCAGCACCAGGGCACACAGCCGACCGCCTGCGCACGAGAAATCCAAGGCCACAGCAACAGAAGTTTGTAAAGGATAAGGATTTCACAAAACACGAAAAGGGGAAGAGATGAAATACCGGTTACATCCGGTTACAATAAATTGCGTTGGAGTCACTGGATCGCTGGACCTTACTAAAAAGCAGCCCTCTTTCACACATAAAATCATGTACCATCCTGCACCACCTGAGAACGTCATCTTTACAAGATTTGGATGGATCGGTATCCCAGAGACTTAGGCGCTGCAGGATTGTGCATCTCGATATATTACAATGTATTACAATACATGTGTCGAGAGTGTTCAGCTTGTGCAGTGCAATCTACATAGAGACATAGAGATCATGAAACCCTCACATCCAGAGTTGAGCAAGCTGGGTCTTACCTTCAGCCATGGCGATCTATGCGGTCAGGTTCTTTGGAGCCAAAGTGACGAGCGGCAACTTTTTTGGGAAAGCACATGATTAAAATGACGCAGGCCAAGGAACACAGCAAGTCTCAAAACGCGCCAAACTTTACTGTTTTCAGTGTCTTCAAGTGTCTTCTGGCTTTCAATGATTTCGGAAGGGTAAAAGTACACATCATCCTGGGTGCTTGTCATTTCCTGTGCCATGGGGAAACTCTGCGAAATTTTGGCTCGTGTCTTGTACTCCCAACATGATTTTCCTTGTTTCCTGTCGACCAACACATCCGGGATGCTCATTTTGCGACGACTTGCATTGCTGGTTGAAACTCAAAACATTTGAAGATTTCGCGACTGTGCAAACGTTTTTCAAATGCCAGTCTGCATCAGCTTTGAAAATGCGCTTTGAAAACTGCCAAGGCATTGCAAATTCAAAACTCGGATCGATCCGAGCGCGGTTCTGACTGCTTCCTGACATCGATGTCAGGGATGTCAGGGATGTCAGGGACACCCGGAGCCATCAACACAATGGCAGTGTAAAGAAGCCCAACACCTGTCAAGGCGCTAGGCCACCATGATATTATCTGGACCGCTCCGGCACAGTTTACCGCTGTGGAATTCAAGCAACTACACTACATCTTCAATTACATGGGTTCCATATGGATATCAGCTGTCGGGTATCATATGGATACATACATATATATATATATATATTATTGTATTATATTATATTATATTATATTATATTATTTTATTTTATATTATTTTATATTATATTATATTATATTATGTTATATTAAAGTATATTATACTACATTATATTATATTATATTATTTTAAATTATTTTATATTATTTTATATTGTATTATATTATATTATATTACATTACATTACATTATATATATATATATTACATATATATATATTATACATATATATATATATATTATACATATATATATTATACATATATATATATAATGAAATGTATACGTATATATTATGATATATGTATATATATGATTATTGTTATATATTATTATTATATATTATGATTATATATATATATTATGATTATTATGATTATATATATAATGATTATTGTGATATAATATGTTACAAACATATTATATTATATATATATGTACAATACCAATGTTGTCTGATGTCCCCAGTATCCTCAGCAATGTATGTCTCAGTGCGTCTTGCTGAGTTTGCATCTGGCCTACAGCCGAGAATAGAGCCTCGGGTAGGGAAAGTCTCAACAGTCTGACAGTCTGACAGTGTGCATGGTCTGTTGGGGAAGTTTGTCTTGGAACTGCCCAAAGCTGCTTTTCCTTGAAACACTCTCAAATCTTTCTTCATGGCAGTTGAGATGCATCTGCGCCCAGCATGGCGTAGTCCAACTTCCTTGCATGTTCAGAAGTGGTTGAAGCGGGCACACTGTCACACGTGTCACACAATACAAAATGCATCAAAATGCCAACCCTGTGTCCAGGCTGGCTGGGCAGCACATGTGCTGCATATTTGCAGCTGCATTTAGCTTCGAAACGTCTTTCGTCCAAGCTGCTCGGCACCGCGGATGCCCGCCCAATTCCGCAGCACGGCAAAAACGGCATCCGGCAGCGCCTGCTGCGCTAGCAGGCTGCACTCCGGTCAGTCAACCGTTGTCTGCGCATGGTCTACGCGTTGTCTACACTGTGCTAGAGGTGACACATGAAACATGCTGCCTTCCCAAGAAGCAGAAGGCCCAAGAAGCCAACGGTATTCCTGAAAGGTGCCTTAGTTCAGAAACTTTGGGGGGACAACTAAGAGACAAATGTCTCAATGTGTGTTCTTGGATGATCCACCATTGCGGCATTTTGCCCAGCAGTATGCACCAAACGTCACGAAATCTTACCTCTTGAATTCCACTAGTGGATCTCAGGCTCCAACCATATCATCCATTTCAGCCGCCGCAGCTGCGAGTTCTTCCTGCCGATGGCACCAAGGAGACCGGCTTGCAAACTAAGCGGGGAACATCTGGGCCCTGAAAATTCTGAGAACATCTAAGCCGAGGAAAAGATATGGAAAAGATATGGAGCCAATCTGAAGCTCCTTGCTCGGTTCCTTCCAAATGTCTGGCTCTCCTGACCCAGGAAAGACACGAAAGACAAGGACCTAGTGACCTAGTGCATTCCAAAAGATTCCAAAGTTCCAAGGAGCTTTCATGGCTCTGAACCCGCCAAGCGTTCCTCTGGCGCGGCATTTCAGCTTTGGCCGCTGTCCCAAGTCTGAGCAACTCAGCCTGACCAGAGCCCAACAGATCAACTCAGCATACCCTGTAGCTGCACTGTAGCCCCGTAGCAGTCTGTAGCGAACCACTTTGCAACTGTTTTCTCTAGCCTAAGATGCCTAAGGCCTAAGGAAGAATTGCGGCGGGGATAGACCAAGGCACAGTAAGCCAACACCACCTTTCACCTCATCACCGGCATCCGCACTTTTATTTCATGATTTATCATTGATGGTTTCAAAAGACAGCAAAATGCCATATGCTCGTTTGAGAAATGACAAGAGTTGCTGGATATGATCTTGCAGTGTTGGAAGCAGTTGTCACAACATGCCCAACAACTTGATGAATTTCTGTACGGGTTCACACCCTTAAAGCTGGGTGGCTGGTGCACCAAAACCCATCGCTTGAGAGTTTTTCGGAAACTCATTGTCGACTCTGTCGACGAGCGAGTGGTCATTGAATTCCTGAGCAAACATACTGTGTCGGCTTTGCATCACCGTGGCGCGACACACTGCTTTGCAGTCCGTCTGCCAGCACAGGGCGAATTAAATGCTTGATTGCCACACGACGCTATAAAACGCCACAAGTGTTCTGCAAGGACACAAGTGAGAAATTGTTGAAATATTATAGCTACACGGCTACATTTCTACAAAATGTTCAAAAGTCAACATGCCAGGTCTTGCCAGCTCAATTCTCTCGCTATTTGACGTCCTCCAGTCCAGGTCTCTTGCAAGTGCACATGCAAAGATGCTACTAAAATAGTAACCAGGTGATGCCAGGTGAGGCGAACCTGAGCCTGATTTCTCCTGATTTCATCCATTTATGATGATGATATGCCCCTGTAGCGGCTGTAGCTGTGCGCAGACCAGTCACTGACCCAGCCATCCACATCCACTGAACCCACTGCACCCATTGGACCCACTGGACCCACTGGACCCACTGGACATCCTTGATCAAGTTGCTGCCAGCGCGATTTAAGGTGGACCTTTTCCGCGAACCTGTCGGCACAGTAAGCATAGTACGTTTGCAAGCAGATCAAGCATCGTTGAACAGTTACAGTAAGTCTGTTGCAGTTGCAAAGCATTAGGAAACAGTGCTGCGAGATTCGAACTGCAATCAGCAAATCAGTCTTCTCAGGTCCTCGTCTTGAAGTGGAGGACTCATCGGCAGAGCGATCCTTAGAAACGACGCATCCTCTAAAAAACACGTTTCGATCATGCCAAATCTATTGAAAGTCAATGTCCTTCGCTGTTCCATTCGTGCTTCACCCACTCAAACATATCAAACCATCAAATGCTGGCCCAAGCACTTGGTCACTGGAGGTTGCAACCTCAAAGCTGGTTTCAAAAACATATGGCCTTCGATCACATCGTATCAACTTTAGCTATTCTACGATGCTCCTACATTCAATTGAAAATAGTTCATTCTACATATATACACATATACAATCATATGTAGCAATTGTACTATATATATAACTCTATATATATATAACTATATATATATAACTATATATATAACTATATATATATACATAACTATATATATACACAACTATATAAGTATATATATATATAACTATATATATATAACTATACGTATATATAACTCTATATATAACTATATATATAACACTATATATATATAACTATATATATAACACTATATATATATAACTATAAATATATATATATATATATAACTATAAATATATATATAACTATAAATATATATATAACTAGATATATAACTATACGTATAACTATGTATATATTATATATATACATATACGTACAACATGCAATATATACAGCATCAGAGAAACCCGTAGACCAAGGAAAACACGCCTATAGACTAATAACACCCGCCAAAAAACTATACTGGATGTCTGCAATTGCTGCACACTGGCCAAAATTGGTCGACAAATCCCAAAAATTGTTTTGCCATGTTTTGCCTATTGCAATTCCACTCCCAATACCCAACCTGCCCTCTTTGTTGGAGACTGTGTGGTGGATCTCTGTAACATGACGCATGCATGAAGAGGAAAAGATTAAGGATCAAGCCAATCAAGCCAATGAAGCCGCAATTGCCATTATCAAGTCTTATGATTTTAATCGGTTTAATCTACTCTCCGGGTTTGACAGTGCCTGATAGGATCCCGGCGCCAATGATGGCCCATCCTTGCGGCCAAGAAACACTACGCCTGGGACTGGGTTGTTGTGATGTAAAGGGGCTGGTGTACGGCGAAGCCAAGTCCTCTGCAGCAAACCCAGCATCATGCAGTTCTATCTTGCTCCAGTTGGTGTCTTAGGACGTTAAGATACTTTGAGGATATGACCTTATTCGAAAAAAAACAAACTACTGGAATCATCGGAATCTGAAACGTCGTTTTTCCAAACAAGTTCAGGTCATGGCCTTGTGGCTGGAGTTCTTCTTCGGAAGCAAGCGCTCAAACTCATTGTCCACCCTGGGCGTCTTGTCTCTAGACTGCATTGCACGTCACCCAGGCAAGGTTCCGTTCATGTATAAGAACCAAAGCCAGCCCAGTTAATTTTGAACATGTTATATATATAATATTTGAAGCGTCTCTTGAAATGCAGTTCTTCGTGGCCCTCAATCACTTTCGGAATCTTGCGACCTTTGGATGCCTTTGGTGTACATTATGAAATTGTGTGTGTATATATATATATATATATGGTATATATGAAATTGAACAGCAACTGTTGCCACAACGGGGAATGACCTTTTTGAGCTCGTACTCGAAGTGAAGCCTGCACAATACTTCAGACGCTTGGCTGATTGTTGGATTCCAAACATGTCTGCTGATTGGTTGAGGGTTGTGTCGGGCCGACAGGTCCAAATATGTCCCAATCGTTTTCGTGTCACAAAACATTTCAACGAGTAGCTGAAGTCGGATCCCTGTGACACTGCCGACTGACTCCGCTGACTCTTTCGCTTTGGGACTGCTAGGTACGCAGCCTACCGCAAAGGCATCTGGTCTGTGAGGACATAGCAGTCAGGAAACATGCCAATGCATACACGACACAACTTTCACGAAAACTCATAAAAACATCAATGCCAGCAAATACCACAGTAATTATATACGTTAGATGATGATGTCATGTCACTATGACATCATTTTATTTCATCATCATCTCTTACGGATCTTGAAAAAGGCTCTCTTGTTTTAAATCCAGGTGGCCGATGCAGAACTCACAGGCAGCGAGCCCAAGCCGAGACTCATACTACCAGATCCTCATAGGCCAATCCAAACTTTGAGTTGGAAGTTGCCAAGACTTTGTGGTTCCATGTGATTGCCAGTTTTGAACACTTTTCGCTGATTGGATGATGTTTATAGTTTTCTGTTGCTTTCTGCCTTTTCATTGGCAAGCAGCAAGCACAGATAAGCACAGCATCTCTCAGGCGCCGGCCTTCGGAGATTTGCGACTCCCTTCGGGCATAGATGTCGCGGAATTCGCCTGGCTAGTGCTAGCTGGGCATCTTCAAAAACCAAAACATTCAAAACAACACTTAGTCTACAGGGCGAGTATCATTGAGTATCCCAATGTTTCACATTGAAACATCTTTAAACAAATTCAAACTCGCAAAAAAATGATAAAATTTGCATCTCTGAGTGGCCTAGTACCTGCGAGTCACGGCGATCTTGCTTGATGGAGGATTCCCGCCGACCTCCGCTGCCTGTACCAACATGTACCAAGATGCCAAGATGTACCAAGATGTACCAATTCCATGGAATTCCATGGGCCAAGCACTTGAAAATCTTGAAAAACTTTGTACGCTCCGATTGATGCGGTATGAGACCTGTTTTCGGTCAAAAGAAAATCTCTGTGTGTGTGTCCTTTGCTTTGGTGATGAAAAGAAAAATTGCTAACAATGGTGGTGGCAGAGTGGCAGCAGCAACTTGGCCTGCATAGTCTGGTGACCAACTGTCCATATTGCTAGAGGAGGCGCCTGGAAAAAGTCTGGTTCGATTTCACTGGTAGACTGGCAAAGTCAAATGGTCTGATCTCCACAATCATCAAACATACGAAAAATCCTTGACATTCTCCATGTTACAAGTGTACCCATTTCCTCCTGATTTTAAAAAGTGGGTATAAAATGACCCGAAAAAGCGGTAGCCAATTCTGTAATGGAAATTAAGAGGGTGATATTCTGATATTCTAATAGGTTTTTCATCTTTCTCACCCTCCAGCAAAAATGAAAGGTAAAAGCGTAAAAAAAATCAGCCTCAGACCCCTTGAGGAGGTTTCCCATTCAGTCTAAAATCCTTGACAATCGTTGACTGTTGGAGTTTCCGGGACTTTGTTTTCTGCCTTTTCATTGGCAAGCAGCAAGCACAGATAAGCACAGCATCTCTCAGGCGCCGGCCTTCGGAGATTTGCGACTCCCTTCGGGCATAGATGTCGCGGAATTCGCCTGGCTAGTGCTAGCTGGGCATCTTCAAAAACCAAAACATTCAAAACAACACTTAGTCTACAGGGCGAGTATCATTGAGTATCCCAATGTTTCACATTGAAACATCTTTAAACAAATTCAAACTCGCAAAAAAATGATAAAATTTGCATCTCTGAGTGGCCTAGTACCTGCGAGTCACGGCGATCTTGCTTGATGGAGGATTCCCGCCGACCTCCGCTGCCTGTACCAACATGTACCAAGATGCCAAGATGTACCAAGATGTACCAATTCCATGGAATTCCATGGGCCAAGCACTTGAAAATCTTGAAAAACTTTGTACGCTCCGATTGATGCGGTATGAGACCTGTTTTCGGTCAAAAGAAAATCTCTGTGTGTGTGTCCTTTGCTTTGGTGATGAAAAGAAAAATTGCTAACAATGGTGGTGGCAGAGTGGCAGCAGCAACTTGGCCTGCATAGTCTGGTGACCAACTGTCCATATTGCTAGAGGAGGCGCCTGGAAAAAGTCTGGTTCGATTTCACTGGTAGACTGGCAAAGTCAAATGGTCTGATCTCGCGTTGGATGCTCACAGGAATCTTGTCTCTTCAGTTGACTGGAGACTCACCTGAAGGTCTTCGCTGTCTTATCAAGGAACCTGGGACCGGACCAATGGAACCTATGTGTTCAGTACGGAAAAACTGTGACGAACTGTGCTGCACTCCGCTGCAGTCTTGGCTTCAGCACTTGAAGCAGTTCCCGCGCTTCCTGTAGCAGCTCCTTGCGAAGTGTCACCAGCCTCGCTGCGAGTCATCCGGGCATGATCTTAGTCTATGATTTATGCACCACTAGACATCTTACACCTATGATCCAATGATCCTCTATAGATCTCTATAGTGCGTCTATATATATATATGTATGTATATATATATATACATACATACATACATACATACGTACATTCATACATACATACATTACATTACATTACATTACATTACATTACATTACATTACATTACATTACATTACATTACATTACATACATACATACATATATATATATATATATTATACACACATATGCATTCGATACATGTCTATACAGTCTATACATTGTGATTGTCGATAGGGTCTTTGACAACAGTCCATAGTCCGTTGCCTGCTTGGAGGGAGGCATGAAGGCCTGGGCACAGTACAAGCGAATCAATTCGGAGGCGAAAGCAAAAGATGTTGCAACGGATTGAAATTGGAAAATTTGGAAGCTTGCTTGGAATTGCTTGGGATGCTTTTCGAAATTGTTGTGAATGGTGAATGGGGACGTTCTTGGGTTCAATCATTGCTGTGGCATGACCTGATGCTACAACAGTGAACATCCGTGAGCTGTGATTTTACGGTTGGACATCCTACTGCATGACCCAACCTGAAACGCCCTTGAAGTGCTACTTGTCCTTAGTTCAAGCTGTGCAGGGTCAGCAGAGCACTGCCAGAAGTGTGCTAAGATGTTGAGGACTGCAGAGACCTGATATCCACCCTATGATACCTGATCAAGATTACCCGAGCGCTGTCCCACATGTTTTGAAATTTGAAATTTGAAGACAAGCTTCGGCTTCAAGCTGTCCGACGGCTTCAAGCTACCGGAGGGTCTCAAGCTGTCCGACGGTTTCAAGCTGTCCGACGGCTTCAAGCTACCGGAGGGTCTCAAGCTTTCGGATCCCTCAGGATTCAATTTGCCCAAAGCTTGAAGGACTTGCGACGGTCTTCGGTCCTGGCAAAATGATGCAAATGTGGCTCAATGATTGCTCTCTGAGCAAAAGCTGACTTCCAATTTGCTTTAGGCGCGAAGCAGCTAAGTCTGTCAAGCGTCAACCTCATTCTGTCCCTAAGTTGCACGATGGTCTATACCACACCAGACTCTCTCATGTCCTTTTCCCTGCAAACAATGACGCATTGGATCCCAGTGTGATGTTCAAACCAAAGCCGGCATAGCTGGCCTTTCCCAGCAAAGCACCGATGCCTTTGATTTTGTTCACGGACTTCTTCCATTTTTCCACGTTTTCTCTGGACTTGACTTCGCCTCAGTCTCCGGCAGTCAGTAGAAGTCAGTAGATCTCATCACAAGTAGCAACAATCTCCTAGACCATCGACTTGTTGCACCGAAACCGAACTGCTACAACTCAACGTCACATATGGAGGTTTCCTAAAATGATGGTACCCCAAAACCATGGATTTCAATACTAAAAATTGTCCGATTTGGGATGATGTGGGAGTACCCACATTTTAGGAAACGTCCATCCATATATCATATAACGGCAGATATATATATATATATACGTGTGTGTGTGCATATTATACATATATATATATATATCATGCATCATATCTTATTTGTATTTATTTGTCATATGTCATGTATCATATAAATCATGTTTGCTAGCAGACCGTTTACCAGCCCACGTTTTGTGGATGGGTTGGGGTGGGGTTGGGGCGGGGTGGGGTGGGGTAATAACGTACGTTGCAATTGCTTCGTCACGGACTTGCTACGCCACTTCTACTTGCTTCGTGACAACATGGGGATGGGGTTGGGGTGGGGTAGGGTAATAACGTACGTTGCAATTGCTTCGTCACGGTCTTGCTACGCCACTTCTACTTGCTTCGTGACAACGTGGGGATGGGGTTGGGGTGGGGTGGGGCGGGGTAATAACGTACGTTGCAATTGCTTCGTCACGGTCTTGCTACGCCATTCTACTTGCTTCGTGACAACATGGGAATGGCGTTGGGGTGGGGTGGGGTGGGGTGGGGTAATAACGTACGTTGCAATTGCTTCTTCAAGGTCTTGCTACGCCACTTCTACTTGCTTCGTGACAACGTGGGGATGGGGTTGGGGTGGGGTGGGGCGGGGTAATAACGTACGTTGCAATTGCTTCGTCACGGTCTTGCTACGCCACTTCTACTGGACTTTGATGAAGGATGGCATCCCTAAGTCTCTCAGCAGCCACTGCACAGGAAAGCCAAACCCAAAGCTGTGGAAGTACATCAAAATTCAACAGTGGCGCTGGGAGATGGGAACATGCCAGCTCCTCTCAAAGACTGGACGTCAGCTCGCAATGCTGTGAAAAAGACGTGATTTCAATTCGCATCCTTTTTGACCACAAAACCCTGTAAGGGTTAACGAGCCATCTGAATTCAGTGATTTTTTGGGATGGTCATTTTGAACATGAAACATGCACGCCGCTATGGCGAAAACATCATTTTCCTGAAATCATGGGCCGGTGATCGGTCCGGCGGGATGTTTATGATATGATATGATGTGATACAATGCGATGTGATATAATGTGATGAATATTCTATGATGTGATATAATACAATATAGTATACAATATGATATGATCGCTTAGGTATACAATACTATCGTATACTATCGTATACTATCTTAGTACAAAGATGTCTTTGTTTATTCATCTCTCACAGACACCGAATCGCGCCGAGAGGCTGGGTGTTTCCCATGAGTCCAGCCACTGCTTCCACGAGTCATCTGCAATGTCACCCTGAACACCCACCAGCAAGGCTCTCCAAGCCTGACAAATGCCGATCCATGCCGATCCGAGGTAGTTTAGTATAGTTTAGTGACATTTGGAGAGCATTTAATGTACACATTGTACAATTCGTTTCATAATGTTTCACATATTTACCAACTCGTTTCACTGGTCTTTGCATCTCTTTGCATCTCTTTGTATGTCTTTGCACTCGTTTTGCAGAAGGGATCAGAAGGGATCAGGTTTTGGCTGCCGTCATTCCACCGCGCCTCACGGGTCTTTGGCAGGGCAGTTCGCAAGAACGTCGCTGCGGTGAAGCCATCGCTCTTCGCTGTCTCCTTTGCCTTGCGACACAAGGACACAACGAGTGACACAACGAGTGACACAACGAGTGACACAACGAGTGGAACATAGTGGAACGCAACGCAGAGGTTGGGACGTGTTGGGACTGGCAAGTGATTCCTGATGTTCAAAGACCCCTCTGTAGACATAAATTTGGGAGATTGCTGACATTATCTCACATTGAAAATGACACACAAGTGTAATATCGTGTGATTATCTTCTCAAGTATGCGACCTCTATGTGTTCGTGTTTATATTGAGGCATTCAGATCATTCAGATCATGCAGTCTTTCTATGTCTTTCTATGTCTTTCTATGTCTTTCTGCATATCAATCTCGTGTTTAATGTTTGCCTTGGCAATGAAAATCCGCTGCGCTTCCAGTGCCATGTCTCGAAGCAGTTTGTACGACACCACATCGGCCCCAACAGCTGCGGCCAGCGTCCTGGCCGACAGGAGTCCACGGAGTCCACTCCGAGCGAGATTCATTGAGTATGAAACAAATCAATTAATCAATTAAACAATACTTAAACAATACTGAAACTAACATCCTACAATTCTAGAATATCTACAATCTGATCTGCTCACCTCATTCATGTCATGAGATCATATATATATAATTATATATATATTATATTCATATGTCACATGAACCACATCACATGACGACATAACATGTACTAGACACCCCTTTTTTGGATGGGGTGCATCAACAGGAATTGCGCGCCTAAAATGAATAGAACCTGCCATTTTCTAGCGAAGATCATGTCTAATATGTTCGCTTCTTCTAGTTCGGTTCGTCTTAATTATCAGGAAGAATCTCTAGAAAATGAATGTTTTCACTAAAGAAAACAAAAAAACAGTGTTTTTCTAGGACATGAATTAAATTAAAATGGCATAAAACCAACATTTCTAGAAAATGACGAGCGCGTTTTATTTAAGTACTGTATGTCCCTCTAGATCCTCTAGAAAATGAGGTACCAGAAATGATGACATGTTTTTCTAGAAAATGACATGTGCATTTGTTTACTCATTTCGGTCTAGAAAATGAGTGAAAATGATGTACCAGAAATCGGATGACATTGGTTCGAATGAAATTGCCAATTTTGAAGTGGTTGTCTTGAAGTCAGTAAATGGTTGTCTTGAATATGGGTTTTCTTCAGAATCTAAAGATGATATATTTCTCGAAAATGAATCCACGAAAAAAAATGACAATACCCTTTTAGAGTTTTAGAGAATGATCTAGAATGGGTCATCCAAATTCATAGAGCTCTTGTCTCTAGAAAATGAGTCGCAAAAACAATATGAAAACCCCTTTCTAGAAAACGCATGGTTTTGAACTCATGCCATTAAATCATTAAAAAGATCACACCGACTTGTATTCTCTTTTGAAAAATGTGTCTGTTCCAAAAAAATACTCAAACAACATCCTTCTAAAAAATGCTACCAAAATGATTCAAAATGTAAATTTTACCCCTAGAAACGCAAAGTTCCTCTCCCTAGAAAATGCCAAGAAAATTAAAAATCCTAGTAATGGAGGTCCAAAAAGAGCTTCTATGGAAAATTCGGACCGGAATACATTTGTGACTTGACATGGTACCACTTCGGTATTTGTCTCGGATTCACTGGGCGCGAGTCACGCGCACCTGTGGCACCAGTGATCTGCCACCTGTGCCAGCTGTCGTTTCACGTGAGAGCCTTTCATCTTCTGCCGCCTGGAAGATTTCACGATCTCTGCGAACTCGTTCAACAGCGCCTCGCCCCTGACGTGCCGGGTGTGGTTCAGAGGTTTGAGAGATTCTGAGTCGTTGCACGGCGCGGCTCACATCACATTGCAAGGCAATGCAAGGCATTTGTAATACCTGTATGGATTAGTAATTTGATATAATTTTATGATATTCTATGTTTTGTATTGTTTTGTAATCACATTTAATCACATAATCACTAAGGTTCAGTTGGGCCTTGGGCATCCTGACACGTCCGGGTTGCAGAAACTCCTATCTCATCTATCTCTTGATATGGGTGGCCTATGACCTACATGACCTACATGACCTGCGGCTTTGCAGTGCCGCGCCTTCGATACAAAATTTCGCAGTTCGTCCAAGGAGTTCTTTCTTTGGCTGTTTCTTGCAGCTTCTGTTCCCAAGCTTGTTCGAAGAGACATTTGAGAGATGCTTTAGTGAACTTCTTCTGTCGCTGAGATTTGATCAAGTTTCGAGTAGTTTCTGCCATATCCGTGAGAAGATCTTCTTTCCCTGCCACCTCAGGGTTTTCGACCTGCTTTCGTTGCCAGCCATCAACCAGAGTCACCACCTGTACGCTCATGTCGGGACGATCATCGCAAACCTCTAACACCTCATCCACTAAGGAACTGTACGCAGCCGCTGCTGCTCTCCAGTGTCCAAAATCTTTGTCTTCTGCCGAGCCGCTCTGCATTGCTTGGCTTGCGTCTAACCACTCACTGCTTTGCCCCTCATCAAACAACTCCTCAGAGCCTCCTTGCATATCACGCGAATCATCTGCGCTTGCTTCGCCTTCTTCAACCAAAATCTTGCTCAAATCGTTCCACTCTTGCATGCTCGTCATGCTTGATGCCAAAATGTCACCCTGAAGGCTTGTGCGATTTTGATTGGACTCCTCAGATTCTTGGACAATGTCTTTCCAAAGAGTTCGAATAGCTGCTTCCACTTCTGTGTTGCCCAGGGACAGGAGCTCCTTTCAAAGCGAAAAAATGCTGCGGTCAATGCTGCAATATGCTGCAATATGCTGCAATACTGGGTGTGGCAAGGAATATCTCACATCTCCAATGTATCGATCACCCCTGTGAATCTCGCTGTCATGTTGAAGTGCACACTATATCACTATATGGCACAAGGTTTGCGTGCAGTGTGTTCACTTCCTTCAGACCACTTTCAGCCTTAGTCTTTATGAAATCTTATGAATCATGTTTCTCATATTTTCTCATTCTCATTGATTTCTCACTGTTTCTTCACCATGACTGTCATGATGCCTTGGCCAGCAGCATTCGTTGAGCTTCCGTGGCCATGGTGCGATTCACATCTCGGCCGCCAGACCACCGATGGCAAAGCTGGACCACCTGATCAACTCTGAACAGTGCAGAGTGGCAGAGCGCACATCAGTACGAATGTCACGCCTTTCGCTTCATGGTATCAGGATCATATCGCATCAGGATATGAAATGAAATTATATCAAATCTACATCACAGCAACTTTCGAGATGTTCTGTACCCGTCTGCATTCTGCACCTGCCTGTTGGACATTTTCTGCCTGTAGCAGAGATCGAAGAAATTCTTCGCCTGAGGCAAGAAGCTCGGCGTCCAGCGTCCAAGTCTCTGAAGTTGTTGCAGCGTTCGCAGCGCTCGGTCGATTCCTGCAGTGAATTCGAATACATCAAAATCATCAAAAAACATTGAAAAATTGAAAAAAACAAAATAACCCAACCATCCAGGAACCCGCACAGCAACCCAAAACGCAACCTCGGGAACCACCCCACCTCTGGAACCTCCACGCTGGAACAATCCCGGAACCCAGAACCCACAAGCCGCACCGAATTAACTACCTCTGTATCTGGGCTGAGACCCCCAATTTAATTCCTTGCTAACTCTGTTGGAGAAACAATAAGTGTTATAAGGAAATTATAAGCAAACAATATGAAACAGTATGATCATTAAAAGTAAGCACAAAGTGATCGCATGTCGTACACATCGCAATAGCCCCCTATTTGTGCCCGAAAAATGCATTGAAGACAGCGATCTGTATGAACATGGCAATAGAAACTGTGTGAAGTAATCATGGCAGCAGAAGTATACGGAGCCACACGAAAGTAGAAATCATCAAACAATTAGTTTTATGTATAATATGTAAATCTGGTTAAATATTAATCGCTTCAATCAATCCCTGCCTGGCTTTCATGCATGCTTCCACTGCACAGTTCGCTGCCTCCGCTGCTGTAATAGATGTTTTCTTCTCCCGCCAACTGGCACTTAGCTTTGCAAGTTGCAGCTCCGAGTCGTCTCTGTTCCACTGATGCGAAGTGAAAACGTGCACAAGCTCTTCGACAAGCAAAAGATGTGCATGCGGTGCATGCGCATCCAGTGCATCCAGGACTTCTGGTTCATTGGTTTGGTTCTCAGTTGCACGGCCACCTACATTTGGTGAAACTTCAAGGGACTTCTCTGGTAAGATTTCTTCCAGTTGTGGCTTTCTGAGAGGTAACCCTGCCTCAAGTGTGGGCTCCTTGGCTGCTAAACTATCCTCAAGTTCAGATAGTTCAGGTCGGCTGGACGGCTTTGTCTTCACTGGCACAAGCTCATTTTCATCTACATCCTCAAGTTCAGGTTGGCTAGATGGCTTTGTCTTCATTGGCACAAGCTCGTCTTCGTCAACATCCTCAAGTTCAGGTTGGCTAGATGGCTTTGTCTTCATAGGCACAAGCTCGTCTTCGTCAACATCCTCAAGTTCAGGTTGGCTAGATGGCTTTGTCTTCATAGGCACAAGCTCGTCTTCGTCAACATCCTCAAGTTCAGGTTGGCTAGATGGCTTTGTCTTCATTGGTACAAGCTCGTCTTCGTCAACATCCTCAAGTTCAGGTTGGCTAGATGGCTTTGTCTTCATTGGTACAAGCTCATCTTCATCAACATCCTCAAGTTCTAGCAAGCTTGCTGGAAGTGACTTGAGGACAACCGGATCAGTTTCATTCGCAACATCTTGTCGATCTCCGTGTTCTGATTCGAGCACTCTTGCCTCACAACTCAACATAACTCAAAAAAAAACTTGCGTGATTCCCAAAAGAGGGGCCAAAGAAATGTTGCTTAGAATTCTGCTTGTGTGCAGCTGATGACCGATTAGGCTGACTTGAACCTATTTAAACGATTCTTGTCGATTCTTCGGATTCTTTTGCGACAGCGTTTCCTCCTGGCCTTGGCCCTGTCCGAGCCCTCCCAAACCGCATCTTCTTCGGCCACTGCAAGTCGCAGATGCCAAGCTTCCTCAGTCGCCAAACATGTATAAATATGTATAAATAATATTAGAAATATGTATAAATTAGATTTGTAATAGATTTGTTGGGATTTCTTCGTTGCAGTGAGATGCAATAATCATACATATCTCTACCAGGTCAAAACCGGAATTGATCTGTTCTTGTTCAAAATAATGCTTGGTGGAACAGGATAAAGTATTGATCAATGATACACACCACATATTCTACAATATACTATGATAGCATATACATACATTTATAAAACGAACTTGCATGCAACTATACATACATACATACATACATACATACATACATACATACATACATACATACATACATACATACATACATACATACATACATACATACATACATATATATATTGTGTGTTACATCTCGATGCTTTATTTTTGACACCATACACAGTCAGCTCTCTCATGGATGAGGGGAACAAGGGGAACTTTGTGACACTCGGAAAATTGCTGATGCTCACATATGATCACCCAAAGCTGGCTCAAGTGTGATCCAGGCTCGTCAATCTCCGGAATCAGAGCAGTAATCTTGACCTTTCCTTTGTGGGCTCCCACCTGGCGGCAATGGGTCTCGCTTAGCTTAGCTGATATCTTGGATCGAGCAACTTCCGGTGACCGATTTGACCTAGACTATTGGTCTCTGAGGTCTCTGACTCAGACCCAGATCCTGTCAAACATACAGGTTGTATCAGGTTGTCTGATTGGGTCATCCTTTGACGCAAGCAAATAGCACATCTGCATAAGATATTCAAGGATGCGTTTCCACAATTTTCCACACGGGTACATTAGGAGTCTTGCAAATGATGGTTGACTAAGCTACATAAATACACATAAGTGTCATCAAAACTCTATTCAAGTTGAACCCGTTGGGGTGTGATGTATTTGCCTTCGTTTTGGAGCCAGTCTGAACCAGTTAAAACAATTCTCTAACATTCTTGAAGGGCATGTTGATCGAGTGGCCTGGGACGGCTGTCCACATCTGTTTCAGGCCACTTGGTCAAATCTCCTGTGTTCTGGCGCAAACCATAAGAGGGTCCACTCACAGTCACTAGAGTGTTCTTTGAAGAGTGGCCTACAAACATGACAAGTTTACATAAGTTTACTACATTTTCCTATGTTAGTGTGTGTCCCACTGTTTCGGCATGTTTTGGTTTGATGTCTTTGGTCGCCGATTCGCTGATTTGGGTCGCTGGGTCGCTGATTCCAACACTCGCTGAGTCAGGTTCGTGGCTGCTTCAAAAAACGCTCGCTGATCCCTGGTCGCTGATTCAAATGACTGATGCAACCTATTTGTCGCTTACATTTGCTTACATTTTTTCCGCACGTCCCCAACTCGGATGCTAGTGTGCTAGTAAACTTTACTAAACCTAGCATGATCTGAAATCTGATATCTTGTTATATCGTGTTTCTCTGGTTTTCCATGTGTTTTCTCCGGCCTTGTAGACAACCTCCGTGAGTTCGCCCACCAACCGACGCAGCAGAGCATCGTCCACGTCCGGTTTCTCAATGAGCTTCTCCTCGCGCCAAGCGCTGCCTTGGAGCGGTCAAGGTCAAAACAGAAATCGAAACAGAAAACAACGCATTTATTAATTATCATTTATATATATATATACCCCCAATTGCAAAGACGGCCGACCTCTCACTTCGCGACACTTTCTAACACTTTCCACACACTCTTGCTAGATCTCAAAAGTCGAAACATGTCGAAACCAAGAGACAGAAGGTCTGAAGATCAGCATGTACGTTGGAGGTTGTCATCTCTGTTTCTCGCCATCTCTCTTGCAGCCGCTGCAGCAAATCCTCGCCGCAAGAGCTTACCACGCCTAGCAAAGACTCAGGACATGCTGCATCTCTTGCGTGTCCGTATCAGTTTGTCTCACGGTAAATGTCTCACCGCATCTGACCTCCAAACTGACCTGCAGTGATCTAAAGTTCTTTAAACCACCCCAGTCTTGCCTCTTGATGAACGAAGCGACTCCTTTGCAAGGAAGGGAAGTTCAAGCTCCGGAATAGCCTCCTGGAAATGGCTGCGACACACAGCGACGTCAGAGAACCTTCCAAGCAAGACTTGTTCGAGGATTCAAAAAAATCATCGCTGTTCCAAACAGATTCAATAGGATTCAATTGCAGACATTCGAGTTGCTAATGTTGCTATGCTTTAAGTCTCCTGCATGTTCGTCTGGTTTTCAGCACGCTCCCAAATGCGATTTAGGTCTGGCAGCAAATATGATGGATCGCGATCGGAACGAAGCTGTCTTGAGAGGACCTGCGCAGCTGTCCTTTTAACATCGGTGCAACCCTGACGTTGCTCCGCGCCGGAATTGCGGAAGGATTGCGTGTTCTTGAAATGCCATGTCGGTGGACTTTCAATACGCGGATGTATACGTGATCCATGATCATGTGGAGCAACGTCCGGGTTGGACGGGACATCTTTTAACATGCTTCTTTTAACATGCTCCATAGTTCACAGGGCCATCTTCGAGGCAAATTTGAAACGACTGGAGTTTGAATAATGCTGTAATATGATGTAACACATGTTTTTTGCCCTGACTGATGGCTTTTTTGGAGATATATACTGATTGCTTCATTCTGCCTCGGATTCAGTCACTTTAGGCACCTCTTGTAGATCATGTACAAGCGCACTTCGCGCGTCTTCGCTAAGGTGGTCCAGAAGGCTCAAAGATTTGCTCCACTCGTCGATGACATCTGCAACTCGACTTTCAGGCAAGGTCCACAGCCTCGTGACAGGACTGGACTTGCTGAAACAATACCACTGAACAACTGGCAACACAAGCTGCTGCACTGAGCTGCACTGCTTCAGTGAAAATTACTGACTAATTTTTAGCTCAGCTGCTCTGCGTTCTTGTAGACCTCCAGAACTTGCTCTGCAAAAATGCCCCCAGCTGGGTTCACAGAGCAAATGCTACTACTCGAGCGTCTCATCAAAACAGTCGTAGCAGCCGAGTCAGTCGGATCCTCCGTTGAAAATGGCCGCAGCAAAATGTGTTTTGACTGCAGCAAAGCCAAGAACATTTTCTGGGGTCAGTGGGAGAAACATGGAGAAACAACGCGCTGCTTCAGAAAGTCGTTGGGACATCTTTGAACAGGTCCCGACAGGTCCTGTATCTCCTTCGAGTTGGAGCGAGAGAGCTTTAGCCACTCCTCCTCGATGGAATTTCTAAGGCCACCATAATCGAATGCTTCAGAACCTGAGAGCATAGTCTGTTGTGCACCGCGCTGGCGACTCGCTGGAAACAACAATAGGAAACACAAGAGATGGTTGAAAAATGATCAAAATAATGGTATTGAAAAAGGTCCCCAGGAACATATTCGACATTATTCGACAAAGGTCAAAGACTGGTGTAGCAATGTGTAGCAACTGTCAGTATGTTTGGGTCGCAGGTTCCTCCAAGTGATGCAAAACTATGGGATGCACAAGCCACAAACACAAAAAGAAGTGAGCATACGCACTGCGCACACATTACAAACACACACAATCACGTGGCCGACAGGAAGAGAAGGGCTGGGCCCCTGGGCACCACACCCATCAAAGGACCTGCCTTCAGGCTTGGACATGCCGATGTTTGATGTTTGCTGGGCTCCAAAACTGCGACACTACCAACAGAGAAGAGCGTCCCAATTACCTTTTATTTACCTTTTCAACTGAAAAAGCGCGGCATTTGCAATGTCTGTTTGTCCCGAACGTTTTGAGAAACGAGCAAAACACTGTTTTTTTCAACGATGGCTTGGGGATCATAAAAATGAAAATGCCGTAGAAAACAGCTTGGCCCAGGGTCAAAAGATCCGGCAGGGACAGTAATGCCCGGTAATGCATGACAACACATGGCAACGATGTATGTTTTACTTGCGTTCTTTGTTTCTGTAAAAAGGATGCGTGAGACAAACAGTTCGCTTCGCCAAGCGCGCATATCACAGGCGTAGAATTCGCAATAACCACAAAAACACCTGGAACAGTCTCGCCATAGACACCCAGCCGTCACAGCACCGCCGGTGTGTAAGACTATTGTCAATAATTGTACACATATGAGTAAGTGTCCTAGTCAGATCTAAGACAACTAAAGACATTTCAAAATGTTCAAAGACAAATGTCTGCTGACGATTCATAAAGCGAAAATCGGGACGCAGGATCCACTGCATCAACCCGCTCTGAGGGGGCAACGCACTGCCACATTCTCTGCAACATCGGCCATTCGAAGGAGTTTCCTACTAACCGAAGAAGTAGCCTCGTCAAGGATACGCCGGGGTGAAGAGTGTGTTCAATTTGAGGCTTGCCGTTTGAAATAACTCGTCAATGTTTCTCATCAGAAAATCGGTGTGTATTCGCCTGTTCGCGTGCATTTCTTTTTTGAATTCCATATAATTCCACAAATAATTTGTGTCTCTAAGTTTGCGACCTTGGCATCGCTCCGTTCTCGTCGCCAGTCTTGCAGGACATCTCGTATATTGCTCTCAAACGACCTCAATACTTGGGTCTGTCTGATTTTGACTCAAGAAACCTGAAAGATGTGCATGCCTTTGGTACTATACTTTCATGTACTTTCTCACTTTCTCATTCTTTCTCCGTGAATATGTAAATGTATGTAAATGTGCACTTCCCGATTGTCTGACTGCAGTGGAGCAACGAGGGATGGCATTCTGGATCCGGCAAGATGTCGCGGAACGCACGGCCTTCCCCAGGATGGCAGTTTCACAATGGCTGATAGGTCTCCGATACACTTTGTCAAATTGTCATTCCTTGATATTTTTTCTAAATTCACTCGTGTGGTTTGGCCATATGAATCTATCATCTATATAATTTCCATGGGATCAAATGATTATCAAGTTAAAACTGAATGAAACTTCATGCATTTTGTGACCTACAAGCAGCACCAATCAGATCTCAATTGAAGCACGCCCTTTTTGGGCGGCTATAGGTCTACTGAGTCTGGCCATGTCTGGCCTGGACGATCTGCCCAGAGCTTCTTGAGCTTTTGCAGCAGATCCTCAAGGCCAGGACCGATGAATCTATCTGCTGTCCATCCGTATCCATCATCTATCAAAATAGATCATGATGATCATGTATATATTATTATATATTCATGTATCAGAAAAGTCATAAAATGTATTTGACATCAGTTGCAAATTGTTCAGATGTTTACCTGAAGATGTTGACCCTTCGGGTCTTTCGCTTCACAAGTTCACTGCGTCCTCGCCCTCCTTTCGGATGAAGAGATCGCCTTCAGACCACCCGCGCAGCACCTGGCGGCTGACAACTCAGCTCCGAAACTCCAGGAAAGACATGGAAAAAACAAGAAACAATCGACATCAATCGACTCAATTCGCAGGAATTCACATTGCCTCTCTTTAATCTCTTTATATCTCTTTATTTCCTTGGTGTTTTCCACATCTTTTGATAGAAAGATAGTGTGTCTGACTCCTGCAGTGTCTCATTTGGGACTGACCCGTTCCACCCGTTCCAGCCGTTCCAGCCGTTCCAGCCGTTCCAGCCGTTCCAGCCTTTGCCACCTCGGGGGCCTCAGTCACCTCTGGAGTCACCTGACAGCCAAGTTGAGCAGTTCTTTAAGTTCTTTAGAAGTTCTTTATAAGTTCTTTAAGGAATCCGATAGGACCTTTTAATACCTTTTATAGATTTTATAGGAGCCCTATTAGCTTTCTCATATTTTCTCACGCTTTCTCACGCTTTCTCATGCTTTCTCTCTTGATGGACTTTGGGGAGCTGTAGCTCTGGCAGCTGTGGACACTCGTGGATTATGCATCTTGGGAGATTGACTCTGTTTCTTTGCGCCTTCGATGCATGCTGGGATCGTCTGCACCATCGGCTTTTCGAAAGGAAGTAGCAAATCCCTCCACACATTGCCTGAATTCATCTCAGTCTCAAGATGAGTGACTCAAGTGCACTGTTGGGACAGTGCCAGCTTTACATTTTTGCGATATAATAGATATATATACATACATACAATATAATACAATATATATTATATATACAATATGATTATATATGGTCATTTGTATGATAAAATGCGAAGGGGGCTGAACCAAAGATTCTGGTTCGGAAAAAAAATAGAAAATATGAGAAAATAAACTATTTCACCCCGGATGTTCCGCTGGAGCTTGGTGGGAATCAGAAAGGGATGAAACAGGCACTTTTTCATAAAGTGATGTAAAGTGATGTAAAGTGAAGGTTCCTCATGATGGAGACCTTCCGTCATGCTGATGTCTGCAGCCAAGTAACTGCTACCCACAAGAGCAACAGCAAGAAGACGAAGAACAAAAACGACGCGGAGGACGTCTCCAGGTCATCTGGCGCAAGGAGTTACGGTCCGAGTCCTGTGGGTCCTGTCCTAAACATTCCAGTGGTGGCTCAGTCGCCCAGTGACAAACTTGACAACGATAAGCGGTATGCATGGTTTATGTTTTGATAAGAAGCGGTCATACCATGTCATACCCGTTCTTCCGCTCATGTAAAAGAAAGAAAAAAAAAATGGATGGGGTCGAGTATAGAGTGCTGATTCGTGTTAACACCTTCTTCAATCCAGTTTGCAAGGGCGGGCTTGGAATGCCTGACGTGTGGTTTCTGTCTGGTTTGGTAATTTGTCCCGCCTATACCAGCAAACTGTGCTTGCCCCATCACACCCATCTCAGTTACCTCAGAGAATGGCTGAGAGAATCATCCACAAGACCAGGGAGTTTTCTTGACGCCTCTTTGAAGTTTGGATGATGCTCACAGTGCCCCACATATTCAAAAGAAATGAAATATTTGGAATATAGTGTAATATAGATGAATATACTATATGTGATTTCAATCGGAAAGAATCAGTCTTGTGAAAATCCACGCTGGTTTCCAATTATGCTTTATTCATATTCCTGTTGCCTTGACAAGTTCATTTATTTTCATGCATTCTGAGCATTCTGATACTGTTAACACGCTAAGCCTTGGACATTGGACGTGTCCTCTTCAGCAGTGAGGTTTGTGTCAAAGTTTGAAGAATTGTCCAAGGCTTCGTCAAGCGAAGTGTTGGTCTCTGCACTGGAAGTTTGGGGAGGCACTGAAGTCTGCGAAGTCTGCGAAGTCTGCAAAGTGATCAGTGGAGAAGTTTGGGAAAGCTGAGTCGAGGTCTCAGTGGTCTGAGTGGTCTCAGTGATCTCAGTCGTCTCTTGTGAGGATATCGATGTCTCGGAAAGCTGTCCAGAAGTACTTGATGTACTTGATGTACTTAATGTACTTGTTTCTGATGTTTCTGGAGCACTTGAAGTCGAGAGTTCTGTAGACGTTGCAGACATCGAAGTCTCTGTAAATGCAGAGGTCACTGTTTGAGAAGCACTTGAAGTGTCTAATTCTTCAGAAGTTCCAGGCGCAACAGTTGACATCTCCCCGGGCTCTGTTGTAGTCATTCCATCCAATGTATAGGATTTACTGGATGTTGTTGTGGATGTTGTTGTGGATGTTGTTGTGGATGTTGTTGTGGATGTTGTTGTGGATGTTGTTGTGGATGTTGTTGTGGAACTCGTGTGTGAGATAGTTGAGACAGTACTCGTCGATGAGACGGTACTTGTGCTAACTGTGCTCACTGTGCCCGTTGTGCTGGTTGTGCTCTGGCTCGTGGACGAAGATGTCCAGCTGCTACTGGTGGAACTGCTGAACGTACTGGATGTAGCTGACGTGGAAGTAGATGTACTGGATGTGGTACTGAATGTGGTACTGATGGTACTGGTTGTGTTTGTTAGACTAGAGGTGCTAGAGGTTTGTGTTTGTGTGGTCGTTGATATTGTCGAGCTGGTACTTGTCAAGCTGGTTCTCGTGGATGTTGACACGGAAGTGCTGCTTGAGGTTCGCGTCGTCATTGTCGAGGTTGCTGAAGTAGAAGTGGTTACGGACCACGATGTGCTAGTGGTAGAGCTGATGCTGCTTGTGGTGCTCGTAGCAGTGGATGATGTCCGAGTCACGGTGCTTGTGGTGCCAGTTGTAGTTTCCTGACAACCGCCAACAAAGAAAGGCTCTGTATCAATGGCCGAGATATTTCCAATATAGCCATAGTTGCAAGTGCAGCCACTTGGCACGTAGCCAGACGAATGCTCTGGGCATGCGACAGGTAAACAAGCTCCAACGAAGTATGGATACTCTGCAGAGCGATTGATCTGACCCTGATATCCAGGCAGACAGCGGCATCCTTCCAGAGTCAGACCATGCAACTGTATGCAACTGTGATATTAGTGCAATTCTAACAAAAAAGGCTCAAACTAAGGCTGTTTGCCCTATTTGCCCTGTTTGCCTGCCTTCCGCTTCTACAATACATCGAGCTGATTCAAACTGGTATGTTTATTAGAGAAGGGAGCCAAAGTGCAACACAGGCATGGACTGCGCCTTCCAAAACGTTGAAGCCGTCAGAGTTCGCTGGGCAGGTGACACTAGGGCAGTTTTCCTCGACCTGAGGTAAGGCAGGAGTTGTTGTGCCACCGCCGCAGAGACAGCAGGCAGCACTGGCATCTAAGCCAGCGGTCACCCAGTCGCTGAAGGTTCCCCACCAGGACTGCCATTTCGATCCATAACCATCTTCTCGGCAAAGGTCCAAGACACGATAATCCTCACACTCGTTGTTGTAGCCATCCTTCCAGACTCTTCTTTCGGGATAGTCCCAGTAAACAACTGGATCTTGATCCATGCAACTGCCAATGCAAAAGCTGTCATCATAGACGTCACCGTCACTACCAGCACATGTGCGATTCCTCCGTCGCACAAAGCCCGTTTTGCACACGCCACTATGCATACCGCCATCCCATGCACCAAGAATCCAAAAGTAACGAAACACACGTTGAGTGAAGCGAACGCTTCTTCTCGGGTGCCAGCTGCCAATACTTCTCTCTGCGTAGAAGAAAAGCCAACCATAGAGGTCATCTTGACGTTCAAAAACCAGACCCAACGTCACCGATTCATTTGGAGGCACCGAATACTTCGTCAGATTTTCCAACATCAGCCAAGGCGTGAAGGAAACGGCCAAAGGTGGTCCAGTTGACCATGGCAAATTGTCCACACTCAAGGCACGAGCACCTGTGGCAGGTTGCAAACCCACCTGGATCTGAGAGAGTGCGCTGGCATTCGCTGGAAAATCTTCCAGCAAAAGCAGGACCCGACCATCACTGTGCAAGCGAACTTCAAAGGTCAAATTTGCCAGGTTCACATCACTTTTTTGACGAAGTCCCTCAAAACGGACTGCTATCACGTCTTCTGCTTTTCGTGCAGAAATCTTGGAGCCCACAGGGCATAGCAAGTCTCCCCACATCGCGGCAAGCACCGCATGCGGTCCTTTGCCAGAACCAAGTACTGCTGCCTGTCTTGTGAATTCGTCTAAGACAGGGTCAAAAATCAGGGCACCGTTGCAAGAGACATAGCTTTCCTCGTAGAAATGCAGGTAGTGAGGGAACACAAAAGGCAATCGTAGGAGTTCAGCATCATCATCTAGCTGAACCTTGGAAGCATGACGTGCAATGCTGCATGACACATCGAAACAGCACTCAATTTAAATACGCAATGTCCCACACATCCCTTATTTGATTCTCAACATTTCTCAACCGTTTTAAAAAAGACATCATTTTGTGGCAAGCTACCGAACCGTTAAAGGAAGTGAGGTCCAATACTTCAAAGGAATAGAAGGACTCGGCATCGAAGGCTGACAGCACTTGGGCCGTGTAGAACGGATCTCTTTCGAAAGTCCGGTTGTGATCGATGACGTCCAAGACCCAGCGCATGTCCTGCGCACTCCGAGCACTGTGAGCATCACAAAAGGGTGAGTCTCACAGTTCGCAGGTGTCACAACATGTTAGTGACGGTTTCAACAGCAAGAAAAAGAATCAAGTGGAAATCATGGAACCAACTCTGTTCACGCTAGCATTTTGCAACGCAGAGTCCTCATCACCATAATTTTCCAGGGTCAGAGTGTCATTGAATTCGCTTGACGTATTTGGCAAGCCATACCAGACCTCCACTGGGTTCCAACTGCACACGACCTCAATGTCGCCTCCGAGTTCCTAGGCAGCCAGACAGAGAAGGCCCTGACCTTGAATGCCTTGCGTCATTATGGATTTGAATATTATATTATAATTTATTATAATTTATTAATATTATATATATATACGTGTATATATATATGTGCACCATTTATGGATCTGTGATCTTTAACGATCTTTATTGTGTTTGCGGACACAAGGTTGAGGCCGCTTCTACGCATGCTGCCACGGAACGAGACGTGCCGCTAGGTCTTGACCTTTTGCCTTCGAAATTAAGTAGGCCGCAATCCTTCAGGTGGCTCGACATCGGGATCTGTCAACATGTATCAACAATCAACAAGTCAGGACAGTTCAAGATACAAAATGATACAAGATGATACAAGTCTGTAGCATCCAACTTGGGGAAAAACATGGAAAGACAAAACCTGAAGTCTGACAGTCTGACGGGGCCCGAAGGGGTCCTTGGATTCTGAAATGGCCCGGCAATGGCAAGGACCGCCGTGGACTGAGGATCCACAGTGTCGAAAATGATGACAGCCAGAGCGCCAGCCTCTTCAGCCAGCACTACCTTCCACGAAAAATAGCAGCTTCCTCCAACGTTTTGGAAACACGCGTAATGACACAATGACATTGGAGCAGACTGAGCACACTGGTCTACACCTCTCATCATCCCATCATCAAATGGTAAGTTTGCTGCTTTTGGAAGACACCAACTGCGTGTTCCGTCAATGCGTTTCAATTGAATGATTCACTACGCCTGCCAATATGGCAAACAAGTGTAAACCAAGTCAAAGCAGTCATTTCATCCAAACATCCAAATCAATCCCTGTCCTCGCTCGATAAGCGCGATCCTATTCTCAAAGTGTGAGCTGGGATGTGGACTACATCCTTGCAGATTGTCACTTTGTGGAAGCCGAAGCAGTGCTGTTGTGTTCCTGGCTGCGACATGATGCCTTGTTGCATCTTGTTGCATCATTTTGGGTGTCATATGTGTCATATGACAACGACTTCCAGTTCGGCTTGCAAAAAACTTCCAGGGAAACCGAACTGATCGAACTGGACGGAAACCCTCAGGTCCCACCTCTGCTTTTTCTGCGTGGCCATCGTGTCGGTGAGAAGCACTTCCCACTCCGACGTGGCACACGGGGAGAAAAAGAGAGGCGCGTCATCTGACGTCACCTCACCACATCCGCTCCATTTATCTGTCAGCAGCTCAGGATCCGCCAGCACCGCCACCAGCAAGAGCTGCAAGTGCAACCAGTGCAACCATGGCATGTCATCTGCTGTACAAGTGTTGATTGCTACATATAGCTACCATGTCCAGTTGTGATAGCTATCAGACAGAGTCGCTGAGCACACTAGTCATTGGTGATTTGCCAGTGAAGTTCCCGTTGACGCTAATTTGAAAGATGTTGAAAGCACGTTTGGTTCAAACGTTTCATAAAATCAACTTCTCAAGAGTCAAAGACTTGAAAGCATCCGGTAATGTCACGAATATTTGCATCAAGACTCAAGACGTTTCATTCAGCCAAGTTGGTACCTTCAGTTTATCAATTGCACAGGTGTCTCGAGTTTCAAAATGTTTCAAACATCGTCAGAACTTTTGAAAAGTACATCGCCGATCGGCAGCATTCGGCAGCAAGCTCCGTCCATATGCACCTAGACCAGAAGACTGTAGCAGTGGCCAAGGCAGGTCTCCAAAGTCCTGACACAGCTTGGCTGCACAACAGGGTCAGAAGGGTTCATGTTGAATTCATTTATACAATGTCGGATACGTATGGATACGTCGGATAACTTTCTCTGATTCAGTGAATCCGTTGTAGGCTCTTTGTTGCTGGGGAAATCCATGGCTGAAGTGGGTCAGCGCCTCGTCTGGAAGGACTGCCACATCTGTCAGCCTTTGCTCGCAACGGAGGCCGCACATGGTGCGGCTGGTAAGGCTCCATAGCAGCCATGTTGCTACAGCTGGAGCAAGTAGTCAGCTACAACTGCAAATGATTTTGATGCAACGCAAGGACTTCAAATAACAAACAGAGCAGCACCATTCATCTGTTCATCTCTACTAATTTGTGCAAAGGCAAAACTGCTGAGGGTCAGATGAGTGTGGTTCAAAATATCTCAAACTTATCAAACCCCCAACCCGGATGGATGACCAACTCCGTGGGTCGATGGATACAGATGTTTGAGCCATGGCCTTGTATGCCTTGTTTCAGTTTCGCCTCATGACACTTCTACTAGGCCTTGAAAAGGCTTCAGGTTCGAACAACTGGGCATTTACGTGATACTGCCTTACTTTGGACTTCTTAACTGGAAGCCCGCATAGTCTTTCGAAAACTTGAGCCAATGTCTATATTATGTTTCCAGGATGTTCAAGGTTCCCAGGATGTCCCAGCTGAATTCTGGGTCAATTTGCTCCAGCATTGCTCTACTAGGCCTGGTATATCTGACTATACCTGACTATATCTGATACTGCCATGAAATCTCGCGAAGGTCTGCTTTCTCTTGGCGAGTCCTGATCCTGATGATCCTGATGATCCTGATGCTTGATCTGTGTCTGTGTCCGGCCCTTGGATCTCGGATCTCTCGGATCTCATGGCCTGCTGCAGCCAGGAAACCCCACCGCAAGGCAATCTCTGCGAAACATTCCAGAACTACCTGTTAGAACTACCTGTAAAAAATTGTAAAAAGCTGAAATTAAAAAACATAAAAACTGAAACTCAAAGATGAAGTCATTTCACGTGGTTTTCAACAAACACCATGATTTAAAAACTGCAGAGTTGTTAGCTGGGGTGGGAGTGGAGGTTGTGTACAGGCGAGTGTCCTCATTTTCAACACTGAGGGTTCTGGCTTTGCATTTTCTCCCAAATTGGTCTTGCATGACTGAATTGATTCAAGATGATTCAAGGATGTCTAACAAACCACGCATGTTGCTCTCTTTCCCTTCTGCTTCATTCTCTTACGAGTCATTCTGGCATGTGCTTTGCCAGTACCAAAATGCTCGACTTTTCACTGGACAGCGATCGAAACATGTTCAAAGTTTGTGAGCTAGGCTATACACAACTGACACAAGTTTGTTTGCTTCTGAAATTGTTAGTCTTTTGAGGCAAGGGGAGGAGCAAACAAGGCAAGGAACATTGGCGGACCTGCGTCTTTGACAGGCTGAGATTCCCACGCCATCCAAACTGGGGGTGGCTTTTAAATGAACATTTGCCAAGAGCTGGGTTTTGCCAGCAAAATCAATCAATTGGGCGATGGCTCAAAACTGCACGGCTTTGATGCTAAGAAAATGAGGTGTGATGTTTGCTGTTTCACTCGGCTTAAGCCGCTTAAGCCCTTCTTGAGCCATAGCTGTCATTTCAAGCTGCCACGATTCCCTTCCGCGAGGATTGTTCAAGGTGAAAGATCGGAACTTCACATGTCTGATATTTCTACATGATCAGAGCGCTTCTTCTCTGCATGCACTGCCGCACGCACAGTTACAGGAGCACAATGTCGGCCAGGTGCATCCGGTGCATCCGGTGCATCCCAATCAGGACGCACGATTCGCACGATTCGCACGTGCGGTTCTGACGGTTCCGAGGGTTTTGACGCTGGGTTTGGCTCGGAAGGCTCCGGGGGCTCCGGGTGCACAGCCGCCGATTTGGCCTACATCGTTGTTCTCGGCACAAGCAAAACATGGCCATGCCAACATATGTCAGGTAAATAAAAAAGCTTACGAGGGCATTCAGTTCACATATCTTCAATTATCTTCATATCTCAGATGTGTTTTCCATGAAAATTCTATACATGTGTCGGCAAGACAGCTTGGCGATGAGAAGCCCGCCTTTCTTGCAAGCAAGTGTCGACCTGCACCACAAAGGCACGCCTCAAAGGACTTCAGAGGAGCCGGATTCAGAATGCTTCAGAGAATGTGAGCTTGTCAATAGCACATTGAAACTGACTAGATATAGGATGATATAGGCTTCAGATAGTTTCAGAAGGTTTAGGACAGTTTAGGATGTCTTACTCTGCAGATTGCAGGGATCTTCGGTTTGGTCTTTGGCTCGGGCGAAGCAAGGCGTCGAAATGAGCAGAAGCAAAATCAGCGCTGATGTCGAAGGCCCTCCATCTGAGCCTGGATCAATCGTTCTGAGAGCTTTCGAGATTGAAAACACAAAGGCCGCTTTTTGACCGTTCCTGTCTACCAATTCTGGGATGCACTTTCCCATACTTCCATATACTTCCCCCAACCCCATCCAAATGCCTTGAGTCACCATTGCTGCAACCTTGGCAAGCAACAATTGGAGGATGACAGTTTTTTGCATGGTTTTATCTTTGACTCCAAAGGAACAGAATAAGGCTGAATCCGAATCTCGTGTAAAAGCATTGTTGTGCTCTTAGGAACATGTTTCTTGCGGTTCGTTGATCTCCATATCAGATATGACAGGTATCAAGGCCCAAGGCTATTAAGATCTATCAAGGCTATTGAGACTACCCCACATGAAATCCCCAGGCACCTTGCGGCTTGTGGAGGCAAAGGCTGCTTTGGGTGGTTCATAGGCTCCAGAAAGCTCTACATTAGCACCTGCTTCGTTCACAAGCTCCATCGTTTCCACCTTTGATGTCGTAAATGTTTGAAATGTCGTGGATGTCGAGCTGGTTGATGTTGTGAAAGCACTGGAAAATCCTGCAGTAGGAAACGTCAGGGTGCTTGTCTGACTCTGGGTAGATTGGGCTGATTGAGCTGTAGATGTTGAAGAGCTTTGCGGATGTGTCTGTCGGTACTCTGAATCTTCTGGACTCAGCGCGGTAATGGTTGTAGGGGTGGACGAAGTCGATCTGTTTCCAACCGTGATAGTTCTTGTAGTTGTTGTCCCAGTGCTTGACTTCGTCTGCGTTGAGTTGTCGAGTGCTGGAAATGGCAGATTGGCTTCGGTGCTGGTCTGGCTTTCCGAGGTGGGACTATTTGCCATGGAATCAGTTGAACTTGAGGAACTCGATGTGAAGGTGAACGACGCGAACGACGCGAACGAAGTCGATGTCCAAAAGTCAATTGTGCTGAGTGGACTTTCGCTCGTCGTGGTAGCAGTTGCTGAGACTTGGACACTTCGTCTCTCTGGAAACGTTCCCATGTACATAGTTCTTGCTGTGCTTTCTGTGCTGGTAGATATTGAGGAGGTAGTTGAGCTCACAGTTTCATGTCTCGCTGAAGTGTATGGAATGCCTGTAGTGAACTCATGCAACGAATGCAAAGAGGTAGTTGAAGTGGAGGCAGTGGAGGTTCTTGTTCCAGTCCTTGTGGCCGTGACGGAGCTGCTTGCACTTGTCGACGCTTCCCTACAGCTGCCTATGAAGAAAGGTTCTGCCTTGGACGGGATGATGCTACCTATGTAGCCCGCGTCACAAACACAGCCGTCAGCTACGTGTTCTCCAAATGAATGAAGTGGGCAGGCGACTGGAGAACATTGTCCTCGGAAATATGGAGATTGGTCGGAAGGTATCACCTCTCCTTCAAAACCAGCTTGGCAACTGCATCCACTCAGCACATCGACGCCCACTGAGTTGACGGGGCACTTCACACTGGGACACTTCTCAGACAAAACTGGAGCTCCAGAGGCTCCAGAGGCTCCAGAAGGTTCAGATACACGGCCTCCACCACAAAGACAACCTAGGCAAGGTTTGCAACAATTAGAGGTTGACAGTCTTTTGCATGTTGTTTGCATATTGTTTGCATTGTTTTATGTTTGGCAAAGTAAGAATAAGGTAAAATGCAAAAGAATCCGAATCTCGTGTAAAATCATTGTGAAATCGCCATGGCACAGGCTTCACCGGCACCAGGGCCACCTGAAACCCAGTCTTCGAATCTTCCCCACCAACTTTGCCATTTGGGTCCATAGCCAGTCTCGTTGCAAAAAGACAAAGCTCGGTAGTCCTCACATCGATTATTGTAGCCATCTTTCCACACGTGCCTGACTGGATAATCAAAATTCTGCTCCAATGTGATGTCTTCGCAGCTGCCAATGCAGTAGCTCTCATCGTACTCCGCTCCGTCACTTCCAACACATCGACGAGTCCTGCGTCGGACCAAGCCATTGGCGGCACAGCTCCCACTGTGCAAGCCACCGTCCCAGCCACTGAGAACCCACACGTGCCGAAAGGTGCGTTGGAGGAGTCGCACGTTTCGTCGTGGATGCCAAGTGCCCAGACTTTTTCGTGCATAGAAAAAGAGCCAGGCAGTGGTTTCAGAGGGAGTCTTTGGCAGCGTCATGTTCAACGTGAGGAATTGATTTGGAGGCAATGCATCGGTACTTCTCGAAAGTTTCACCCATGGCACCAGAACTGCGCTGAGAGATCTGGATCTGAAAGGGTCTGTGAAATCTGTCAGATTTGGAGTGCTTTGAGTCTCGTTTGGAGTGTTTTGAGTATCGACTTGGAGTCCCCACTCTTTGAGCGGCAGTGCTTTAGCTCCACTGCCAGGTTCCAGGCCAATCTCCACCAGTTCCAGCCAGCCACTGTGAGGGAAAGTTTCCTTAGTCTGAAACTTGCCGCGGAAACCAAAAATACCAAGGAAACAAATTGGAAACAATATTGGAAACAATATTGGAAACAATCCAAGACTTAGAAGACTTAGAAGACTTAAAGTAAATCATACGTATTCAGATTTCACAAGTACTAGTAAGAATGTGTTCACTCTCGGTCCAACTGTCGAAATTGATGCATGCCAGAACAGGAGACAAAAGGCAAGACTTGCTTCCCAGACATATCCATTCCATTTGCTTCGGTCGTTTTGGACTTTAGAGGCTCCACCCAAAAAGGAACTGCACAGTACTTTGGTTTGTCGAGCTTCCCAATGGATATGGATCTCACCATCATCAAACAACCACACGTCAAAGGTGAAGGGACCTGAAGGCTCTGTCAAAAGACCTGTTGGTTTCAACCAGAAGCCTTCAAAGCGTAGAACCAAGCGTCGCGAGTCACCTCAACAGGAACAAACTCTGAGGAACCATAAGGAACTGAGGGACTCTATTGACTCTATTGACTTGTCTCTTCTGACCAAAGCGGCACATCACATTAACGCGCGCAGCTTCAAAATATTTCAAAATGATCTTGTTACCATTGCTCCAAAAAATGCCACAACCATGCGTCTTGATGTGTCTTGATGCATCTTCTAATCTGTTCGCTTCCGCGATTTGGAGTGACTTGTGACATGTGCAGCGCCTTGTCCAGTAATAGCGCCACCAAACAAATCGGCCCACAGCGGTGCAATGAGGGCTGTAGGAGCAACAGAGTCGGCGATTGAACCAACGATGTTGGAGAAGACAGGATCAAACACCAAAACGCCTCAGAAAAACATCCATCAAGCTGATCAAATGTTCAAACAATGTTTCTGACAGATATTTGGTGACAAATTTGATAAATGAATGCAATGTACTGACGTACTGATCTTTCAGCCTTTTCTGAAAGAAGCTTTTGCGAAGTCGAAAAACGGCCTTGACTCACACAATCCTCACAGCGGTCCACCACTCATACAAGCTGAATGTGTTGGGGCCCCTTCTTGATCTCAACAGCATTCAACAATATTCAACATCATTCAACAGCCAAGACTCCATTTGCAGACACAAAGACTTTGTCTTTAAATTGGAGATAATGGGGGAATCGAAATGGCAGCTTGAGGAGATGGAAGTCATCGTCCAGCGCCTCAGCTTCTGCTGAACAGATTTAAGTCTGTTCCCAAACTGGAGGTTTTTGTGTTATTTTGTGGATGTAAGACAGATGTATTCCATAGGGCTACCTCCATTCTCCTGTCAAAGTGCACTAAGATGGATGGATAAAGAACTTAGAATAAACACAGGAAGCTGAGTGGAAGCTGAGTCATGGACGGACGAATTAAAAACTGTGATATTCTTCATCTCCGTTCCGTTGAAAGTTGTTGCGTGGTCGGGTCCAAACACACGCGCTGAGTAGAACGGGTCAGTCTCGAAGCTGGCATTGTTGTCAATCATATCAACAACCCATGGCATGTCTTCGTCGCCATAGTTGTGCAAGATGATACTGTCGTTTAATTCGAGAGAATGCTCTGGAAGATTAAACCACACATCGACAGCACTCCAACTGCACAGGATTTGGATCTCTTCTCCACCATCCTGAGTTGAAAGCCAAGCAGCTCCTGTGTTTTTCTGAAACGGATTGGAAAAGAGTCAATGCTTGCACTCCAATTGCAAGACATTGGGCACGCATATATAGTATTATCACACGCAGAAACTCCAGAGCCGTGGGAAAGCTTGTTCTGAATATCTGAATTCTATTGCAAGGATCCAACCTTTTAAGCAGTTCTTCACCTTGAGAACGCGAGATCAAATAGCCAGGAATCCTGCCAAAGTCAGCTGCAAACGAAGGTAAGAAAGCTAGGGATGCTAGGGTAGAATTCGCTAGAACAGGACCTTCAAAGCATTGCGAAGTTTTCGTTCTTTCCAGATTTTGTGACGCCTCGCACCCAACTCCTGGGATTTTCAAATGGCCCTGGAACTGCAAGGATGGCAGTTACCTGGAATGGTGCAGTATCAAAGATGAGGACGGCTCCAGCTCCTGCTGCTTCCGCAAGTAGCACCTGAAATTGGCGAAGCTAAACCGCCTTGGTAAATTTGGTAAACCTCAAAGACTTCGCACCTGAAGTGACTTGACACCTGAAGTCCTCGCACTTGTTCGACACCACTTAGAATATGAACTAACATCAACTAACCACAGCACTGCAACGACTGCACCCGGCTGCGCCCCAGCTGCGCCCCTGGCTGCGCCCGACCCGACCTTCCACGAAAAGTAACAACCTCCTCTTTGGAGTAGCACAATGCTCCCACCGAAGTTCAATTTGTGCTCTGTGCAGCCCAAAAGATTCTCAGCCTCTCAGAATATCCGAGATCATGTGGGGTTGCATCAAAAGGATTCAAAAGGTATAGTCCACAGTGTCTTGAGAGATCTATAGGATTGAATGCACTAAAGCCACAAAAAGAATATGTTGATTCAACATCTTTTGAGATTACCGTTTCGAAGCACCTTTGCTACAAAACCTCTGCAAAAATGGTTGTAACACTGCTCCCACTGCTCCAAGCTGGTATCCTCGGGGAGCTTCAGATCGGCTGTGATCTCCGACAAATTCACCGAAGATTTGGCGCGACTGGGAGGACTTGCGGCCCTTGCGGCACTCTGCAGTGCTTCTTGCGCTTCTTGCGTTTCTTGTGCTTCTTGTGCTAGTTGCACTCCGTCTCTGTCGAGCAGCACTTCCCACTCAGCAGTGGCACACGGTTCAAAGTAGAAGGGGAAAGGGCTGCCAGATATCACCTGCGGAGAAGCCGTTCCGAACTCATCATGTACTCTCGGTTGTTCTCAGTACATGCTATCATCCAGTGCCTCCAGTGGTCTTGTGTGCACTGAATACTGACTCGTGCCCCAGCATGTCCCAGCAATACAGAAAAAAAACAACACTCTTCTCAGTCTTCTCCTGCGGCCCCCCAGTCCCCCCGAGTCCTCAGCACAACCACTCCATCTGTTCACAGCCAGCTTCGGATCTGCCACTACCGCGAATGCCATAGAAAGTGCCAGCCCCAGCCATGGCATGGGGCATGGTTGGGAAAATTCTTCGCAGTCAACGTCAAAGACATGCAAAAAAAGAGAAGCATGCTAAAACTCGATGAAACACCTTCAAACATCATGAAACTTGTATTTGGCATTCGATTTGCCGGAAGTGCCGCATTTTCTGTTCGTGTGGTCTGCGATCTGCATACTTCCAAATGTTGTTAATTCCTCTTGACTCTTGTTAACAACCTCAGGCAAAAAATGCTTGCATGACATTGACATTGTCCATTTATGCACTTTATTTGATTATACTATTATACTGCCATGCACTTGCTCCGCTTCTGAGCAAAGGCTGCAGAATCCCTCCACCTAAATCTGGAACCCCACACTGCAAATCTGGACAAGTCCCTTGGCTTGCTGATTCTGCAAGGCAATAAACCGGTCAGGATGGCCACACAACTATGACAAACATGATTCAATAACTTATATAACTTCACTATCCTCTCAACTACTATCCCCAGACCCTAGGAAACTTCATTGTAGACCCTGGATCTAGGGTCTAAAGTGGGGTCTGGAATGATAAATACCTAGGTGATTCCAGAAACATAACGGAACCATGCTAGACCTTACCTAGGGGTCCGGGAACTTGCACATAACACAGCTATGATACTGGAAGGCTCAGAGAGGTAACTTCACTTTAGACCCCTGGGCCCGGCATCTCCGGCAGTAAGCCTAACATCAAAGCTTGAAGTACCTTCCCTCAGGAGCATATCTCCTATATTCTCTTATTTAAGGGTTATATTGTGGTTATTTCGAGACTATATTGATTTAATATTAGTCTATTTGTTTTACATGCAGATGGAATTCAAATTGACAATTTTTGGGTTATACAATAAACATGAATAAATATTTGTCACACTCTGGTGCCTTAAGATTTCCTAACATAGGGGGTAAGTTTAAAAAATCTGATTTTTCTCGACTCGAGTAAAACCAACTTACCCCAGAGTTATCCTGAACTGTGTCTACCCACAACTTTGAATAAACCAATCCGAAATATCCAAATCTTGCCATTCGACCATTCCACCGAGGGCAGTTTGAAAAAGCTCTGATTAACACGACGCATCCTGACAGTTTCCATTGCAAAATGCTCGCCTTGCATTTTTTCCGCCAGATAGAATTATTTCCACCTTCGAGGTATTTTGGGGTTGGATGTGTAATTATGTGATGTGACCCAATATGTTTTTCTTATTCATGGGTCTGAAATGGTTTACCACATCCTGAAACCAGAAATATTCACCACAAATGCTATGGGAACATCATTTCAGACCCATCAAGATGGACCATTCCCAACTATACAGAAGAGAAACCATCACCATCAACATATCAGAAAGAATGTCAGAAGATATGCCAGATAGAATGTCAGAAGATATGCCAGATAGAATACCAGAAGATATGCCAGATAGAATGTCAGAAGATATGCCAGATAGAATGTCAGATAGAATGCTAGAAGATTTGGCAGATAGAATACCAGATAGAATGTCAGAAGATATGCCAAATAAATTATCTTTTCCTCATCTTCATGGGTCTGAAATGGTTTACCACATTCTGAAACCAGAAACATTCACCACAAATGCTATGGGAACATCATTTCAGACCCATCAAGATGGACCATTTCCAACTACACAGAAGAGAAACCATCACCATCAACAAAGATATCAATGATATGTGTTAATACCAATGGGTATTTGATTTGGAATCATTCCAACCTTCCAGGTATTTTGGGGTTGGATGTGTAATTATGTGATGTGACCCAATATGTTTTTCTTATCTTTTCCTCATCTTCATGGGTCTGAAAAGGTTTACCACATCCTGAAACCAGAAATATTCACCACAAATGCTATGGGAACATCATTTCAGACCCATCAAGATGGACCATTCTCAACTATACAGAAGAGAAACCATCACCATCAACAAAGATATCAATGATATGTGTTAATACCAATGTGTATTTGATTTGGAATCAATCCAACCTTCCAGGTATTTTGGGGTTGGATGTGTAATTATGTGATGTGACCCAATATGTTTTTCTTATCTTTTCCTCATCTTCATGGGTCTGAAATGGTTTACCACATCCTGAAACCAGAAATATTCACCACAAATGCTATGGGAACATCATTTCAGACCCATCAAGATGGACCATTCCCAACTATACAGAAGAGAAACCATCACCATCAACATATCAGAAAGAAGTTCAGAAGCATAGACAGAAAGAAAGATTTATGAAAGGACAGATAGAATGTCAGAAAGATATGCAGATAGAGGAAAACCAGAAGATAAGGAAGGGAAGAAGATATGCCAGATAGAATGTCAGAAGATATGCCAGGTAGAAAACCAGAAGATATGCCAGATAGAATGTCAGAAGATATGCCAGATAAATTATCTTTTCCTCATCTTCATGGGTCTGAAATGGTTTACCACATCCTGAAACCAGAAATATTCACCACAAATGCTATGGGAACATCATTTCAGACCCATCAAGATGGATCATTCCCAACTACACAGAAGAGAAACCATCACCATCAACAAAGATATCAATGATATGTGTTAATACCAATGAGTACTTGATTTGGAATCATTTCCCAATATGTTATTATGCGATTCGCAAGCATTCATCAAATATGTTGTTCGTTTATTTGTGTAATTATGCACCATTATGAACCATTACAATCCATTACATAAAAAATAACATCGCCATTTTACCATCATCTTGTGACAACAAGATTGCGCCTTATGTCTCCACTGGTTGTGGTTGATTGATGTTGGTTGTGGTTGCTTGGTATGCGTTTGGCAACCTTTATTAAGGTTCCAAGGATGCAAAGGGTCTAAGATGAAGTTCCCTATGCAAAAGCCAAAAGGTCTAGAATGGATTTCCCTCATGATAGTAAGGGTCTAACATGGTAGGAGGCAAAAGGTCTACAATGATTTTCAGACCATCTTAGACCTTCCATCTTGGGAGCCCTAGGCAAACCATCTTAGACCCTCTAGTAGTTGAGGGGATCTGGCAACGATATTTTTGGGAACTACGGCTTCCTTCACTGTGATTGGCTTGACAAGGAGATGGCATGCTACTCCCAAAAGCGCCGTGACGCAGCAAACGATCTCATGGAGGAAAGGGTCAATACCCATTTCTCCGCTTTGAACGACCTCGTGAAGCTGACGACACGTGCCGACGTTGGGAACATCGTCCTCATCATGCCATGGTACGGCAGGGGGTATGGGTTGCACCCCGATTTTGACCGTCAAATGATTCGCGAAGCTGAGGCTTTGAGGAAACGTGGACTCTGCGTCCTCGATGCCACGTCGCTTATCAAGTGTACTACACGATACGACGGCCAGCACATGGAGAATTCGGAGCACAACCGTCTCCAGTGCATTCGCTTCTATTCCGAAGCTGGCGCTCTCGGCTATCATCTTTTTCGACTTCGGTCGTGCAAGCCATTGATTGAGATGGCTGAGATGAAGAAGCGCCGCGAGGAATCGCTGGCCAACCCTCAACCTGAAAACAACCCTCAATGGGAAGAGATGGAAGAAGTGTTGGTCTCCATGGACGTGGACGGTTGGGAAATCTATGTGAAGGAGACCCGACCCAAAGGGCAACGGCTTCCCAATGAAGTTGACCCCGCACGTGCACAAGTCGCACAGGCTCCTACGGTGCAGGATGATGCCACTGTGGCCTCATCAAACTGGCAGCTTTTGGAGTCCGTGGATGCTGCACTGCGGGGGGAACCCGAGCACTTTGAACCGCATGAGGTCAAAGAGCCGGAGATGGATGGTGAGCTCATCGACGCCATCCTCAAGCCCTTTTTGGATCGGTTGCCGGGTGTTTCCGACGAGCGTGACATTGACGAGCCGGATGCTGACGAGGAGATTGTCTTCAGAGAACCCATCGTCGGCGGCTCAGCATCAATGTTTAGCCAGCGGAAGCTGCGCTCCCATCTGATGAATAAGATCCATGCTGTGGACTTCAGATTGGATGGTTCTGGCGTAGTGAACATCTTGGACACCGACGTCACGCGTGACCCTGCCAAGCTTGAACTTCGGCAGGAATCCATGCAGCAGACCGAAGAGGGTGCAGTCATCATTCGTCGCTTTGACTTGACGGATGAGGAGAAGCATCGTCAGATGGAAAGGGAGATCTTTGAGGAGCCCAAGACCGCCGAGGAGAAACTTCGCGCGGGTGACCCTGCTGCCACTGTCCAGATCATGTCGAAGGCCAAGTCGAAGGCGGCTTCCTCTTCTGAAGCGGCATCATCTTCGAGCGGCATCGCACAGGTGATCGGGGACACTGTCGGCCAATTCATCAAACCAAAGATGAGGGATCAGGCCACCATGATTCAGCCGAAGCCTGTCCCAAAGATCCCAAAGATCTCAACGGCGACGGGAACGTCTCCCATGGCGTCCCCAAAGCCCAGTCCGCCACCGACTCCGAAGAGTGCAACTGGATCCCCCAAGCCGGAGCCACCTGCACTCCCAGCGGAAGCTGCGGACCATCCAATGCCCAAAGCTTTGCCCTTTAAGGCACCGCCTGCAACGTTGACAACAACCTCACCGAGGGCACCTCCGCAGAAGTCATCGGCGCCTGCAGCTACGTCTTCGTCGGAGCCTGCCCCGAAGATGGCCAAGAAGGAGCCGCCTATGGCAAGTGCTCCTCCCCCGGGAACGGGTGGACCTCAGCCTCCGGCTGAACCGCCCTTGCGACCACAGGGATATCCCAAGTGGTACTTTTTCTCCCCGGGAACGGGCGAGCGCAGGGAATTCACCGTTCGGTGTACCGACCTGCCAGGCCTGAGGGACCTTGGAAGACTCAGTCATGACGATTTCAAATTTTCAAAGAGGGTGACCGGGCTGCTCCGTGGATATGATCACAAATTCCTCGAGGCACATCATCGCCATATTCCTCCTGAATTTGATGAGGAGCTGTACTTGAACTTTGAGTCAATGTACGCGTACCTCCGAAAGCGGCATCGTGCTCAGCTTTCGCGACAGGACTTGTACCTGATTCTTCGAACTCAGGACAGGTTCATGTGCCGCATTCAGGCTGGAATTGTCGGGGAACTGACAACCATGGACATGCCCTACCGCATCACCCACGTGAAGGCCTGCCAAGGCCATGACCAGTCGCTCATTGACAAGGTGGGAACGGCTCCATTGGTCAAGCAAATCATCTCGCTTGACTACCAGTTCACGGTCGAGGATTTGAAGAAGGGATTCTACCCCAGGGTTCCCATTTATCCTCACCTGGCGGAAGCCGAGGTCTCAGAAGAGTTTAAGGTTATTTACCATTACACTTCATGGGACTCCCTCCAGCAGATCATTTGCACGGGGATTTTTCCAGGGGCCACTTCATGCAAGGGTCATGTGTATATGACCCGCCATGCGCCTTGGGAAATCGAAGGCAAGGATCCTGGCGTCAGGACGAACAGACCGCTGTGCATCGCGATCGACACCGATTGTGCTCTGCACTATGGTCTTCGCCTGGTGGAAACCTTGGCCGGTGCACTCATCACTGAGGACTGGGTGCCCAATCATTGCCTCATCTACGCATTCGATTGCGAGAAGTCGCAATACCTTTGGGCGAACCATGGCTACAACGGGGTGAAGAAGTACCTTCGGCAGAAGGCCTCCGAGAACGCTCTCACTTGGCAAGAGAACGAGGCTCGGAAGGGCACTCCCAACTACGACGAACTTGAGAGGTACGAGATTTCGGACCTGGAGGTGTTGAAGAACATGTTCGTGAATGAGTACGATCAGTGGAAGGATGTCATCACCCTGCGACGTCCGCTCATTTACAAGGAAGTTCCGACACCATATCCTGTCGTCGATGAGTTGCTCCCGAAGATCAAGCAAAGGCCGCTCAACTTCACCAATCTCCTGTGTGTGGCACGCAAGCCGACGGCAACTGCTGCTGGCTTCGACATCGCCCCTGACAACGCGCGGGAACGCCGTTCTGATCGCTTCGATCAGGAGGCATTTGACCCATCCGCGGAGGGGAACCTCACGCGCTGGCGGTATGTATCAATGCTGGCAATGCCGGAGTTGACATGCCCCCGGTGCAGGAAGATTTTTCCTGAGGGGATGTTGGTTTGCCTTGCATGCGGCTTGTCGCTGGCGACAATGTCCGACATGCGCCGTGCGTGTCAGGTGTTCCGCCTGGAAGAGTTGGCTGAGAAGCTGGGCTTCGAGCTGACATTGGATCTTCTGGGTGACGACGATGTAGCAGGCACCACTCAAGGTGCCAAGCAGATCAGATCTGCTGCGGCAGTCCTCAAAAATCACGCCCGCTCATACATGAAGCAGGCGAGAAAAGCTGGACTGACTTTGCTACAGCGTCTGGGAACGGACGCCCATTACGCCTTTAATTGTGCGGTCCAAGACCTTACACCTCGGTGTATGCATTGGATTACAGTTCTGGGCAATGTGGTGCTTCCCTCCATCAAGCGCACGCGAGAGGAGATCCGAACTGGAAAGATTCGGCAGTACAAAGCGCGTATGTGCATGGTCGCATACGAAGAGGAGCAGATGAAGACGATCATCGTGGATGATCATGTACTCATCTGGTACAAGAACCGCTTTTACAGAGCCAACCAGTTCGCGGCCGCCTATGCCTTGATCCCGGTGGCCGAACGCTTTGAGGTCTTAAGCGTCGCCAACACGACGTTCCAATCCCTTGCGTTGTCCAAGCAGGATGTGTATGCCGACATTCTCAGCTATGTCGAGGACATCTTGCGCCCCCTCACGGAGGCAAAGGACACGGAAGGCGGAAGCCGACCCCTACCTGCAACAAGGCAGCAGAACCCGGATGTCACCAGGTCCTCGCGTCCTGGCTATGGTTCTCATCAGGGGCCCACTCATGGCTACAGTCAGCAGGAATGGAATGACTACTACAATCAGTGGACTGACCAGGAGTGGGAAGATTGGCGCCGTCGAAATCAAGGCCACCAATACCGGGATCGACGTTGGTCGGGCTATCGCTGAGGCACCGCGGAGGGGAACCTCTCGCCTGGTGGATTTATCTTCATCTGAGGCGGGGCATTTTCTTTCAATGACGGTGTCGCACAGCGGAAGCTGTTGCCTTTTCGGATTTAATTCGGTTAGGCGACTAGCTTCATTTTTGCACGCGTGGGTGAGCGATTCCACGATCATTTCCAACACTAGTGTGCTAAGTCGGAATTTTTGCCAACTCAGTCAAGTTCACAAAAGTTTCATTAACGCTTTGAATGCATATAATTTGAAGCAGGCATTTGGCACTCATCTTATTCTTGTCATGATTCCTTCTTGCATAGCACACGGCTGGTAGTTGCATGAACCGCAGAGCGGAAGCTCTTGCCTTGCGAAGATAAGGCAGCTTTGAAGCATTTCTGAAAGCTTCCCTGCGGGTTCACATCAAAACCGAATTCAGCATTTTGCTTTAATTCATTTTGTTTGCTTCGGCATGCTCCCGGGCGTCCACAAGAACTTTTGATGCCGCGTGGAAACGCTGGCCTTTGTAATGGGCCACACTTCAACACGTTTGCATGTTCGACCACAAGCCCGGTAGAGCCAAAATGAAACTGAATGCATTCGGCCGAATTGAATTGCACTGCATCCGTCTTTCAATGTACTTGGAGTCCGATTGCATGGATTGCATTCGCAGTTGCACTTGTTCGTCAATCTTTGCACACCTGAGGTGAAGACGTGGAAGACTACGAAAGGCCAGGCTATGGTCGGGTTTTTGGGGTTTGTTGTTTTGTTTTCCTAATTGGTTTATATTACGGCATCCCTTACTAGACTGTACATAGTTAATTTGCAGCTTCACTTCCTGTGCGGTAATTACACTGCACGGGGGGTGTTGTTGCACAGTCCTAGTATACGTCTTACACTTTTCACCCTTTATTACTCGTGTGCCTATGGCTCAAGAAACAGTGTGTCTCCGGGTATTTGGTTTGTGGCCTATAGTGGTTTATACTCTGTTTCTACAGATAGATAGATAGATAGATAGATAGATAGATAGATAATGATGATGATGACGAGGATGCTGATGATGATGATGATGATGACGATGATGATGACGATGACGATGACGATGACGAGGACGACGACGATGATGATGATGATGATGATGATGATGATGACGAGGACGCGGACGAGGACGAGGACGATGGAGAGGACGATGACGATGATGATGACGATGATGATGACGATGATGATGACGATGATGATGACGATGATGATGATGATGATGATGATGATGGTCCTTTCGCGTGAAAAATCACGTGATGTCCTTGAGCAGCCCCCCAATACTTGCTAAAACAAGAAGACTCCAGCTAGCTGACGCTAGCTTTCGTGACAAGATACAATGGCGCCAGTACCAAAATAACTCAAAACTATGCCGGCCCTTGGTCTTGGTGAGGCAGTAACTCAGCAAACACTTAGGCTGCGGGCCATGCCAACTTACGTTCTTCAGAGGTCAAGGGCCGCGGCCTAGTTCAAATTTGGCAAGAGAACTGCCGCCGACCAGCGAATCACATTCATGGGAACCATTGGGAACCTTGGCTTCTATGCGCTATTCTCCGTTTGAATATCCTGTACGCAGTGCTGTGCTTCGTGGGACATGCTTGACGATATCGTGCACAAGATATGAGACCCTACCAGTTTGGATGGGCTCCGAAAGGTATGACAGCAAGCAATTTCATGACAGTGTGCATCGTGTGCGTGGGGCTGGTATTGTGCTGCCAAGCTTTTCCAGTGAGACTTGTGCACCCTCCACAGTCGGCTCTCTTGGCCGAAGAGTTGTTTGCACGGCCCTTTCGCAACAGCTTCTGTCAGAATTGATGAAAACCCGATCTCATTCGACGAGCCATGTGGGCCATGGTTTTACGTGTGCTACAATGACAGTAGCCACTGATACATGATAGGAATATTTCTCACTCGTGGCATGCATTTCAGCAATGCCTAACAAAGTGATAGTGATACGTCAGACTCATGGATGTACATATGGTACAAAATCCCGCATTTGCTTCAGCTCAGCCAGCCCAGGCAGGAGTCTGACCCCAACCAGCCTGACAAGTCGGTGCAAACTAGTCGAGCTATGCAATGCAGTAAGTGCCAGGACAAGCGGCAAAATAGTCCCTTGGCATCCCTGCCTGTGGTGCACTTGATTGCAACTGAGCGAGCTCTTGGAAGCGTGCAGCTTCCTGAGATATGTTAGATTAGATGTGAATTGCCAAACATTGTGCCGCTCACGAAATGTACTACGAGATACTGTGAGTGGTCCTAAAGATGCCTAAACCAAAGGCATCCATAGGCATCTTTTTTCGGTCAGCAACTTGGTGCAGCGCAGCTTGGTGCAGCTTGGAATCGTATTGCTGCAGCCACTGCCGCAACTGCTGCAAATAGTTGCTGTCCCCAACCTGAGGTCCTTGAGCACCTCCGACCGCTTCGTAACCGTAGCTGTAGCCAGAGCACCCGGCGTCAGAACCGTAGCCATGCCCGCCATAGCCGGAGTAGGCTCCAAAAGGCCTCAGCAGAATCCAGCGGAGCTGTACGACCTGTTCCTGTAATTCAAACAATTTTTCCAACCATCCGAATATAGGATACTTAATGCACTCACAAAGACATGTATAGCATAAGCCGCTGTCAATTTTTTGGGGGCCTATCGATACACAGGTTTTGCATGGTTTTGCTGCTTATGATGATGGACGAACGATGACGAACAAATCGAAGCCAAACCTAGGCTGGCCAACTCTTGTTTTCAACTCTTTTCAATCTTCTTTTCAATCTTTGTAATCTTCGTACTTTGGGGCGTGGCATGGCTCCAACAAAGAAACCAAATCAAGGAGCATGTGGTAGAACATTTTCACTGGGTCTATCTGTGGTCGAATTGCTAAGGAGTCATCGTTGATTTTGCTTCTTGCGTCCGCGTTTCAACGGCACTTATTGCAAGATAAAATATTATAGCCGAAAAGAATTGCTTGAGGAAATACGTGCCAGGGGTCATTTACAATCAGCCTGGCTAGTTTGAGTGTGCAATTGTGCAACTTTCTGTAAAACAGCTCAGATGTGGAGACTATAATAGGATTAATAGGGCCCTATTCAGGTCCTTTCAGTTTAGAGCCTAGAGAGTTTGGTGCTGGTGAAATTTTATGCAATTTTCATACATAAAAGAGCACTCCTCCCGAGAGTGGTCAACATGACATTTTAAATAATATGTATATATATTGTATAATATGTATATATATATATTATATAATATGTATATACATATATATAAATACAGTACGTACAGTACAACAAACAGCCTGCGTCCAGGCAACGTTGTCTTGCTTTGACCTGGTCCTGCACCCAAGCCGCTGAACGAACCTGAGCATCAGCTACAGTGCATGCAATACAGTATGATTTCAGCAAAGAAAGGCAAAAGTGAACTAAGCCTTTAAGCTGCACATAAGTGTGCATGCTTGGGCAAATGCCTGCAAAAGATGGCGTAGAAGAGGCATTTGTAGGTGTTCCAAAGGGAGCCACCAAAGGTTGCATCTCATCACCGGATCCATTCTGCTCCAGGTTGTCATCGGTCTTGACGGACCTTTTCGTTGCCTTTTGGTCCTTCTTTCTCCTTTTCCTTGACCTCCACACGACACAAATTGCCACCACCAAGGCAATGACAACGAGACCTCCGATCACCCAGAAGAAAGAGGGCACGGGACTTCCAACGCGCTCTTCAACGGCCATTGTGTCTCCTGCTCTCCATCTGACAGTCCCTGCTGATACGTTGCTTGTTGCTGGCATCGCTCGGAAGCATGTGTAACCGTCCAGCGGAGCCACCCACTCAATTGGAACATTCCAAACCTCGAAACACTATGAAACGCTCTCAGTATCTCTCAATGATGCTCAAGTAAGCCAAGTAAACAGTACTGGAGTAGTATGAGCATGAACCATGCACACACCAAAGATCCTCATGATCATCAAAGCCACCGAAGCCACAGTATCAATTGAGGTCTGCACTTCGCAATAGTTGTTGGTTTCGGAATGCTCAATTCCAGTGCAGTCCTGAAAGGGGAAGAGAGTGTTCTCACTTTGCCCCAAATGGTTCCTACCACCCTTCACGCCGGGGCATCAGCAAACAGAAAGGGCGGGTAGCTGAAGGCTACAAGTAGCAAAAAGTACTGATAGGCCAGAACTTCATTGCTGGTGTGTCTTGGCTGTGTACTACAAATACTCGTGCACATCCTCTTCCAAGGTGTGACTCAAATGTGACCCACTTGTACGGATTTTGGCCTATGCCCCCCCAAAAAAGATCCAGCATACAACCCCAGCAGACTCCCAAATTCTTAATATGTGGCCTTAAAAGGGGGCTACAACCTTGGACATGCTGAACCTGGGGGACCTGTACAGTTTGGTACCAAAGTGAGTGTAGGGGCCTTAAGCCCTCGGACCCTCCACCCGCATTCACTTCACCCTGTCCTGTTTCCAACTGCAAATGTCCAGGCATTCCTTCAAGTCCGCTGTCCAGGTTGCATAGTAATTTCCTTGCTCCAGCACAAGCTTTGGCAAAGAAATCTGCATTGTGGCTGAAACAAGTCCACACATGTCCACGCCAGATATCAGATGTCCATATCTCCCACAAACATGAATAATAAACTAAAAAAAATAGACACACTTGTTTCAACTGGATGCTGGCTTGTCTTTTGCTGAGGCTCTGGAGAACGGGTCCAGGTTGCCTAAGGCAGTCTGTCAAGATGTTTTCAGTTCACAGCTGAGGAAAAAACAACTAAGGCATACGAACGCATGCTAAGGCAGCAAAGCACAAGCAACTTGCTTCCTCCTGCCAGAGGAAGGACAGGACCAGTTACTTGCATCTTCGATGCTTTTGTGGCGGCAAGCGTGACCACCTCCGCATTAGCTTGCTAGGGAGATTTGTTTGCAATTTCACTAATGCGTGGGGAAAAACACGCTGCGGGAAGTTTCCGGGCTACCAGAAAAATGTCAAGGAACTTTGGCTAAAGCACCCAAAAACATGCCAACCGCCAAAGCTAGACGGGGAGTGGAAAAAACATGGCTTCCAATGGATTCGCACACAAAGCTTTCTAAGGCTGGCAATCTATGGTGCCAGACTGAACCACTAGGTTGAATCTCAGGTTGATTATGCAATGGTCTCCATTGAGCACCTGCCTTCTTTAGCATCACCTGCATTGAAGACCGGCCTGGGAAGCTAGGCTGGGCTCGAGGCTAGAATGAATAAAACTAGTTGGAACTGCACGCGGGCCACTTATGACAGCTGAGTGGTTCAAACAGCCAGTGGTCAAGCCATGGATGCTTGGAACTCGCTGGAACTCGATTCTTTGGTAATTTCGAACTGCAGTACCGTCCAAAAGACACCGAATGGATCTTTGTGTGGTTTTTAACAACGGATCCTCTCCCTTCATAGCGACGAGCTTGGCAAAAATGCAGCTCCAATTGCATATTGAAAGCCGCATAAGTTTACGTTTTCTGGGCTATATAAAGATTTTCTGCTGTCATAGGCTAAACAAAACAGGCCGCCGCCAACCAAGCAATGAAAGCAATGAGCTTCACATTTGGAAACTTTGCAAGCTTCCTCATGTGGACAAGAATCGAGAAAGATTGGCTGCAAAAATGGCAGAATACAGAAGCACAATGAACAGCCGGACAGCCAGCACTATTGCAGGAAGCCGCAAAAAATCCGCAAAAGAGGATCTGGACAAGCACGGACCCAAAAAGGATTTGCATTAACCCTGCACGCACCAAGCAGGACAATTTAGCAAGGCCGGACACGGCATGTCATATACCCAGAATGTATACATAAATAAATAAACAAATAAATAAATATGACATATATAATTGTGTATATATATATATATATTATAGATACAAAAATGTAACATAAATATGCGTATCTATTGCATATACAAGTATATATATATATATATATATATCATCAGCAAAGAAGCAACGAGGCAGCGAACTCAAGCTTGCAAAATACTTAGAACCATCCCGGCTCTCATGGAAGCAATATGACACAATTGTTGTCACGTCAAGTTGCTCGAAGTTCAAGTCCCTCCGCGGATACCCGCCACCACGAAGCTCGTCCTGGCGCGAACGGTCACCACCATGTGGAAACAAGGAACTGATACTGTAGGGACTGAGAAGTCTGAAGAGTCTTTTCTTTCAGCATTCCTCGAGGAACAATAAGAATATCGGACTAAAATGACTAAAGTGACTAAAGCATCAGCCACATGTCTAAACATGTCTTACCATTCGACCGTAAATGCTTCACAGTGGCCGGCACACTCTGCTGCCATAGCTTTGAGGCTGTCTCTCCTTCATTTGATGGTTCAACTAGATCGGGATTTTCATTGCACTTAAACTCACTGCAGTTTCCAACTCGTACGCCTCTTCAACCCCCTTCAAAAGTCTCGACCTTCTTTGAACCGGCTACAACGTGTTGCAACAAGACTCAACACACGCGCCAAGACTCTTGTAGCTGCACTGTTACCTGCACGAAATGAAAACGTGATGAAGTAATGGTGCAAAGACAAGCCAAAAACAAGACACCCGACTCAAAACATGCAAAGTAAAACATGGCTCATTCATGAGATGGATACAGATGGTATGGCGGCCAATGCCAAGCCTGAGCATGTAGCAGCTGAAAACCCGGGCGGAAGAATGTCTGGCAGCATAGACCGTGGAGCACAAACTGATGCCAAAGTGGAGTTGGCCTCAGCATAGGACGAAATTCACACAGAATCAGACCTAGTTTTTTCATGAAAATCCTTCACCTGTTTGAATCCTTCACCTCCCTCCATGAAAAAAAACTCTTCCGTTTCTGGCACATTCTGAAAGTGATATATATATATATATAAGCTTTCAGCAGCACATTAAGTAGGCTCCCGGCGAGGCATTGCTTTCCAGCGCACCACACGCAAGGTTGCCCAAAGGACTTTTTGCCCCCAAGCCTAGGACAATCTTCTGCAAAAGACATCGATGCAGGGTGGCACAAATTCATCCATCGCCCCATGTCATGAAAAGCATCGAGATGAGCACTGCAAGGCAAGGTGCTGTATGGCTATCTCATTTCCGGAACGGCTGCTCAAGCATGCAGCCTCTGTGGTAATGGACTGGCATCCATCTCCTCAAGACAAGGGCAGCGGCGGGAATCGGATAGTTGCCACAGAGGGTTACAGTATGCTTCGGTTAGTAATTATGTTTGTTCGGGCATCTGTAAGTCAATGCCTTGCACTTCTGTCCTATTTCAATGGTCATGCCAAGATTGCCAAGATTTGCCAAGATTCCCCACCAATTTAAGCAATCTGTCCCTGGCACCATGGACCACGCGTCGCTCGTTGCAATCCCTGTCATTCCCGTTGTAGGATCCTGCCCGTCAAACTCGCAAGGAAATCAGACAACCAATAACTTCAATCAAGCGTCAACGTAAGACCCATGCATTGATCCGGTGTGACCGTGCCCAATACCAAACATACAAACAGATTATGGTTACCTGCGGTCATGGCGAGTTGCAGGACTTGTTAAGGTGAGATTGGTGACAGTTGGTGGTTGCTGCCAGGTGAACTGGAAGGGGCTGACTGTGGCCACATGGAACGACACAAAAGGACAAAGAAAAATGCAGAAGGACATGTCAATGACATTGACATGTTTTGGATAGTGGATTGTTTTGGGATGGTTTGGGTATGTGCTGCTACCGACTTGCCACATCTTGCCACCGATGCCTGCTTGGTGACCTCCACCGCTAAGTTTCCAGCTGCTGTTGCGGCCTCGTCGGGTGTCGCACCGGCCGATTTCGCAGCTTCTTCAGCTTCGTGAGCAGCAGCAGCTTCGACTTGAGGCTGTGTCATCCCTTGTTCTCTGGCGCTCTCGGCTGCATCCATCCCGGCTCGATTGGCTGCACTTTGAATGACCACTTCTGGGGAAGCACCTGCAGCAGCTGCTGCGTTTGCAGCAATCTCGCCGATGGCCATCGCTGCAGCGGTCTGATTTTTCGGCATGCTGATGTTCACAGAAGCCAAGTCCTTGCGACCGGCATGACTTGCCGTTCACTTGCCAATCTTGCCACATGACTGTCTTTGGCAAATGGCAAGGAGTAGAAAATGCAGCAAACTGGACTCCGAGTGATTTCATTCAGAAAAGCAAAGTCAGGAGGCAATTCTCTGGAGAACCTACCTACAGGTTGAATGAGAAGACAGCACGCTGAAATCTGTTTGTCAAGGTATGCAAGGACACAATTTGTGACTGGCAGCAACAGTCAGCCGACAGAGAGCCAATGAGGATGACTTTACTGAACTTTAGCGGTTCTCCATGGTGGTTCCAAGATGTCCCAAGTTTTCCGTTGCATTCCATTTAAACTGAAGTCACAACTAGGAAGCAACACAGCTGTTAGTCTGAAATGACTAACACCGCAAAAACACCAAAATAAAGATCGTTTTGGAACCTTGAAAATTAGAAGAAAGTGAGGAGGGAGGCAGCAATCAACAATTACTGTATCTTTCAGTGCCAATCGAAGTTGAAAAACTGGAGACCTCAGAGGTGGAGCAGGAGTCCAAGAGCCTTCATTTTGCTGATCACCATTGATGGCTTAAAGCTGGAGGGCCATGGTGGAGGGCCATGGCCTGGAACGACACATGTTGACACCCAGGTGCGGTGGATGAAGCAACATTTGCACCAAGCGAAAAGACCAGTATTCTCATCCTCCACTTCCAACACCTGGTGACGATCAAGGCAATTTTTGTGTAGTGTTGTGTTAATGTGGTGTCAGGTTTTGAAAATGACAGTCGAAAACCATTTCCGCACATCACCTTTGAAACCTCTGCTTCATCACATGACACAGCATCACTTGTAGGAAATCCTGCGCCTGCGGGACATTCTTTTTTATCTTTTTTTTGGTCTTTGACCAGCTGAACCCTTCACCACTGTCGATTCGCCTCAGGAAATGCTGGATATGCTGGTGTATATGCTACATAGCAAAGAAATGTGCGCAGCTTCAGATGCTACTGGGTGGCGGTGTAGGTCAGCATGCCCAAGACACATGGGAGGATTTGAGCTGAAATGCCATGCAGCAAAGGATTTCTTCGGCAAGAAGCGCTCGGCTTCAAAGTCTTGCAGCTGAACAGTTGAAACACAAAAGGCACAAAAAGAAAACCATCCGAAAGCAACCTCCCTATACCTCGCTGATTTTGAAGCAGTTTTTGCTGGCCGCCCTGTAACACTCGAGCCACACTCATTCACCTTTTTCTCAATGAGCTAGTTCAGTGGTAAATATTTTGGCAGGTCTATAGATATTGATTTGTTCTATGTTCCTGCATCACCCAGACACAGCCAAGCCTTTTACAGAAGGACGTGATACACATGTAATCAGAAGCACCTTCAAACTTCAAACACTTCCCAACTGAATTTTGATGGAACTACCTTGACTACCTTGGGTCCTGGACAAAGTTGTGGATGTTTCAACCGATTTTCCAGCACGGAGGAACTCTTTAGGCTTGGCCAAGTCTGATAGACGAATTGCCAGTGTGCAATCTGGCGGGCCAGCTTCCACGCTCACAACGGCGATGATTCTCAAACCAAACATGAAACTTGTTGAAGCTTGACATATCCGAAATGGATTTGTGCATATTGTGAGGACTGTGCACCTTCGTTGGCATACGTCTTTTAAAGAGCGAGCAAAACTTCTCAAGCGCTGGCTGCCTCAGACAGAGCACATCTTCCATATATTTCCAGGAGCTAAAGGCGTTTGGCTTGAAGTCGAATGCTTGTCACTTGATGATTGTCCAAAGAACTTCAATTGTCTCTAGTCAGTTCCATGTTACTTCTGGGGTCTCCTCAGTTTCCTCCGAACTTTCCTCGCTTTCTTTGCTCTCATCCTGCACGCATGGTGGAGAGATCACTCTGCTTGGAAACCACATGCCAAGGTTTTTGCACTCATGCCTCTTGGTGTGCAAACAAGTCAAACAAAATATTCACGTCGCTTCGCGACGGCAACCGCCCGCACCGCATCGTTGGGCAGCCGCTCGTAACTGCCAATGATGTCGGCCATTGAGACCAAAAACATCCGAAAGTACTGATTGTCGGAAAAAAAACGCGAAGAATTTGATAGCCATGTATAGCGGACCAACGCAGTTCAAAAAATAACGAAAAACATGAAAAAACGGCGAAATTGCTGTTATTTACAGTGTTTTTGCGCGGTGAGAAGCAGAAACCACTGCAAATACCATGGTTTTTGAGGGTCAGGTGGCCAAAAACACTGTAATTTACAGGGTTTTTTTAACCAACGTCAAAAAACACTGGTATTTACGATGTTTTCATTCACACCGTAACATAAAACAGCGTAATTTACGAGGTTTTTGGAAGTTTTGAAGCTAGCCGTCAAGCATGCAGAAAACAGAAAAACACTGTAAAAACCAGTGTTTCTGCTATCACAAAACGACGAAAATCAGTCCGAAAACGGGTCCAAAAACTCAAAAATCCGCCTCCGGGCCCGGCCACCTGCGGAACCGCAAAAAAAGATGTTGCAAACCAAAAAATTGAGGTCAAAAAGTTGAAAAACACGGGTTTTTTTCACTTTTCGCTTGCCGATTTTGGACGGGCGCGTTCACGAACAGGTGTCTTCCGTACTGTTTTTTACAGTGTTTTTTGAAGGCGAGCGTCACGACCTATCAAAAACAGGAGGTTTTGGCCGAAAAATGCCCCCCCCCCCCCAGGTAAACCTGTAACCTTTTACGAGTGCCATCCGGAAGATCACGCCCCAGCACCTTCGGTGCGGGCGGATTTACAATCGATAACAAACCAGCAGCCAAAGATGTGCACTTTTAATACTTCGCATTTACTTCGCTATCTTTCAGTTCGTCCAGTGTCCCAAGATCCTCTTGAGCCTGAGCTGTATCGGATGCCACAATTACGACCTCAGCGAGGATCGCTGGGAGCTGCCATCGTGACTATTGGAAGTAGCACGTTGGGCCTCAACAGGGAGAACGACTTTGCCGTCGCACTTGTAGCCCGACTTCCTCAACTCCAAATCAGGCCATCACTGATCACTGCATGTGAAGCAAAATGAATCAAAATGAATCAACATGAAAAAAATAAATAAATAACATACAATCAAACATGTACTGTACTTCGTCATATGGTAAAACCGGGTAAAACGTGGTAAAACAACATAAAACAGTCACAAGACGTCACAAAACACTATTTTCAAATACTTTCAAGCAAGGTTCACAACCTCCAGGATTGTTCCTGTTTCTTGGCCATCAGTGGCCTCTCTCTCTTCTACCTCGTGCACTTCACAATGACACCACAAAATTGAGTTTCTTGATAGTAAAATTATGCAAAACGCAAAGCTTGATGTAGTGAGGATTGAATCCGCCGGCCTGCCGGCGTGTCTTGTGGATCTTGCTTGTTCGTAGTTGTACTGTTTGTTTTGTCTTTGGTCTTTGTCTAAATTTTCCCCTTGGGGCGGATTTTTGCATCGTCTAACTTGAACCCCCCCTCATTACAGACATGATTCGGTTTCAACCTTTGTTTGCAGACATGATTCGGTTTCAACTCCAGCCCCGGTTTACGCAAAACCCATGTTTTGTGTCTCCTCTTCGCGTTTTTCCTCTGCGTCTTTCGTTGCAATGTGCTGGGTTCGACTCTGCCCACGCCTCGCGCAACATGCGCATGTTCTTTTTTGTTCCCATTTCCATTGTGGTGCTTGCGATCGGTTTGCTCTGTCATTCTTACACTTTCTACGTTCCTATACCTCATGCAGATAGCCTGCTTTTGTGCAGAACACCATTTACACGGGCAACCTTTCTATGTATGGCCTTTTCCAAAAACCTTGGTTCACACACTGCTTCGGTTTAAATTCAAACCCTGGTTTACGCAAACACAATGCTTTGTGTAAAAGCGCATCTTCCTACTAAACAAAACGCTGATTCACAGAAAAAGACGTGTTTTAAATGTTTCACAGAAGCAACATGTTTTACACAAACATCTAGAACAATCATGTTCTTGCTTCGCCCTTCCCTGCGTCCTCAGCTTCACGCTCTTGGTTGGCTAGCTGGCTTGCTATTGTCTAAGCTTTTTTCTGCCGCCGTTGCTTCGCCATGAATGTGCTGCAAGGGCTTTCTAGGGGTGACGCCCTGTCTACACAACAACAGCCTTGGTTTAGCCAAAAGCTTTGCTGCACTCAAAACCACTCCTTTACAGACCAACCCTGTCTTACACAAGTGCCCTGCCCCGCGTCCTCAGCTTCATGCTCTTGCTGGGTCGGCTGCTTTGCTACTCTCTCTTGACTGCACTGAAGGGCAGGGTTGGTTTACATCCGCGCCCTTCCCTGCGTCCTCAGCTTTATGCTCTTGCTTGGCTCGCTGGTTAAACCCAAATAGCTCTGGCCGTGGTGGCCGGCGGAACACGCCAACGGCGGTTAAATTTGAATGGCAAAAAATGGCAAAACGCAAAGCCAGTCCGACGGCCCGACACTATTCAGCATCGAGGCTAGGGTTCACACTGCGACATGTTCGATGGAGTCGAACTTCTCGCCCACCGTTGCAGTGGTCCTCGTCAGTTGCATGAAGATCATGAAGTTGGTTCAGATATTTATTTTTGAATATTTCTAATGGACAATGGATGTGCACATGCACACACGCACACAACAGAGTTCAGATTCCATTGACAAGCAACTATGCAACCTAGGCTCGATTGGATCCCGTTCTTCGCCCACACATCACCAACTTTTCGGAAAAGCAAGGAGTATGAGTCGAAGATAGCCTTGACCATGAGTGAAGGAGCATTCTAGTCAAGGCTACTGTATTCTTTGGGGTGGCTGCAGCTTGTTGTTATCGCCGCTGTGATGCCTGAAGCTCTCCTTTGCCATACTGTTGGATTAAGCTTGACCAACAATTACCCGGCTTACATACTGTACTCACACCAAAGCTACTCTACACTCTACATGGAAAACCGTCGACAGCCGGCACCAGTTTTTTACATTAATTAAGTCAGCATGAGCAATAGAAATCTCACTGCTTTGAAGCGAGCTCTGCCACATTCTGCCACTGTCACTCAAATCGGCTCCAAAACCGCCAATTTGCATGGGTTTGAGGGACCACGCCTTGTCTTTGGCATCCATGCCTGCAAGCAAAGCAACATTTGAGCACGCCCGCAAGCAACCTCTCGATCTCTTCTTGGACGCAGCTGCTGCCAAAAAAAACTCTGCTCAAGATCTGTCAAGCCACCATCAGGCTCTGCTATGGCAGCTTCAATGTCCCCATTGAATGGCAGGAGCTTTCTCAATGCGTCCTGTGGCGCGCAGCAAAATAATTTCTGCCCTGCCCCAAAAAAACTAGTACGTACTGTCCATGCTCTCTTGCCAGTCTTGCCCTGTCTACCACTCCGTCCAGCTTTCCGAGATCTTTTGCACGCCCCATTGCCTGCCCAACAAGCTGGCGGCACGCTTGACCCAAAACTCTTGGGCACCCAAATTCGGCAACTTCACTTCGTGTATCTACTCCTTTACTACCCCTGTGTATTTGCACATCTGTCTGCCAATCTTATGTAATCTAATCTAATCTAATCCAACTCAATCTCTTTCTCTCTCACCATCTCTCTCCCTCCATCAGCGTCCCAAATCCATCCATCTGGCTACATGTTACATGTACGCAACGTAGCATGTAGAGATACACACACCTACACACGCACAGGCAAACTCATAAACACACAATCACAAAACAACAATCACATATATAACTATGTGTCTATATGTTTATACGTACATATATTATACGTGGTCTGAATATGTATATAGACAATTATATATAATGCGCGTGTGCGCGTGTGTCATTCGTTTTATGTCTCGTCTATGTATGTCTATGTATGTCTACCTGTATCTATCTCTATCTATCTCTCATCTATCTCAATCGATCTCTATCTATTTCTATCTATCTCTATCAATCTCTATCAATCTCTATCTATCTGTATGATTCTGTGTGTGTGTGTGTAACATCTAAATAGATGTAAGACTTCTCCATTTTTCTTTTTCTTTCTTCTCTCCTTTTAATAAAGCAGGG